TTCATCTCTAAGGCTACGTGCAAACGGGCGCAACAACTCCCAACATTGTTGCGCCAACAATGTTGGGAGTTGTTGCGTGCGTGTTGGCAGTGGCGTGGAAACGGATGCAACAACTTCCAACAATCTTGGGACCCGCAGTGCATCGTTGGAAGAATACAACCTATAAGTCTTTGTAATACATGCGTAATGAGCGTGCGCGGCCCCAACAATGTTGGAAGAGCTGTGCAAACGGATCCAACATTGTTGCGCTACGCTTCGGCGATCAAGGAACAAAAGAAATGTTGGGAGTTGTTGGCTGAAAAGCTTGACCGGTTTCAAACTTTGCGCAACAACATCCAACAACATGCAACAGGGTGTGCAAACGGACGCAACCTGTAACTTCCAACATTGTTGAGAGTTGTTAGCCAACAATGTTGCGTCCGTTTGCACGGGGCTTCATAGAGCGTTTTCACTCACGTGGCCAGCATCTACGCAAATTTATTGGAACAAAAGAAAGTGTTTGCATAAGAAAAGAGTTCAACTCCCACAGGACTGGTTTGGGACACCAACATGGCCGCCGTTTCATTGTTTTGGGACACCAATATGGCCGCCGTGACGTCATAGCATTGTAATTTCGTTACGCACTGTAGAAGTTTTAACTTTGCCTGTGGCCGCCAAACCAACCTTACGTGCTACAGTGCACGTGCAATTTAGAAGTCGCTACACAACGTGACTGCCTTGAAGAACGATTTTGTTTTACAAGCACGTTGTTTCTGATAGACATTCGGTCCGTTGTCACTTGTCGCGACGTTTCGTTACATAGTTTTCCACAGATAACCCACGGCAAACATATTGGCAATAGAAAACAAAGAAAAAACAAGGTACACTGACTGAAACAACTATAAAATAATTTAAATTTTCTCTTTGGAAAATAATTGTCCTCGTAGCACAGGCCGGGGGTTAAACCCGGGTTAAACCATAGGTACCCGTAATTGCCCTATTTTTCGTACAGACTATTCTTGCCAGTAAGCTCATGTCCTCCCAGAGGACTCTTTTTAGATTCTCGCTTCTACAGCCAGCTCGACTAATAAGCAAGCAACCAAAATTATAAAACATGGCAACTCTTTTTATTAATTCTCTCTTTATACAACATCACTCACTCCAATTTTACCACGCTATATTTCTAAGATAATAATATTTCATATTCAGCAACCGTTTCGTTTTAATTATAGTATTTCTATTTAAATGATACATTTAACTCATTAAGAAGTTTATCTTTCGTATTTATGTTTCACATTATAGCGAAAAAAAAAATTGCGAAAAGCAAGTAATCTTATACCCTAGTTTTCTGAAGGTCAGACGTCTCTCGAGGACTTGAGACCTGCTGGCTGTGTCAGGGATAAGGCTAGTAATTACGCAGACAGCTGCATGAGCCATTGTGACCGTTATTTCAAGGGTTATTTTGAAATCTATGCAGCAAGCAAAAAATAAAAACAAATCTGCTTTGTAGCAGCAGTAGTAATTTAAGTAAAGGGAGTTTAAGCAACCACGACAGCGTCGCGTTGTTTTAAAATTTATTGCTTTTACTCCAACCGGACCAATTTGTCAAAAGCAGGCGAATTTTCCTAAAGATGTAGAAAGCGCAACCCGTAAAACTTCACTGTAGCCGCGAAATGATCAAAGGGAGTGATGCACGTGCAGAGCTGTTTTGCTCATTAAACCTATTGCTCTTTTTGTGTTCTACGGTTACCGTTGCCAAAGTAATTGCTTAAGCTCCGCAAATGCCATTGAAAAAGACCCAAAGCGCACTCCCTATTGGGCTCGATTTCCGCCGCTCTCTCTCGGTCCTTTTCCCGATCGGGAGAGGAGCGCGGGCTCATTTCCCGAACAGCGGTTGCTAATCGAGCTTAAACCCCTATTCCCACTTCGCATACACTCCTCCCTTCTAACATACACACATACACACACATTCAAATTTAAGAGCTTCGGAGATACAACTAATGCTTGCTGTATACTTCATAGCAGTTGTATGGACCAGATCTCACGCAAGTTGACAAGATTTTTCTTCAGCTGTTTTGAGCATCACAAAGGACTGCCTCCTAAAAAAGATTTTATCATTACTTATATTTGCTCTTAAAAGTATTTTCTCTGGGGCGGATGAAACATACCACTTTCCTTCGTCGAGAACTTCGTTTTGGTCTCGTCACGCAACGGCAGCGAGGGAGACGAAGACAAACCCTACACAGTTCAACCGAACACCTCTCCCAAAACACTCCATAGCCAAAGGCCCTACCCCCTGGGGATGCGCCGTTAATCGACAGTCAATACTCCCCCCTCCCCCAACCCTCGTTCTTTTGTAAGCTTTATATTATACACTTTGTACAGGATCTACAGAAGTCACTGTATAATCAATAAGTTGATCATCAAAATGTATAGACGAGACATTAGATTTAACTACCTGTACAGATTGCCAAAATACTCTTATTATAAATAATTGTTATATTTGAGATAGTGATTAATGTGATTTATATCTATGTATGATACGAATTTGGAGAAAAAAGATATACGCTGATAAAGTGACGTGAAGTTGTGATAGACAACCTACGCTACATAACTAGAAAAAAATGCTACCTTCTTCATAACATATACTTAAATGATAAGGCAGTGCAGACTGTGAACTGACTGTCGACTATTGTTTTTAGGGTTAGGAAGCAATGGGACTATTGTTGTCACGTTCTCATTTCCATGGTGAAAACAACAGTCCACAGTCTGTGTTATACACTGACTGCTAAAATAATCTTGCTCATGGAGGTACATTAATTTGGGATACAACTTGTTATTTCAAGCAAGCAATGGCCCCAGAGAAGCAAATTGTGAGAGCTGCTTGTCCAAAGAGCAAGCTGAAGTTCAAGCTTTTTGGAGCCCTGCATTAGGTCCAAAATCATTTGGATAAATTTAGGTTTATGGGAAACTGCCCACCTACCCCTCCCCTAAGTCAACATTAACACTTACTTCTCACTTAGGGCAAAATGTTGCGTTAGGGGAGGGGTAGGTGGACAGTTTCCCAGAAACCTAAATTTATCCTAACATTTTTGTCTGACTACCACATCACTGAATGAAGAAACCTCTGTCACTTAAAGAAGCTGTCTCATAACAATTATTAAAATTCAAACAGTGGCCGGGAATTGCCAACAAATTGAGTGAAACATTAAAGTAACCGCTGGAAACGTTAGAAGGTCTAAATGACACAGAAAATACAAAACAAAGCAGGGATGGATGAACTTGAAGAATATTGAAATGGATTGCAATTGTGGTTTTTGAAAACTTGTTCACCTGACAGTTTTTCAAAGCTCCTAATTGTTGTTTTTAACGAATTTTTATTATCCTTAGGAGACATACAGCAAAAATCTGCGAATAAGAACCTGTGGATTAAGAACCCGCTGGTAGAAATTTGCCACCTTACATTTAATACCTAAAAATACAAGAACCTGTTTAGCCAAGCAAGATCAAGCAGGATCTTATATGTGGGTTACTATGATAAAAAATTTAACCAAGGAGTGTAACTGAGTTGTAAATTTAAACAAACAAGAAAATACTGTACTAAACTGTATATAATTGTTTGGTAATCAGTTTTGTTTGGGTAATAATAAAAACATTGTGAATATATAAAAAGTCAATTTGTTTTTCTGGTAATCAACAATGTGTTAACTTCTTCATAAAAATTAAGATCCTAATAAACAACCTTCTTAGCCTTAATTGTAAATAAGTCTCCCCAAATCAACTTTTTTTGCCAGAGTTAAAAAAGTAGGTTCTTATTCGCAAGTGTTTACTGTATTTTGTTTAACACTAAGCTATGATTTTGTCATTCACAGGTAATTTTTCAAGTTTCATATTCAATAAGGATGCACGAGTGGCAGACGAAACAAAATGAACTAGAGAGCAATGACAACGGTCTCTTCAATATACAGGGAACGACTACTAAAATGAGCCCAGCCTGTACACAATACCATCATGATTCTCCTCCATCTGTTGATGCTACATCAGTAATCTTGGTTTCTGATTTTGCTTCTGAACTGGGACTTGAGGTTGTTAATTTTCTCTTGGATGCCAACCTAACAAGACATTTGAAAGAAAATGTTTAGATGTGGTGCCCCGCCTTCTAATTAGAGCCCCCTTGCTTGTTTTGGTATTTTCAATAGTATTCTTTTTCCCCGAAGCACCTCTGTTACAGTTGAACCTACATGAACAAGCACCTCTCCTAACCCACAACCTCCCATGAGCCACCGCCCATTCAAAACACCCAAATTTTCCCAGTCAAATCCCTATAATCAGGATCTCTTGTAAATGACCACCTCTCATAAGCAACAACGCGGGACTATAATGCAACTATCCCCCGAAGGGGAGGTGAATAGTGGTGGATATATTCTGAGAGGCAAAGCGTCGAGGTATATATCTAGCATTATGAACTGACCCTGAGGGGGATAGTTGTTTTAATATTTACCACATCAGTTGGATAAAAATCAAAAAGGAACTTTTTGTAAATAAAAGACGTCACTTAGTTAGAGTTTGTTTATGTTTCAATAATTGAAATGAAATCATGAAAATGATTCCCGAAACACTATCAATTATTGATAGTGTTTCGGCTACACATATCAAACATTCCCTGAAAACTCAGTATTTAGTTGATATAAGTGGCCACGGCTTCTATGAGTTAAGTTGTACATTATATGCTAATGAGGGAAAGTGTTAACAATGACATCAGCGAAGATTCTTCTATACACTGCAGTAACTGTTTCTACTCGGACTGTTCCTTTTCGATTCAAATTTCATCTTGCACTTCTGGCTGTTTGTTGAGAAATTAAAAAAACACCCTATCCTCAATGAGCACCCTCCCTTGAGTCCCTGAGGCAAAATAAGTACCCTGTGCAATAAAATCAAATAATAACCTTGTATATATGGTATATTTAGCAAACCCTAATATCTTTTCTTATCCAGGATAAGAATGAAAAGGTTGTTAACACTCACTTTTCCCTGTTATAAATCTTGAAGTCTTTCTTAATTTGTTCTAAACAAATTTGTGCTGGGTCCTTTTCTTCATCACTTTCCTAAAAAGAAACAATTTCAATGAGACCATCCACAATAAGCATACTGCTGTTGAAATAACTTTTAAAAGGTAAAGATCCTCAAATATGTTAGCCTTAAGGTGTGTTTTTTTTCTTTCGGTTCTTTCAGGGTTAAAAATACTGTTGATAACTTCTCAGGCAATTCAAAACTACAGGCAGGTGTTATATAAAAATAGCTGAATTTATACTAATCATCCATCTAGGACAAATTATGCATCTGAGAAATTCTGGTGCTAAATTCATCTTCACTTCTTGTCTTTGTCTCGCAGCACGTCTTGTAGATGTGCTGACTGACGAGACAAATTTGGGGCCAAAATTTTGCTGAACACCGGATTTATACCTAGATGATTTACCCTTCTCAGATGGACAATTTGTCTCTGGTATAAATTCGGCCAATGTTATCTCCTTGCATGCACGTGACATGTCAGCAAATGCTTCCAGAACACAAACTGTCCAACCATCCTGATTTTGCTTGAAAATCCCAAATCCTGACAAATATATGTGATCAGGATAGAAAAAAGTCAGACTTAAACATCTGTTCTGAAATTTTCAAATGGATCCTTATGACACTTATACAAGAACACCTAACAGAGTACACTCCTGATATCCAGAATACTCTAAAATCAAGTACTTTATTGTACATGGAGGCACGCAAATAAAATAGGCATAAAAATGGCAATCGGTTTAGACAAAAATTGTACTCTTAGAAGACTTCATTGTAGAAAATGGCATTTCAGAGCTTCAAGATTTCAAAAGTTTCTAGGGGCAAATGCCCCCAGAACCAGCTAGTAGCTCACATGATTCCTCAGTGATTCAAGTTGGACAGTCTGAAAACAGAACAGTTTTTACTGGTTACAGTAACTTATAACAGATACAAAGTCAAAGTTTTGAATTCTTGAAAATAAAATGACATGTGTCACAGATGAGAGTTCAACAGACATGTTAAGAGTAACATGTTAACAGTAAGCTAGGAAGACATGAATGCCACTAGCAGCTACTATACGAGTTTACTGTAAGACACTCAGCCTATGATGTGAGTGACTGGGCAATGCGAGGCAGGCCAAGCCACCTGGGAAACTTCTTCTAGGCTCTTTACTTTTTTTCTTTTCTTTTTTTTTTTACTTTTCTTACTCACAACTTAATTATTCATAAATTCTTACTTACAACTTTGCTGGACAATTTTTTTAGCCTCTTCTTCTTCTTGTGAAGTGGTTTGGTTTCTATGATCATTTCTTCCAGCTCATAGGTTGGATCACAGTTCAAGTGGTCCTTCTAATAAATCAATTTTTAAGAAATAATAATTCACTATTAAAATTATAAATCTCCAAGAGGAAGCAGAGCTGTCATCAAGGGCTGTAACCTGTAACACCTGTTACGGTTGAGCTCACTTGATGCTACGGGTGATCAAAGTGGAAGGCCATTAAGGTGGCACTACAAGTTTTTGTGAGATGTTACGGGTGAATCTTCATTTGCTACAGCTGCTTCAAAACTTAATGACAGCCCCGAGGAAGGACCAAAAATACATCTTAATCGATGAATAAATTATAAGATACAAATAATATATATTTTTTAACAGCCTCAGGGGTTGATTTGGGGGTGAGGGAGCAGCATTCCAGAAGTACAATGAAGTCGAAAAATAAGTACCATTGAATAATGATTATGAATGACATTGATCGTGTATTTAAACAGGTTTAGATCTGTGAAACATTCGAACATTGCGGCGACATTGTTCGCAGTCTTGTGTGTATTCTGATGTAGCAACATGGTGTCCACGGTGGAAAAATACCTCTTGAAAACCCCTGGAAATGGCATTTCCGAGACTCTAAATTCCAAAATGTCCCTAGATGCCTCGGCCCTCAAGAACTTGTGCCTTTGGTGCGAGTTCCAAAGCCACCTACTATTCATTATCAGCCTGCCACTTAAAAACTTTTTGACAGCCCTGACAATGTAAGGTCATACCCATTGATCCTACCTCTAAAATGTCTCAGACCTTTCATATCAACTGGTCAAACTAACAACATGGATTTTTTTCATAATATAATAAATTGTAGCCTAAAAATTGCATGCAATACATTCTCTCCAAAAAGTAGATGAGTCTGGACTTCTCCTCATAAAAGACCTCGGATGTATTTCAACTCTTGTTAGCCATCAGCTCCTGTAAGCAACCACAAACTCTTCAAATTTTGGGAGGTTGATAAGGGGAGGTTGGCGGACTGAACCACTGAAATGGCTGAAACAGCTTACCGGGGGTACAAAGGAAGGTTGGACATTAACAGCTTCTACAGCCTCCCAGTCAACATCTGCCATGAGACTTTCTTGCTTCAGCGCCTCTATAGTGTCAAGTCTTTTAGTAGGATCATGTTGAAGAAGCTGTATTTGGAAACAATAGTTATTATTAGAACATACCATCAACTAACACATTCACTCCTCAATAGCATGGAATTGCCTGCCTGCTTGGAACCAGCTCCCTAGTACCGCTTGTAAATCATTATTTTAACATACGGCAAAACTTTGACACCTAACTTGTGCAGCGGGATGAGAAGGGATTTGAGTGTGAATCCTACTCAAACGAGTAGGATTCAGTCCAACAGGCCAGTTGAGTTTGGTATGGTTCGAAAGATCTCTTCACTCTGCACAAGTTAGCGGACAAAGTTGTCCTTGACCATGAAAACTGATGACATCACAAGCAGTAGAAAGGACGTGGATCTGCACAGGCAGTTACAGGCGGCTCAGGGGCGAATGGGTTAATTAATAAAGTGCCAAAACTAAACTCTAGGGAACAGTACTGAACCTACTCTGTGGAGGACATGTATCATTTCTCTTGACCAAGAAGATGGGTAATGGATTGATTCTGAGGCAAATATTTGCCGGACATCAGAAAGGCCTGTGTTGGCATGAATCTCATAAGGTCTCTGGAATGAAGTAAGTTAAAAAGCAATATTCAGTGTTATTAAATAACAAGTTCAATGTTATTATTATTAGTATTTATATTCATATATTAAACTATCTTTCTATATAAACACCAATGACATACCAGGTGAGCTTTCATGTGAAAACATGATATCTTCACACGGGAAAAGATGACCATTGCTATGGCTACATAATAAATCGCGCCTTTCACAACGAAAATCTGTTAAAAGTGAAATGGTTTGGTATTTCATTGGTGTTTATATAATAAACAGAACATTACATGGCCGCTTGGAGATACAAAATTTCTCTTCTTGTGTTGAAGAAGTATTTTTCAACACTAGATGAGAAATTTTGTATTTCCGCGCAGCCATGTACAGGGACTGAGTCCATGTTGCATACTTAACAAGGTATTAGCCCTTTAATTCCCAAGAGTGACCAACATCAAATTTCTCCTAACAATATTCATTATAACAATAAATAAAAAAGAGAAGAGGTTATCAGAAGTGATTGAATGAACAGCAAAGGGGAAATGCTTTGATCTTTTATCACTCTCTAAAGTAATTATTTATTTAAGATATCAGTGTGAAAAATGTGTATGTTAATATTGAGGCTTAACGAGTTAATGAGTAACTGGTAGATTAAAAGTCTACTACAGGGCTCTCAAAAGTAGCCAGCTGCTGGCAAAATTGCGGCATGCTTGGTTAGTATGGGCCGGCTACTCTGCTTGGCATTTCTTTAAGGATGGCAATTCTCTGGCTAACGTTTGGTAGCCTATGACTATTTTTTGCTCAGACGTGGAGCCTCTTTCAAAATATTCTCCTGCTACTGGAATTTTTATTCTCAAACTCATTAATATTTTATAAAGAAAATTCAATGGAAATTAATGTTTAATGATCCTCATTTTTGCATCCTTAATTTCTCTTTCTAAAATCATTTTCTTTGAGAAGTAATATCAAGCATTCAACACAGTGTTTCATCACCAGATGATACCCCTCAAAGTTTGTTAAAAATACTCTACTGTGCGTTGTACAGTATTCTCAACTCTCTTCTCAGTGTTTCATCTGGTGATGAAACATTGCACCTGATCATCTGCTTACCTTCGCTCTAAGTATTTCATAGATACAAACACCTAAACTCCACCAGTCAACACCAAATGAATATCCTTGTGTTTCCTCGCGAGCTGTAGCAAATATTTCAGGTGCTACAAAGACAAAGAATAGCAATATTACCAATTCAACCCTGCATTAATATAGACTTGTTTCCCTAGACTCCTGATGAAACTTTCTACAGTATTGTACAATGTAGAAAGGCAAGGAAATTTTTAATAATTATATATAAATGTAATAGAAAGAAGGGCCGGGGTTACCATGATTGTCCTGATGGATGTTCTGAGTTCTATTTCACTGAAATTTTCCAAAACTAAATTTCAGGTCAAGTAATGTAAAGTTCTTTTAATTAACTTAGAGCAACAACATAACATTCTCTTAACCTTTTTGGTTATTTCATGTTTGAAAATCAAAATTCAGTGGGCTAGCCTCTGATTGGTCAATTTTAGCAATAGCTCGATCAGCCCATGCGCCTAGCCTTTGGATAGGGAGTACAGCGCGGGCATATTTCAACATCAATGGCTGGAGACTGGACCTAGAAATCCGCCTGTTCTTCCCTTTGAGTGAGCTCCTTTTCAGTATGGGGAGAGAAATATTACTGTGAAGCTACCTTTCATGCAATGGCTAGAACTGATTCGATTTGTCACAACTTTATGACCTACTTTTTTCGGGGTCCAGACAAATTATCTGTGAGCCATGGGAAAACTAGAGTTTTATGAAATTGAAAATGCATGAAAAATGTTTCCTGCTCAGTTTCGAGGTTTTGCTGATAGAATATTTGCAGAATCACGCAGTATTGATCTACTTTGACTGATTAGGGTTTACAGCGCTTTTTGGCATTAAACAATGATTTACAATGGTTAGCTTTCGGTTGTTTTTTTCTTTTTATTGCTTTTTCTATTTTTTTCTATTTTTCTTTCGCATGGCTCGCTGGCTCGCACTGTATCCTAACTCTTTTTTCAGCACCTTTCCTACACCTGAGGCCCTGCCAGGGTAAATTCCGACAAGTGACATTTAGAGGGCCATGTGTTAGAAAACTCTTAACTGGGTTAATCATGTATATCTACCCTCTCAAAATAAAGAACATTGTATTGTATTGTATTGTACCCAAAAAGTAGTGACAGAGCCTAAAATGAAATCGCGACAAGCGACAACCTCCTTCGACCAAATTGCGACAGTGATGGCAAAGCTGAGAATATGCGACAAAGAATGGTGGTTTGGCTTACTTATCACCAGTCTGCATGCCAAAAAGAAGTAATGTTCTCTCTTCAGAGAGTCTCAGTGGACTCTCCTGAGCGCGTCGCGTTGGCCCATTGCATAGTCTTCATTTACGTAACCCCGCACAACTCCCGGGAGACCTTGGAACTAGGTTGTCCGTCAAATAGTTTAATTTTACGCACACTTTACATCTCTTGTAATCACTACTTTCATATAGACCATAATGCACCTTGTTTTCCCCCTCAGAATTTTGCATAACCATTGTTTTCAAATTCTCCAGGGTATTTTTAATACAGTCGTTCCAAGAGAAATCGAAAACAATGGTTATGCCAAGTTTTGGGGGGTAAACAAGGTGCTTTATGGTCTGTGTGAAAATGGTGAATACTTTGCTTTTTCCTGAACTTCTCACATCCCTGTCGACCGCTGTCGGACGGTGACGACGGTGGAGAGACCAGGGACCAGGCAACCTAACCACTGACCTTCCAACCGCTCTCACAGAGTAGACCACCATTAACCGGCCTTCACGTACGATTTATCACGTTCAACATTTTAAAAAATGTTGAACGTGGATCACTTAGGGTGCGTTGACAGTGTTCCTTTAAGCGAATTCAAAAACAGATTTCTGATCCGAGATTTGCTGGATTTCGCAGTCGAAAGGAACGTGAAATCCGAAATTGGATTTGTGACCTTGGTAACCTTTCGCAAACGTGTGCAATATGCATGACAGCCTGAGCCTCTCAAGAAATGACATGTTTAATTATGTGATTATACCGTGCAGAATTTTGTGGTCGGCAGTTCGAATAACGACGATGGGGCATAAACAGATCAAGAAAGGAGAGCGTTAAAGTTGAAAATTTACTAAAGGTTGTCGGGTTAGTTTGATCCAGTTTCGTAGCTCGGTTTTTTATGTAACACGATCGAGTGCCTATCGCGTCCACAAGCGAGTTTGTAGAAAGATAGCAGTTATTTGTCCCTTTACTTATTTGTGTTTTTAAGCAATCTTTAGCGACAAATGGTCCACACATGGATATTTTACTGTACAGTAAAAACCCGCGAGTAAGAACCTACATTTTCTGGAGTTAGCCTAAACAGGTTCTTATTTAAATGGTAGTTAACACAGTTTTAGGCTGTTTAGGTTCTTAAATAGGTTCTTATTTCTGTAAAAAAAAATTATAAAAAAAAAAACAACCTACAAAACAAGATGGTAATCAGCCTATTTGTCAATTTCAAAATGCGATACAACGACATTAACCTTTTGCACTTTATTCTTTTATTACATCAATAAATTAGCACGTTTATTTGCACAGCAATGCCAAGTTCCTAATTCTCCAAACAGGATTCTTGCACAGTTTTGCAGCTGCATTTCAATAATATGATTTTAAAAAATAAGAACCTATTTTTCATTTTCTAGGCTAAACAGGTTCTTGTTTATAGGGGATATAAACGGCAAATTTTAGGCTAACAGGTTCTTAATTTTCAGGTTCTTACTCGCGGGTTTTCACTGTACCACTATGAACAATCTTCTAGTGTTTTCAGATGTTTTACGGCAAATGGCAGTAGTTAGGAAACTCTACGGGAATACTTCAACTGGGATACAGCTGGATCATCTGACTAATTTCGAATCCACTGTGAATGGAACAGCGTAGATCACTAATCCGTTAATCTGGATTCGGATTCTTCGGATTTCAAATCCAATGTGAATCCTTTTTCAAAAAGGATTCACCAGATCAAAAATCCGAATTTGGATTTGCCGAAAGGAACGCGAAATCCATTTTAAGATCAAAAATCCGTTTTTGGATTCACTGAAAGGAACACACCCTTAATTGTGAATGGTGATGTATAGGTGTTCTATACGCGAAAGGTTAACTGAGAAATTGCACAACTGTAATGGTTTCTTTACAACGCATCGCTATCCCCCTTTTAATTTCTAAAATTCCGACAAAGACAAAAAATTTTCGTTCAATTTACGACAGCGACGTGAAGCATTAATAAACACCGACACGAGATGTTTTAAAATTCAGACCAGCGACATGGGAGCCCCCCCTGGCAGAGCCTCACACCTAGGTGTAGGAGGCCTCCTCATGGAGCTCTTATGATAAAGTGACAGCTGCATATTTGCAAGCATTCTTCATTTTTAAGAACAGTTGCAAATAATGTCCTAAAACTAATAAATTCCACTTCCCTGTTCTTACCCATATATGGCTTTGTTCCAGACATTGAAGTTGCCAATTTTCCATCTTCCAAAATTGTCGCTATATTGAAATCGGTCAAATGGACATGACCTTGAAAAAAAGTAAACAGAGTGAGTCTAAATTGAAGTGGTTGTCCCAGCAACGTTCTATGATTTAGGCAAACGAACATATCCATAACCAAAATAATTGGACTGTGTTTCCCGAAAATTAGTGAAAAATATTTCTTTTGTACTTCTTGTTTTCCCGACTGAATTGCAAGTTTAATAGTAAAACCACTGATGTGCGCCTCGGCGCTGCGGGCATTGTATAGGTGACCAATACAAGCATAGTTCACTCGGAAACGCTCACAGAAAACAACAAAGGCTTTTTACCCATGAGGAACAAAGTTAAAAAGGAAGGAAAAGGAACCAATGTAATTAAGTCAAGACCAATAAAATTTAACCTTGCCCCATACCTTTCTCGTCGAGCAATAAATTATCCGGCTTTAAATCCCTGGAAAAGAGAGAAAATGATTTCATTTCGTGTTGTGCGATCGTCAGAAAACGGCTAAAATAGAAAAGCAAACAAACAGAGTGTATGAATTCGACAATCGTTTAAGCTGAAGAAGATCACCTGTGAATAACTTTCTTGCTTCGCAAGTAGCCAAGGGCTAAACCAAGCTCGCATAAATATAACTTCACTCTCGGTTCGTCAAATTTGGTTACTTGCTGCAGATGATACCGAATATCCCCACCAAGCAGTAGATCTACGACCATAAACATATCTTCTTCATCTTGAAAGGCAAACCATAAATTGACAAGGAACGGGTGCTCGAGGAATTTGAGAATCTCCAACTCGCGAAGCACATTTCGTACAGCGTCCTTTTTGATACACGCAGATTTATTCATATATTTCATTGCATACATGGCTTTAGTGTCCTTCTTCTGAACGATGCAGACCTAAAGAAAAAAAATCGATTAAAATCAAACGCAACTTGCTGAAACAAATCAAATTTTTCCACCGCAAATCGAGCATTACGTACGTACCTTTCCAAACGCTCCTTTTCCAATAGCACGGAGTATTTGGAAATGATCAAAATTGACTGAAAAGAAAAGATAAATAATTCAACAATCGTATTTTGACTTCCACAAAAAAACCACTAACTTCTTGCTAATACCTTCGCCGTTCGCATCGTAAGAGGGTTTTCTATTTGACTGCAAGCCGCCCATAACCGTGCTTTCGGAGCAGCCTATTTTGGGCAACCTTATGTTCGAATCTACCCGCTTCAGCCGCAATGCCGAAGGCGGGCAGCTTCATAAAGCAGAAACTCTCAATCTGAGGAAGTAATTTCCAGTTAGTTCCTGGGTTTCTCAGCAGACGAGACGTCCCGCGATTTCTCCGCCGATTGTGTTGAGCATAGCTGAGGACCGATGCGTGACGTAAAGTAAACACACTTGTTTATTGGTTGATTAAAGTTTCATTTATCCGACACTTTTGCACCCGAAAGAGATTAGTGTAAACTTCCATTGAAAGCACTTCGCAGCTTTTTTGAAATAATCGTCACCTTGACGCGTTCTACGTGGTATATCTCACGATGTTTTATATTGATGAATTAAAATAATCTGGTAGAGCATTGCAACACCAAGAATGCTTCCTGAGTACTCAGTCAATATGGTCAGCGCTCGCTAGATCCTAAATTACTCTATGAAACACTCCACGAAATGTAACAAAATGGCGTGTTACACACGTGCTGGAAGTAGAGCATTTTAAGTTGTTATCTTGAAATCGCCTCTTATTCATTGGGAAACATCATGGTAAAGTCAAAGAAAGCTTCTGTCAAGCTTGCCAAAAAGCAACCCAAGAGTGAAATCAAACAAGTGAAAAACAACCCGTTTGAAATTCATACAAACAGGAGAAAGCATGACATTCTTGGAAGAAATCTCAAACATGATAAGGGTTTACCTGGAATATCACGATCAAAAGCTATAAAGAAGGTGATTTTCGTACTAAAAAAGGGCCCAAACTAAAACGTTTCCTTAAGGGTGCAGAAATGCACATGCAAGTCCTCCCAGGCTTCAAAGTATTTGAAACACTGTGTTTAATAGTGTGTGTAGATATTGAAAACAAGTACTGATTTGTTTTGGGTTTTTTTGGTTATTTTGTAGAGGCAAAAGACACTGTTGGTAGAATACAAACAGAAAAATAAGGTTGGTACCTAGAAACATTTTCTGGTCGATGATATTCAATATAAATGCATTTTTTTTTGTTAAAACTGGAAACAAGTTCTTTGTTTAGCAAAATCAACAGAGCGGGAAATTCAAGTTTGATATGAATTAAATTGGTGTTAGGAAATAAAACAAAGGAAAGTGAGAGTCAGCCTACATGTAGGTTGAAACTATTTTACCCTGAATTTTATTTTGACTTAAAACAAGTTACATAGACCTATCATAATGATCATGGTAGAAAGCACTTTTTAGTTAATTATTGTAGTGATTGTTGCAATTTAACATATCAGAATGTACTCAGGCTGACTGTGAACTTTTTTCAAAGAAGTGCATTCCTATAACTGTTTATCAAGATGTTTTTTGATATAGAGAAAAAAATAAGATTGCATGCTGTAACAGCTCAAAGCAATCTGCTGAAAAGAACATGGAAAAATAAATGAAAATGGTCAGTTGCTTTTTAGCAAGGTGACCTTTTACATGTAGGATAAGGTTGGCTCTACTCCACAAAATTCTACTCTTATTCTGTCATGCATCTTCTGTATATCAGTATAATATTGTTTATTTACTTTACCCAAGGCAAATATGTTTATTGATCGCCGTTTTGGTGAATATGATGAGAAGATGACTCTTGAAGAAAAAATGATGAAGAGATTTACGATGGAGAAAAAGGTATTTTTGTTCAGGGTTGGAAAGAGGTTTCAGGTATTATGTATCCAGGGTTTTTTTAGTCTGGTGTATGGAATCTTTAACCTAAAAACAAATGGTTTACCTGAGTATTTATTTAATTTGGGTGTTTGGTATACCAAGCTTCCTATGGCCTTGGAAGAAATAGGGAGAGTTTTGGGTGTATTGTGTTGGCATAATTATTTTCGTTGTAATGATAAATTACATGTACAACCCCCTGGCTGACCCTGCTTGGTGGATTACAATACAGTGTAGATTCTATTCCAACACCAAGTCTCGAGTCAGTTTTCATAGAAGAGTCCGAATTCAACAATGTTGCATGACATAAACACATGATAATTGTCACGACATACATAATGTAACGCAACTCTAAATGTCACTGACATTTCTTCCCCTCCCGAATTACAGGGAAGCTGAAATTCGAATACATTTTAACTGAAATACATCCTTAGCTTTAGATGATAGTCCTCCAAAGTGTTTTTGTTACAGATTAATCTGATTACACTTCAGTGTCCCGAATCTCCAGAGGAGAGGTTCCAGTTATTGGTCGCTGAAGGGTCTTGCCATTAACCCATATGTTCACCACTCACACAAGGCTGTCAGGGCCAGGGTACATCTGCTTGATGCACCCAACATTCCACTATCACCTCACTGTAGGGGGATCAATAACAACGACAACGTCTCCAAGTTACCCACAAATTTTCATTACAGAAGTACCACTTCTGTCTTGATCCAATCTGTAGTAAGTATTCTTTCATCCATCAGTTCCAGGCATGTCTTGTGAGCTCTTGTACTCTTCTCCAGCACTTTCTTGGATTAAATGACTCAATGTTGACACTCTCCAGTACAAAATCATCACCCATCTGTCCAGTCAGTCAAGACGCGGTCGCCGTTAGGGTCGTCACTCACAGCTGTTAAAGGTCTCAAATTCAGCAGACTTTCTACCCCAGTGAAGATTTGCTCTTTGCTTTTCCAAAGTTTATTCCATCATCATGTAACATTTGCTGCGGCCATCCTTTCCAGGCAGTCATTCTGACAAAAGTATTGAGAAATGCATCAGTGTCCAAAGATGACCCCATCTCTAAGTGACAACAATGGGTCCTCAAACATGGAAACAAACACAAATACTGCATAGCTCGCACTCTTCCACGTGTTCGCTTAGTTAAGAAAGGGTCCTTTATCGTCAACTGCACAGCTCTCGAAAGGTCTGGAGGATTGCTGTAGTCTAATCTTCGGTAATGGCGCCATTTGCTGGTGAGCTGGCTTTGATTGAAATCATCTTGCACACTCAAAACATTGTCTCATGACTATTTTCACTTGTTCACGAACACAGGCCACTAGGTATTTCTCCCGTACATGATTTTAATCATGTAATTAAAATTATAAAGTTGAGCCCCATCTGATGACCCGCTAATTCATGGTAGTGCTTAATGATCAGTCCTGTGACCTGATTCCTCTTAGGCAGTATGATTGGACACTTGACATCATATGGAAGATCGCTTGCATGCCATGGTCTGGTTTTTGGTCTCAAAATACCATTAACTAATACTGGATTGAATGGTGCCAGTGTACGTCCTCTCAGGATTTCCTTGTTCCTATACCTGCCAACTTTTTCTGAGATATAAGCGTGAGATTTTTATCCTGGGAGTGCTGGGATTTTTGAAGATGACACGATCATTTCCGAAGATTCCCGAAGAAGTCCGAAGTCTTCCGAAGACGTCCGAAGTCTGCCGAAGACTGCCAAAGGCGAGCTCGCTCCCAGTGCTTTTCACTTCAAAAATTAGAGATCACGAGGAAGGTATTGCCATTTATTCATTTTACACATGGTTTTCGTTCCTTACATGGGTCTGAGTTAACATGTTTTTGGAAATTGTGTCAAGCAGGACGGCAACAACTCACATTTTTCAATCAGGCATGAGAAATTGGCCAGCGAGCCGGCGTGAGATCGAAGTTTTCAACCCGCAGGCGTGAGAGTTGGCAGGTATATGTTCCTTCTCAATGGCTCTATCTCTGCTGCATACACTTTAGACTGAACCTCCTGAATGATAAATTCTTCAGCATTTTGAAGCTCCAACAGCTTCAGTTCACCCTTCTCTCTTTACTCAGCTGGTTTCCTACAATTGTCCGTAATCCGAGCACCCACGCTGTCACACGAACTAAAGACAACCCAATTTTCAGAATTTTCTTCTTTTGTTTTTACTTGATATCATTTGGAGTATCTTGAGAGGTCCAATCGTCACACTTCTTCAACTCTAGCCATTTCTTCACCTTCTTCAGTTAAGTGGTAGCATCCTTTTGTTCTTTTTTGTTCCTTTAAGGTCTCTGTTGACGTTGGCTTGTCAAAGTTGCACTCTGGCCCGTCTTGTTTTGATTTCTTCAACAATTTAGGCCCATTTCACCATAAGTCAGCACTTGCTAACTCTTCTACTGTTAGGCCTCTTATTCCAAGGTCGGCAGGTTTACATCTGTAGGAACATAGCGCCACTGATTAGGAGAAGAGAACTCATAAATTTCTCTAACACGATGGGCTATGAATGGCTTTTACTCTCTACTCTGACCTTGGATCCAGTACCCCACATTCATATTGTCCACCCAATAGGTCACTCTATTAATTTGTAGGTGCCTTGAGTGCAGAGCAAACTTATCTTGTTAATGGTAATCTGATGACTGCACCTAAAAGCTCTTATCTGGGGTTGCTCACTACTTTTGATAGTGCAAGCCTAGACTTTGACATAATCAATCAAGCAGTAATGTTGCCACCCTCATACTCACGACGTGCATAAACTGCAGCTGTATAGTGTTCTCTGAGGTGCCATTAATGTATGAATGCTCAGTTCTTCCACCTTAGGACTTGGGTCTTTCAAACACCTCGTGATTTTCACAAGTTCAAGGTCATCCAATTCTCGAAACCACTTTGTCCAGTCTTGCTGATGATATGCTGGCAACAGTTCATCCCAATCCTGTGCCTCCAGCCGTGTCTTTTGTATCAACAACTTGGACCTGATTACATAAGGTGATAAGAAGCCTAATGGGTCGTAAACTGCTGCTGTTGGCCTCAAAACATTCCTCTTGATGAATTCAAATCCATCTAACTGTATCTAGTGTCTAAACGAAAATTGTCAGTGGCAGCCCACAGGACACACAGATTCTTGGTTGTTGGCAATTCCCTCTTCTTTAAGTCTATCTCAGAAGCCCTATCTTCTTCTGCAACATCAGCAATTAGATCCGGTTCATTCGAGATCCATTTGCGGATGTGAAAATGAGCCAAGTCCCCTAGTTCCGTAAGCCGCTTTCTTGTTTCCTTCGCGTCATCCACCATAGGTGTAGATGGCATCAGATCATCCATTTAACAGTGTTCTAAAACTTCATTAGCTCCTCATGGGTAAGTCTCCTTGTTAAGTCTGGCATGATGTTGCCAAGCAAACTGGACACAAAATGGGCAGTAACACCCTCCAAAAATAAACCTCTTAAACTCGTAAACCTTTGGTGTAACCCCACTGCCCAAGTTCCTGTACAAGAATCTATGCAGGTGCTTGTCCCCTGGTCTGAGAAGCATCTGGTTATACATTTGGCTCACATCACCAGCCATGGCAACTGGCTCCTTTCTAAACTTAGCTGAAATGTCACAACATCACTTTGCAACTCACTACCCGGTGGTGATTCACTGTTCAAACTCTTTCTGTTTTGCTGAGCTGATCTATCAAAAACGTGACACAACCCGAACTTTGGTTGTGGCCTTCTCTGGCTTTACCACAGGGAAATGTGGAAGGAACCATTCTGATGGTGGTTTTGGCTCATCCTCTGGGACGTCTTGGATATACCCTGTACTTCAGTAGTCATCAACTGTCCACTGATTGGTAAGCCTGTGCCAGCCTCTCATCTTGCATTTACTTCTTCTCAACTGTGTGAAGGCGTTTCTCTGCCATCTGTCAGTTTGGCCTTAATTCTGGTCTTTCATGTTTCCAAGGCACAGCAACTTCATATCTCTCACCATCAAACCCGATTGTCTTGTTCACTTTATCAAAGGCTAGTTTCTCTTCGAGGGAAAGTGGTTGCCTTACCTGCGGTGTGATCCCAATAGCCTCAATGCTCCGAAATTGTTTCAGCAGATAGTTCAGATCTCCATCACTACACTCTGACCACTGTATAGGTGATACATGCAGGTGTTCAGGTAACCAATGTTACTGGCTCCATGTCCCTTAGATGTACCAATGGTACCAATTGTTGCCCACCCCAGTGGACAATTGGTTCATTGCCCCACCCTTTCAGTGGAAACACAAGCTGTTTTAATCTGAACCAATAAGTTCATTTTCTCCCTTTTCCATGAACCTCTTTTCACTGATCTTTGATTATTTTGCAGCCAGTTGGTGGGTTTCATCCCACCACAGATGTTATAATTTTGAACCAATAAGAACTGTTATCAAACTTTTTATTCCCTTTTCCAAGTTTTTGAAAAAAGGAATGTCCCTTGTTAAATGCTTAATAAAGAATTTTGATCTTTGATTATTTTGACAAATGCCAGTTGGTGGGTTTCATCCCACCACAGATGTTCTCATTAGATAAATTAACTTAATGATTGATTTTTCGTGAAACAGTTTTTGCTACAATGACTGTGTCCACCTGACCATCCAGACTCTCGAAACCAATCTCCATGGTTGCTGACATTAAATTGACTTTCTGACTATTAGCAACATTGGTAATTACTTTTTCCTTCCTACCATCCAACCCCAGTTCCTCTACCACATCCTAGTTAACATACGACGTATCACTTCCTTCGTCCCAGAAACAATTAACAATTAACTTAAATGTCTCTCCCCATGTTTCTGAATGCCTGGAACAGTACGCAAGGCAATGCTCCTCTGTGCATGTTCTTGCTCTGTTTCATACGTACTGGACTTATTTTCCTCTGTCAGGGGTGTGTCAGCCTTCCCCTCCATGGACCCTTGAGCTATTTTCTCCTCGTGAAGTAACCAGTGGTGTTTGTCTTTGCATCTGTCAATTCCATACTCTCTGCTCCAAGTACATGAGTCACCAAGGTGCCCATTCCCCAAGCAATGGTAACACAGTCCAAGTTTCTTTGCCATCTCCCAATTCTTTCTATGTTCCATTCCTTTGAACACATCACATCTCCAAATTGGGTGTTTTGCTTGCATACTTTACAGGGACGATCACATTTCTCCTCTGTGATCCCGAAATGAGACTTGGTTTAGCTTGTGTATTTCCAACACTGGACAAACCATGCTTAATTTCTGATGCTTGTACCTGGTACTCAGCTTCTTCAGCAACCCAGTGATGCAGCTCTTCAAGAGACTCCATGCTTCCCTTTTCTTTAATCCATCGGTAGTAGTGGCTAAGTAGAGCTTAAGGAAGTTTTTCCAGCACAATTGCATAAAATGTGTCTCCTTCCAGCAGGTCAGCAAACTTCCTATTTTCCTTTAAAGAAACCACAGTCCTCTCCACTATGTCGGCAAATCTTTCTAGCTCTCTTGGATTATCAGCGTTTATTGGCCTCATCTCATGTAGCTCATCGATATGAGCTTGAACCTGTCGCCTGTTTCCCCCATACTTTTGATTCAACCTTGCCTTAGCCGCTTCGTTCGCATGATCCAAGTAACCTAGTCCTATCACCGTTTCGGCCACCTCTCCTTCTAAACAGCTTTCGAGCCACAACATTTTAAACTGAACTGACAAATTGTTTCATGCACACAACTGGAAAATGCTGCCCACCATGACTGATATTCTTTCTTGTTGCCCGAAAACTTTGGGATTCGAATCCACTCGAGTTGTTTGTTTGCATCAACCACGTGACCATATGAATCTTTGCCATGTGTGCTCTCAAATGTGTCGCTCTGGCTCGTGTTATTTCCTTCGCTTTCCTTGCTGTTACTTTGCGATAAGAAAAGCTGAGCTTCCTTTGTCTCATTATCCACACGATCTATCATTTTATCCACTTCATCACCTGTTGAAGCTGCCAGCGATACATGCTTATTTTGTCCATGCAAGGTTTGAAGTGACTCCAGAAGCTCCAACAATTCATCCCGTCGCTTGTCACAGTCCTGTAGTTTTTCCGTGACATTTTCCTTGTTTGGCATTTTTTGTTTGTGAGTTTTTGGGAGTCTGAGTTTTTGACACACCCAATGATCTCAGTTTTTCAGGGTCTTAGTTTTCAGGACACCTGATGGAGTTTAACTTTTCAGTGGACGTCTGAGGTCTGAGTTTTCATAACACCTCAACCTTTTGGTTTCTTTATAATATTGACAGTTTAATAAGGCAGAGTTTTAGAAAACCAAAAGTAATGTCCTATTGTATTCTTGACAATCAGCATCATCATGAGCGACGCGGGAAGTATAGGTTAGAGGATGAGGAGCTTACTCATTTAGGACAATCTCTTGGAGAAATTGACAAGTTTGATGACGTCCTGCTAAGTGATGATGATGACAATGTTGACAATAATCAGGATGATGGTATTTATGATGAGATATGCCTTGGTTTTTTGTTGTATTGTAAAAATAATGTTCTCATTTCTTATCTTCTGCCGAGGACTCACAATGATACTTTTGTTTTTCCTAAATAGTCGATGATGTGAAAGAACTGCATTTTGGTGGCTTCTTGACAAAGAAGAAAACAGCTGACAACCTGTCTGATAAGGTAAAAATAATCAGTTGAGGCTTCATTATAAACCTTTATTAAGTGGTTACCTCTATAAAGTGATCATGGTTACCTTTTGGCCATCCCGATGACAGTTCTTGAATTTTTTTCACCTCAATTTAGTGCCATGGTTGCAGATACAATGTACCTGCAATTTGGCTTTATTTTGAAAATATGAAGGGAAATACAGTCTGAGACAGAAGGTAAAGATTGATTGTGGACCAGTATTTCCTTGGTCTTTACTCTTATCAATCATAACTCTTAACCAATCACAGAGATGCCAACCTCTGGAGACCTAAAATAGGGAGACTGTCTTTTTTTTCACTACCCCCTGGAATTTCAATGGACCTCCCCCCCCCTATGAAAAATTAACCCAGCTCCCAATGAGAATGACTTAGGACATTATATGACGTCTTACATGATGTACATACTATCAAAATTCGAAATCATTGTTTTGATGCTAGAAATAATCTTTGTCAGTGACTTAATACGTGCAAAAATGCCCCAGAAATCATACTGCGAATAAGAAAAATTCAAATTTTGAGCTAAAAATGCGCTAAATCTCAAACTAAGTCTGTTTTATTTTTTACTAAGTATTCAATATTTATAGTGGACGTAAAAAGCGGGAGATTTATGTACCAAAGTGGGAGACAAGGCAAAAAAGCGTAAGTCTCCCACCAAAAGCGGGAGAGTTGGCATCACTGCAATCAGCATGCGAGAATTCGCTCAGTTGTTGTAAAAAGTATGTATCTGGAAATGAGTTTGTGAATAATTTTGAACCCAGGGCGGGGGGGGGGGGCAATTGTCATGAAAAAGAATAATGACTGATAAAATACAAGCTGTTTTTATAAATTTTTCGAATCAGAAGTGTTTTGTAGTCAATTTGCGTTACAAAAAAAAATCATATATATCATTTAAAGCCCTTTGTATGTTGAATCACTTAAAAAATTTAGGATGAAGATAAGCACAAGAGTAGGAAAGAGATAATGGAGGAGGTGGTCGCCAAAGCTAAGATAAAAAAGGTAGGTTACATATATGGATGTGTTATTGACCAAGTGTGAGGTCAGTATGGTTGGATATTGGCCAAGTTCTTCTTTGTGAAATTTAGTCAAGGTAAAAAAAAAAGCAAACCAAAAACAAGGCTAATTATCAGCCATCTTGATCCAACGTACTTGGTCAATTGTCTGTTATAATAATAGTATGGCAAGAGAACTTCTTTTCCTTGGGACCAAATTAAAAGGAAATCCCAAGTGGGCGAGTTGGGCTGATTTTGCTGTCTTGGGTGGCCAATCATAAGGCAGGATTTTCTTCATGTTTCCTGCTCAGGGGACCAGCTATGTATTAAACACAGTTAATGCAACCAAGTGTCTCTTGAAGAGGCCATTTGTGTTTTACAAGCAAATCCAGTGATTTTGTTACGAGTAGTTATGGTGAGTCCTGGGACTCTTCTTGTGAAAAATGAAAATCTTGAGTCCCAGTCCAGAACCAATGAGTCCCTGGGTCTTTTGTTAGAACAGCCACAGAAATCGCACGAACAGGATATTCTACAAAAAACAACTTCAGATTGATCAATTGTTCTTTGCATCCAATGAGATGTATAACATAAATTATTTTGTGTCTTTGGTGATTTTTTTTGGATCTGGGAAGCCGGACGAGGTAACAAAATCACTGAAATCTATATACGACTGATTGACTCTTACACAGTGCCTTTCCCACACTCCACACACTTACCTTGCCCTGTAGACTTAACTATGTAACTTGCAAGTAATAGTACTTAACCACACTTCTCTGTGGACATATTATTTTGCCACTTTTATGATGAAAAATTATAAAGTTCTGTGTACACAAGCAGTCAAAAATTATTTTTGTTAGGCATGCATGGGGTTATTACTGTGAAACTCTCAAAACCGTGAACACCAGAAATATTTATGGAATCTTCTTGTTTTGCGAGGATAAGCCAATAAGGCATGAGATAACTAAATTGTGAACAGCAACGGTAATTAGTTTGTGGTTTTGAGGTTTGCTTGCGTATTCTAAACTTTATTATGATTGGCCAGTACACAATCAACATTCCTGAAAATTTTCAGGTGTTCAGGGTTTTCTGAGTTTGACAGTAAAATGTGGCCTCTTGGAAAGTTCTTGTTTTAATATAGATATTTTGAATGAATAATAAATAACATTTTATAAATTTTTCTATTAATGAAGTAGACATGTATCATTACTAATGCTCCATTTCGTGCAGCATGAACGGCAAATGGCAAAGGAGGAGACTGTCAACTTGACAGACAAGCTGGATCAAGACTGGAAAAGCCTTAGAAATCTGATGTCAAATAAGGTACGCATGTACTTTGCAATGTTGAATAGTTATTAAATTGTAACATTTGTTCTCTGCACAATGTGTTTTCAGTGAGTGTTCAGCAAGTCAGAGCAAAATATTTCTAGTACTGGTACTTTTTCTAACTTTTGACTTTGGGCCAGGATATTTTATAATGATGGCTTTCAACCAATAAGGGATGTGAGGCAGACAAATTTTTGTTTTTCTTGCTCTTTGTTTAATGTTATGATTTTTTGGTCTGTCTGTTTTATTACTTTTCCTCACATTAATTTCTACCTGAGGAATGTGAGATTCACAATATAGTGAGTGCTCAGCCTAGTCCCCAGGCGTTTTCGGCTCGGTCATTCCTGGACTCTACCATGAGCTGTGACGTCACCGACAGATATTCGCCGAGAATTGCCGAGAATGCCGTTCTCTCGCCCGCTCTTTCCCAGACTTCGCGCCGACAACGGATCAAGAGAGAACACCTAGGGACTAGGCTGGTGACTGGTTAGTTTGATGCAGCCCATTGACAGTCCCAGCTGACTTACAAGCTTGTTTTAACGTGATCTTCATACAACAGGGACTTCACAGTGCAGAGATACCAGCTACTAAATCTGATGATTATGACATTGCAGTCAGGCAGCTTGCGTTTGAAATAAAAGGCAAGGTAAGTAAGTAGAGTATTAGAAAGAAAAACCTGACATTATACCACTAATACTGCCAATGTGCTATCCTATTAAAAACTTACCTTTTGGTACCTTGTCACCTCGTTCCCAGACCATCTTGCCACCAACAAATCGCCGCCAAGAATACGGCTGAGGCTTTATTGTCGTAAGATGTCCTCCAATATACAGAACAAAATGAGGAACTTTCGTGAAAAGAAATGTTCCCTTAACCGCTCCATAATCGTATTTGAAAGAATGACTGGTGGTTGTGAAACTTTCTGCTAGTGTGATTGTGTGGAAGGTATTGTTGAACTTACATTTACCGAACCTACATACATTATCAGTATTTGGAGTAAAGTTCAATGCCAGGATTGTCAGTTAGGATCGACATATTGTATTTGGCTCGAATAGGCTTGACAGAAAATTGAAAATCCTAGGTAAGTTTTTCTAGGAAAGTAAACTGTGTTAATTATTTCAGAGTTATTCGTTGGTGGCGAGTCATCCTCGGAGACCCAGGGGCAGATAGTGGGGGCGAGGGAAAGTCTAAACGGGCGGAAAAATATGGCACAAAAGAAAAGTAAAGAACGGCGAGAAGAGCCCCTGCAGACAATGTCTTACCAGACCAGTTCCAAACGGTCGCCGCCGTTCTGGCTTCTGATTGGGCAGAAAAACACAAAAGTTTTCTGGCACCAGTCAGAAACCAGAACGGCGGCGACCGTTTAGAACTGGTGTGGTAAGACATTGTCCCCAGGGGCTCTTCTCGCCGTTCTTTACTTTTCTTCGTGCCATATTTTTCCGCCCGTTTAGACTTTCCCTCGCCCCCACTATGTGCCCCTAGGTCTCCGAGGATGGTGGCGAGTCAACTTCTTCGTGGTGATTTTGTTGGTGGCGAGACGACTGTAAAACTTTAATCTTGTGCTTGTTCGTGCTTGCAGATCTATTGCATGCAACGTATTTGTGCCTGGTGGGAAAATTTAACCTAGTACTGCCTTAACTGGCATGCAAATGATGATTCTTTTGCCAAAATCTCCATCAGTCTGACTAGCAGTGGAATGGAGAACTTCAGAGAAAGTTTGGAATTTCTAACGAATTTTTTGAGACACCTTGAAATATGACTGTAGCCTCTTTGAAAGACCCTTGCACTCTTAGGATAGAAATCTCACAACCATGACTCAAGAAATGGGGCAGGTGTAATATTATTAACTACATTATCATGATCTTGGAAACTGGGGCTCAGGAAGTTGGTAGGAGAAAAAGTGACTGTTAAATAGGCGGGGAGGTAGATGTAGGATAAAACATGCACGCCTTTGAGCAAAGCATCTATCAATTGGCCCCAATAATGCACCATCATCAAGTTCGCACCTAAAAAAAACATGATGGTTGTATGGGGGAGGTGGGGGTTACAATCCCCAAGGAGATGCCAAAACATGCTCGAGTTGATCCGCAGAGGTTTGCTGGACAATAAGAAAGTAAAGCAATTGCAAAATTATACCTGTAGCAGGGGCCATGCAACAATACAGGTCAAGTGCTAAATTTGCCTCTAATGACATCTTCAGTAGTCGCAATAATGTGCGGGCTCCAGTCCAAATTATATATCATGTGGATTTTCTTGCCATATTTCAGGCAACTGACAGATTGAAATCAGAACAGGAACTTGCTAAAGAAGAACAAGAAAGACTGAGGAAGTTAGAGGTTAGTTACTTGTTAATGAACCAAGGCTGCATAACAACAATAAAATTATTGATATCGCAAGACAGCACACTAATCCTTCATATCGCAGAAAAGACCAAAATTTTGTCCAGTGTAAGATTGTAAGCAGATGCAGTTGATTGGTTTATGATCATCCAGGACATACACGGTATGCTGGCCATGTTTATGTTACCAAAACTCGTAAGTGCGGAAGCCCTTTAGCTCGTTCACAGGTTGTTTGCATGGTTTAAAACATTTCCAAGCACCAATCGATGGTGCGTTTGAAACATTCTTCGGAAGAACACTTTTCCTTTTGTCCTCATCGGAATAGTTTAATTTAAGAGCCACATATTACCACAGTCGGAAAGGATGTATGGGATAAATGTTTGCCTCACTGGCCAAAGAACATCCTCGTTTTCATGGGCACGTGTTTTGAATCAGAGAGCATAAAGTTGCTACAATTACAAATTTTTTGTATCACATTTACAGCCTTTCTCAGCTCTTTTATGTCTTTCATCATATTGCACCATCTTTATTTCAAGAGATCTCATTCTCCATTCAAATTCATTTGTGGCTCTTATTACACAGGGTGGCAAGGAGCGGGGGGGGGGACTATCACGCATCACGGAAAAATAAAATGAAATACTAACTAACTTAACTAGTATCCTATAATCATTTGATCTGAGGAAATCAGAGGTCGAGAAACGAGAAAAAAGGGCAAGAAGTTGGTGTCATAAGGAAATCCCTCTTCACTTGTTGTGAAAATAGTAAATCCTGCATCTCCCTGCTATGTCCAATCACGCCTCACGCGGCTAATTTGGGCCCTATCACGCATCACGCTGATAATTTGGGCCCTGTCACGCATCACGCTGATAATTTGGGTCCCATCACGCGTCACGGAAAACCCCTTTGCCACCCTGATTACAAGTAATGTATTCCATTGTATCTCTCTGTGATTCAGCTTGAGCGACAAAGAAGAATGAAGGGTTTGCCCGCTGTGGATAAAAAGCCCAAACATGTTTCAGCTGATGATCTTGGTGACAGGTAAAAATATTACCTGAAAGAGTTTTTGCATTGTTACAGATCTAAAGAGGCTTCAAAGTCACGAGGACATTGCTGCTACTGTTCAGTTCTGTGCTTAAATCATTACTTCAGTACCTTAACCCATACACGAAAAGCTCCTGTAGAGTTATGGAGAAGATATCAAGCTAATTTCATCAGAAAGCACTAACGATACGGGTTTACATGCAGAAATATGGGTCCGGGTTGCGCCAAAGTAGAAAAGGAATCAAAGATGGTGGGTGACAAAAACAAAAATGACCTTTCAGCCGAATTATCACAATAATCAGCTCGTGGCTTCGCCAAACGTAATGGTCGGCCTTTATTGTCATTTGAACGACCGGTCGACCGGTCTGTCTAGTTTGTCCCTAGTACTAGGATCTATGCATGTAGTTACAAGAAATCTCTTGCAGGTATTTTTTTTGGCTCTTACAGGTATTCTAAGGTTGTTAATAATATGGACAATCATGCTATCCATTTCAGTAATAATAATAATAATAATAATAATGGAACTTATATAGCGCTTATACATCGCTGTTCTAAGCGCTTTACAAGGTAAAAAAGGACATGAGAATATCATTAAGCACAAGCTTACATATAACCCTACTGTACACATCTTAAAAAGGAAAGAAAGAAAAGAAACAAACAAAAACAAAAACGAAAACAAATATGACGAAACTAAATGTCATATATCTTTTTAAAAAGAAACGTTTTCAACTTAGATTTAAAAAGATTAACATCAGAACAAGCTCGAATTTCAAAGGGGAGCTTGTTCCATAGTCGGGGGGCAGCAACGGAAAACGCTCGCTGGCCATAAGTTTTCATGTTAAAATTTGGTTCTTCAGGTCGTAAATGATCCCTTGATGACCAAGGCCGTTCGGTAGCGTCACAAGTAACTTTGTTTGTTATGCTAAACCTGTATCATTTGCAAAGTATCCGCAGACATTCATTTTCTCGATTCATTGTCAATATCACATGCATCTGAAATAATTTCCTCAATTTCTTAAAATGTTACTCGCTTTTTGTGTTCTTGCAATGAACAGCTTTACGCCCGCCGAAGATGACAGAGTTTTGTTAAGCTATCAAGATGGATCGATGCTAAATGTGGATGGTAAGGCAGAATTCTGATGATTTGCAATATCATGCTGCTATTTTTCAAATACCTAACTTCGGATGATGCATTTTAAGTTTTCTAATTGGTTCACTGGATCTCAATTATTAGCCTGCATCATACCTACGTTTGACCTTATACGGAAAATAACTGCGACAGCAAAATTGGATTGACGTCCTGCTCAATTGCAGAGGCTGTTTTATAAAATTGAATAAAATTATAAATAAAAAAAGTTAAGAATATAAGAAAATTAGATACGAAATTGGTTATAGCCAACCTGCATTTCAATATACAACTACTTTTTTTCTTTTACGAATGTACGAGAAAAGAAAGCGACAGTTTTTTCCTTCACCAAGGCTTTCTTTCAAACTTTCCTCTTTAGGATTGTGAAACTGGCTTTCACTATGAAATCCGAGTCTTTAATTATTGTCAACTCTCTAAATTCATTTTGTTACTTTTAATAAGCTTGCGTTGAAAACTTCGTAGCTCTCTGGAGCGTGTTTTGCCCAATCAGATGAAGTACCGCTTTGCCTCAGAGTGACTGTTGTTCTCACTTGTTTTACATCAGATTTATTTCACTTACTTGCGCATTTTATATTTTTACATGTAGATGACGAAGATCAGTTAAGTGGCGACAATGGCAGTGATGTAGAACAGAGAGAAGAAAATGTGGCAGTGGACCAAAAGGAGGAAGAAGGCGAGAGCTCTCCTGAAGATGACGCTGAGGATGACGACAGTGAAGAAACTAGCGAAGACGACAATGGTTCTGATCTCGAGTCTGATGGTACATTCCACTTTTAAAAATACGCTGAATAGAAGTGAAAAATATGCCTCTTACACAGACACCATTTTGGTATGACGAGCCGAGAGGACGTCCACATAAGAGGTGGACACATTCACCCGAACTATACCGTTGTAGCGTTTACTATGCTCTTTTTATAAGGACTTGCTACCCCCTCAAATAGCATAATTTAAGCCGCAGTGACTAAAAGTTCTCGGTCAGCAATGAAAATCGAAAACAGAGTTGCCATAGACAGTGAAATAAAGTTTTAACTACGACTACTGACAAAAAAGAATGCCCTTCAATGCCGTATGCCTGAAAAATAGCGTCAAACTATCATTGCAGCAAGTAAGGAACACTCACGGAAAAATAGAACATTTTTTGTACCCTACTCCAGTTCGGTTGCAAGTACAAAGTATTGTTCTTTGAAGGCTAAAACAATATGCTTTTGCTCTTTAAGCGTGTGATATACAGTTTAAAAACGGTGATGAAAGAACCAGTAAACTTGCAGAAACGTCTGTGCAGCTGGGCCTGGCTATGAAGAAGACCTATAAATGCCAAGTGAAGAGAGTAATAATGTACTGCGAGTTCAAAATCACCTTCCATTGTTGTTTTTCTCCTTATCGTTTTTAGATAGTAATGATGACATAGAAGCTAACTTGGACTCAGACGTCGAGCTTGAAGATAAGACTCGTCAAAAAAGTGGAAAGAGTAATGTATGTACATGTGCAGTATGTTTGTTAGAAGAAAATCAGTTCATGGCGGTTAGAATCTTGAGCCATTAAATGTGACCATTCAAAAGAAAGCTACCAAGCTATGCTGTTTACTCGTACTGTTTGAAAATTCATGATATCGAACGTTGACGTAACATTGTTGACCCTCAGTTTACTGCCTGAGTGAATGGTAAAGTTTTATAAGCTGTGAGTGTGTGGATGAAACCGTTCCAAGGCAAAATTATGCAGAGTTGTGCTGGTACATTTAATGACAGAAGATCCCAACCCCGCTCAAAGATCTCTTTAGTTTTAGACTAGAAACAAATAAATTGATGAAATGACAAGCAACGACTGGGGCGTCATATACTTCACTTGTTTGCGAAGTGTTTGTATCTGGCCTTCAGAATTATTGCTTTTATTACGAACATTACGGACATTACGGACTTACCTAACGCCCGCAAAGCGTTTCAGCTTCTATGGAAACTGTAAACACAAAAATATCATTTTCTGGCCCCAGTTGTTCAAAAGTTAGATAGCGCTATCCAACGAATAAGTGTTAGGGAAACCACTTGCGCTATCCAGTGAATAGTGACTTATCCGGTTGATAGCTTTGCCACCTTTTTATCAACTGAGGCCAGGGCTCTATTTTTTGCTGACATGTTTTCGTGGGAATTGTTAGAAAACAAAATTCACGATAAAATCAGTCTAAGATTTAGTTAGCAGATGCTCCAGATACGTACAGTTGATCTTCCGGTTGTGGCTCCTGGCCCGGGTTGCTCGAAGCATGGTTAGTGCTAACCAGCTTTAAATACCATGGAAACCTATACATTTTGATACCTCTTAACCAACGGTTAACGCTAACCAGGCTTCGAGCAACCGGCCGCTGGTGGAAGGAATTAGAAGATGGGAACAGTATAGGGTTTGATTTTAGTAACTAGTTAGTTTAATGCTTGATTAGGAAAAATATTTTTGCTGGAAAGGTTTTCTTTTTTTACAAAAAATGGAACTCGGAGTTTGTCGAAATTTGTTTTATTATTCCTTTTTAGAGTGCATATAATTCATTTACATTCTTAAATCAGTTTATATTTCTTGTTTGTTATTCTGTAACGTGCAGGAAGACGTATTAAAGGAGGATACAAGAGCAGGGAAAGAGCTTCCGTTTACGTTTAAAGGTAAACCTGACTACTTACATAATTCCAAATAGTAGTCGGTCCTCGGAAATGTCCGAATAAAATTTCCCTATCTCCGACGAAGTCCTACTGACTGTGGTTTGACGTGATTTGCGAACAAAGTTAATTCCCGACTATCATTTCGTTTCGCGTAATGCGTCCTTGATTCAGTCCAACCACATTTTTGTTCGTCCGACTACTTGCTATATCCTTTCAAGAAAGAATAACAACAGCCCCAGAAATCCCTGGCAAAATTAGTTGCGTCGAATACACTTCCCACGTTTTTCAGGCACTAACTACCTCTTCCCCACCCCCTCCCCCCGAGGAACATTGTGGATGGGGTGGGTAGGGGTTCAAATTGTTCATTCCAAGAAGTATAGCCCATTTCACGAACGTTTCTCAACTGTTTTGTCGCCGACTGGAGGTCTACTTTAACCAGCGTAGCAGGCGGTTTTTGGTGTGTGTGTTTTTTGGAGGTTCATAAAGTACGAGACAAAACCGCGCGAAAGCAGAACAGAAGTCAAACGAGAAATCGATGAGGGAGGGGACAAGCGGAACAAGAGTCTGCCTTCTTTCTCTCGCCCCCTCCTCCCATCGTTTCCTCGTTTGAACCCTTACTTACGCAACACGAACAAAAACACACCTAAAAGGCACCCACCTTCTAGGCAGGCTAGTTATTTGAGCGTCGCCCAAATAGAGTAATCGAGATGGCTTGTTTTGATTAAAAGTTGCAATATGCATGCAAGAACGATTCTTGTAAGGTAAAAAGCATACCGGAAAAAAAGCTCTGCTAGTAGGGTACTTGATCCGACTTTTACGATCTCAAAACCTCGCAACACACAAAAAAAGTAATCCCTAACTGTGCGGGGATGAAGAAATCAAAAGCGAGGAACATGTTAAAGCAATGGACGGATAATTTTCAACTTGGAGGAAAAGACAAACTTAATCTGAAGCTTACGGTATTTTTTACGTCACGTAAAAGTCGGCCGGTCTTTTCAGAAATTTGGAAGTTTTAAATCCAGGGATTCAATCTGTCAAAATATTTGGAATTTAAAACGGGTTTGGATCACACCAAAGAGTTTGAGCGATCTTCGTGCTTACAGGAAACATGCTCTGTTTTTTACTTACGATAATTAGTTTAGCCAGGTTAATTGTTTTGCTATTTCTAACCATTCGTAATTACTTTATGTGTTGTTTGAGTTTTAGAAGTAATGAGTATTTTTTAATCGTTGGTAGTATTAAACATTGAAAATCACACTGTGGAATTGACGGGTTTGACTGATACCCAATAGTTTGACAATATTTTTGCCCTTAGTTGTCGAGAGCCAAAGAAGATGTCACGCAATGACGCAAAATTCCGAGATCGCGCATGAGATATGAGGGGAATGAGATGCGATGAGTGGTCACATCAAACGTATTTCGGCAGTTTGATAAGTTTATTGGAGCTTACTGATGTCAGCCTATTAATCTTAACATTGAATTATGCATAATTCCATTGAAAATGTTCGGAAAGGTGATTTCTTGAAATCTTATTGAGCAAAGTGAACTCGTAAGCAGGTTGCATTCTTTTACGTAGGAACCGTAAAAGGGGCAAAGTCCAACATCTTCACGTGAAAACTGCGTGCGGGACAGTTATTTTTAAAACCTTGGGGTTAGTTAGAGTAAGTCGACCTCTCTTATACACGAACTACGAAAGCGGCAAATTCCAAAGCTTTCAAGTGCAAACTGCGTGACAATACAACTCACAGTAAGGGCCTGATTACAGGACCCGGGCTGGTCCGGTTTGTCCGGCTGGTATTGTATTAGTCCGGTCAGCGCGGAGCCGCCATTTTTATACAGGAATTGGAAGCAACGCTTATGAGCAGTGTTTTATTACCTGCTGCCCTGTTTCTCGCTTCGTTCATTCGCCGGGCTGCCTGGCAGGGATGATTACTTGTTGCGTTAACTAAGAAAAGCGAGACAGTCCGGCTCATGTAATTAGGCCCTTAGTTTTATCGCCAGTTTTTACGCCCTCCTCCTTGACCTCACCGAATTTTCAAAGCCCACCGAACCCATACACCCAGAATTTCAGCCCCACCGTTTGGTGGGGCTGAAATGTTCATACTCCCTTCTCAAAATTAAATGAACTTTTCCTTATTCACGTTCTCTCCATACAAATATTGTCAAAAACAGTCGAAAGACAATCCTAAACAAAAAGCCTAACAATGTTAAAAATAAGTACAAGTATGTTTTTCACTATTGAAAAGACCTTTCACAACCATCACTTCATTTCAACAGACTGTAACTACACTATCCCTTCATAATCAAATCAGCACTCCCAGCCTCCCACAACTACCTCACTTCAACACCTAAAATCACTTTAACCTTCCAAAAAAAATGTTACCTGATATCGAATTCTATGGGAAACCAGTTTCACTGATTAATAAACAACAGCCATTTGTCGCCAAGGATGCGATAAATACTTACAGTTTTAACCGTATATGTTTGATTCCACCACAAAATAACAACAACAAAAAATAATGTTCGCTTCGACCACGTTTTTCTAAGTCAGTTTTTGTTCGAGTAGCCAAGCTTTCAGGTCTCCAGCCAGGCTTTCTGGCTAGTTTCAGTTCTCCGCAGAAACTCTGCGACACTCCCTAGCCAGGAGAAAGTTCCTATTTCGAAGAAAGAAGTCTTTGCATCTGTTCTCGTGCTTTAATTGCTGCCAAGCAACTGGGACGCAAAGTGTTTGAGGTAATTTCCTCAGATTCTTTTAACTGTTCTCCATCCTGCGTCATTTCATTTTCTCGACCACTATCACATTCTAATGGTAGAGTAGATTTAGGGGTCTGTTGAGCACTTTCTTGGTCGGAAGAGGAACTTTGGCTGCCCGGATCTTTCCGTCATATGCCAATTGAAGAATAATTAACAGTGCCAACTAGTCTCTCATAAAATCCACCCATCCAAGGGGCCAGTTCCACTATAAAGTTTTATTCAATTCTTTTGGTAGTTAACTTTGCACCTCGTGGTGTGAAATTGTTTCGTTCCAGGCTTTATCAATAGCAGTTTTCGCGAGCTTAAATTGTGCGGCATTATCTAGTATTAATAACATGTGTAGGTTTTCCTCCTCTTGCTATAAATCGTCTGAGTACAAGCAGGAACTGCTCAGCAGTCATATCCTTTACCAGTTCCTAATGGATGGCTCTGATAGTGACGCAGGTGAAGAGACATACCCAGACCTTTTCCTTTGAACTTTCAGGTTCAACGTAAAGGGGGCCAAATAATCTAAACCAGCATAGGTGAATGGAGCAGATTTTACTACTTTCTTCCTGGGTCACGGAGACATTGATGGAAGTTTGAAGGGTCCGCCTTGAAGTCTCTTACAGATACCACAGTCATGAATTGCTTTCTTTACTTCAGTTCTTCCCTAAGGAATTCAATATTCATTTCTGAGTTGAGCTAACGTATGAGAAACACCGGAATGAAACAGCTTCTGGTGGTATTTCTTAATGAGTAGTGAAGTGAAGTGGCTCCTTTTGGGAAGAAGTATTGGATATACTGCATCAGAAGGTAGTTCAGCATGAATCATTCTCCCATGGCAACGAAGTAGTCCGTATTCATGAAGTTGAATGCCTAGTTGATTTTTGTAATCCTTTTTGTTCACAGTTCCATTTGTGCTGTTAAATACTTCGGGGAAGTTAGTCTTCTGGATTAACTTGATCCATAGAATTTTTGCTTCCTTGATTTCGATAGCCTTTAGCTCTCCAGTTTGGGTTTTTTGTTTTCGAGCTTTCTGAACAAATGTTAATAGCCACGCCGTAATTCGAAGAAGCGAAGAATATTTCTTTTCATCCATTCCGAAGGGGGTGGCAAAGGGTGCTGATTCATCTTTGTTTTCAATCTTTCCTTCATTGATGTTTTCTCCAATCAAGTTGGAGGTTTCATAAACGGTTTTCGGGCCCTTTTTTCACTTTCAATCTTCTCCAATGTCTCTTTAGTAATCATTGGGATATCCCAAGTTGGCCATGTTTTCTCACTGTCCTGAAGCCATTTCGGTCCATGCCACCAAAGTTCACATTTGTCCAGATCTTATGCTGAGACTCCTCTTGTTTTCTAAATCCACAGGATTTCGACTGGTTTCGATGTAACGGAAACTTATGTCCTTTGTGTCAGTGATCTCCTTGACTCGATTCTGAACGAAAGTTGTTAGTGGCTTCTTGCTTATGATCCAGTGAAGAACACATTGATTGTCTGTCCTAATTGTTTTTGAACCTTTGATTATCGGTTAATCTTTACTAGTGTTCCAGAGTATTCCAAGTACTTTCGTTATGGTTTCCTTTACTCTATCCTGCTCTGGAATTGACTTCAGAAATTCCTTTGAGTTCGACCCCCCATTCTCTCAGATTCATAGATGATTCGTGAAATACTTCTTTTGATTCTGAATAAAACTCTCTTGCTTCTTTACTTGGATTGACTCAAGTCAAAAGATAGAGAATGGTGGCACCGAGCTTAAAAGGACTTGAGATAACTCCAAAAGGGAACCTTGCAAAGCGATAAATTTGCAGATTGTCCTTGGACAGTGGCTTAGTGGGATCTTTAAGCCACAGGAATCTAGTCACATCTCGATCTGCAGGTTGGAGACCTACTTGCAGAAAGGCCTTTTCAATATCTGCTGTCAGTGCTACTTTGTAAATCCTGAATCGTAGTCGCAGTAATTGTGGCTTTTGCCGATGCATCGTAGAAAATTCTTACTTTAGTTGTTTTTCGATTGGGGATAATGACAAATGTGAAGACAGTCAGGATTTCAGTTTTGCTGGGCATCAGTTGGAGGTTATTTACTAAATCCTCACTTATGTAGGTTCTCTGGCTTCCACAATCTAGCAAGAGTCGAGTAGACTGCTTCTTTGAAGTCTTGAGGTTCACGGTATCTGCCAGTTTAGACTGCATCAGTACTTGTTCGCCAGAAATTAGTAATGAACTTTCAGCTCTTTCAGTTTCAGGTGCCATTAGGCGCATAAACATAGTCAAAGTTTCATTTTCTTCATAAGAAGAAAACTTTTTAGGACCAAGACTCCTGTGACGATTTCCAGTTTTATGGCAATGAAAACACGGCTTGTTTACCTTGCAATCTTTTAGTAGATGATTTGGCTTCAAGCAAATAATGCAGTTTCTTTGATTTTTGCCTTTCTTGACTCAACAGGTGGATACGTTTCACCCTGGTCACTCCAGTGATCATTTCTTTGACAGTAAAAGCAGCCCAGTTTTTGACCATCAGTAGCAGACTCTCCATTTCCAGAAAGTAAGGCACCAGTAGTGGTGACCCCAGACCATCTTGAAGGAACGATTTCTGTTTTTGAGACTTCACTGTGGTATCTTGACTTTCGGGGCTCTGAATGAATTGTGTTTGACGTTCTCCAACCTCTGGAGCACAAATATACCGCTTTAAAGCCTTTCGGATGCTTTCCATTGTCCACTTCTCCTTCATGTCCTTATACTCTTCCATCCGGGATGTCACTGTCTTTGGCAGCTGTGACTTAATGAGGAAAACAAAATGTGGCTGGTCCACATTTTCACCAAGGACTTTAAGAGAACGAAGATGCTTCTTAATCATGTCATGAGTTTCACGAAGTTTGGCAGCATCATTTAAAGAGACAGGGAGATCCATTAACGCCGAGTATTGAGCATCCATCGTGAGTTCATCTCTTTCAAGTCTCTCTTGGAGTAAATTTACCATAGTTGGTGTTAGTTAGTTCCAGTCCAGAGATAACAACATTTGCATAACCTTTTAATTCAGCTCTTAAATAGTTTAAGTTGACCAGAGGCTGAAGGTTTGGATTCTTGTGAATGGAGGCTTTAAAAGAGTCCCAAAATTCTTGCCACTTGAATCTTGTTTCTTGAATTTTTGAAGTTCCAGTTTGGAAAGCTTGATAGTGGGAGTGTGACGAGTAATTGGAAGACTAAACTGTTTTTCCAATTCAAGACGTTTTTGTTCCACTTCTACTTTCATCTTAAGGTCTATATCTGCGGTTGTTCTTTTGAGACTCTTTCCCTCTGTTTTTCCTCCTTTTCAGTTGTCTCCTTTTTTCGTTTAGCAATATCGATCCGAACTGTTTTAAGATCAGATATAGCCTCGTCTCCATCAAGCGCGAGAATACTGAACTCCTCCATTTCGTCTTCCAGTCGCTGGCTTTTAGCTTCGTCTTCTTTGGATACTTCTTGTAGCCGTTCCAGGAAATCTCTATAGGATTTGAGGTTTCCTTCCAACCTCAGGAGTAATTGATTGGCTTTGTTCTCTCTTTCATCCAGAGTAACATATTGTTGGAGGAAGGTTTGAGTTTGTTCAATTCGAACCTTTAGTCGCTTCTTCGTCGGACCTAAACGCTGACGAGTACATCCGCTCATGTTCCACGTTTAAAAGGTTTACAACATCGATATTAACCTTGCTCTACTACCACATATCGCCAAGGATGCGAATACTTAAAGTTTTAACCGTAAATGTTTGTTTCCACCACAAACAATTAAGCAAAATAATCCAAGGTTCACTTCGACCACGTTTTTCTAAGTCACAGTTTTTTTCCGAGTAGCCAAACCTTCAGGCTTCAAGGCCTTCTTGCTAGTTTCCAGTTCTCCGCGGAAACTCCGTGGCACCATTATCTTACCAATCCACTTTCAATATAACTCCGCGCCTTCCACTTCACACGTCTCAATCAACCCATAAAATATACAACGCTACTGCACTACTCACAATCATCCCCAATATACCTAAAAAACTTCACGTATGCGTAATACAACGACACCCAAATAAACGTTCCCACAGCGTCTTGTTCAACTCTTTTTTCTTTTCGTTATCCAGACTATTCTTCTCCCTAATTATTGCCACTTTTAATTTCAGCTCCAAAATCATTTTCGGAGTTCAAAGAACTTATAAATGGCTGGTAAGCAACTATAACAATGTAGTTACTCTATAGACGTTCTTTGAACGGTTGAATGATCCTGGTTTAAGTGCACAGTTTGAATCTTTAGGTCATATCAAGATCAGCTGACAATCGTTGACAGGATCAAAGCATGTCACAACCCCAAAATTACCCCTGAGAATAAACCCAAGATGGAGGTAAGTTTGTAATACAACAGCTGGTCCATGATGACGTTCAGTTTTCCTTTTTTATACCGTATACTTCGAACGCGCTCTTAGACGGAACGGAGCTTCCACTTTCGCGGGAAAAAGTGCTCTAAAATGCATCTAGCAATAAACCGGTCCGAGCAAACGCCGAGACATAGGCCTAGTATGGGAGTTGCTCGCTGCAAGTCATGGGCTCCTGCCAAAAATTCAAAATGCTATTTTTAGGTCTAAACATTTTGTTGACTGGTTTGTGGAACTTAAAAAGATATACTAATTTCGCGCCACAATTGTTCTCAAAGTAAACTAGTCGGTGAAAACACCGGGACGCGAGTGCATGGAAATTGCTCGCTCCAGGTCTTGGGCCTCTGCCATTGGCCAATTTGAGGTACCGCTTCAGACCGTCTACGTATTAAGTCGAATTGCAGAGTTACACTATAGAGCTAGTTTTTCCCGCGCAACATCGAAATAGCCAGTGACAGAATAGATAGTGTCCCAAAACAATCCCATGATGCAGTTTAACAGGACATCCGGTCAGTGTAACACCCAACCTCTCAATGGCCTTTACTAAATTTCACTTTGCAGGCATTGTTCAATATTTTATTGGAGTATGTTAATGACCTGTCACTGATGGGATCTGAAGAACTGGAGATGATTGACAAGCTTTCAAGGTAGCGTCACATAATCAAAAATAAATTGGACATAAACATTCAGTTGCATCAAAAGGCATTTTCTGTTTGCTGATTTGAATCGTAAAAGGTGTTTAAAACATAACAGAGTGAATAACGTACTGATTAGGTCACAGCTAAAAGCGGTAACTTTCACTGTAACTGGAGCATAGCATAACATATCCCGGCGTTGGAAACTTAGATATCAGATGCTTTCTTTGTACCATGCGCGTGACACTGATAACATATTTTCTAATCTGCTGTAGTTAGTGCGCTCTTTCCATTAGCTTGTGCCGCCTTTCCTTTTCGCACCCTTAATTTCTCATGCGTCTGCTACATTTTCTCATTTAAACAAATTACTATCGTAGTTTCGTTTTTCTTTTGTGTCTTTCTTTTGGTGATTTGACAATATTTTGTCCCAAATGAAAGAGGGTCAACGCGGTTATAGACGCAACTTTTGCAGTTGCGAAAAGAAAGCATGGAAAAAATCAGGCTCATTCGGGATTCGAACCCTTACCTGTGCAATACCAGTGCAACGCTCTACCAATTAGCCCAACAATGGGTGCAGGTCATTGAGTTGGTTCGTCATAAACCCGGAAAAGGATGACGATCAAACAATGAATAGATTGAAATCATATGTAGGAACTGCGGGGTGAAAAAGTGAATGAAAGAAGATCGTCGCAGTTTTAGACGCATCGTGATGGCTTTATAACGAACCGCTTCGATAACCTGCTCCTAGTTGGCTTGTTAGCTCAATTGTTAGAGCACGGCACCGGTATCACAGAGGGTAAGAGTTGGAGTCCCGAAAAAGGCTGAATTTTTTCAGGCTTTGTTTTCGCAAATGCAAAGTTGCGTCTTTGACTGCGATGATCTTCTTTCATTTAATTCTTCACCCCGCAATTTCTATGTATGATTTTCATAAACATATTTTCATCATTTCAATTTTGTCTATCGGTGAGGTTATGACTTAGAAGAGCACGCTTCACCCTTTGACTCAGTTTTCCGCCATTTTGTTTTTAGGCACCTGTTTGATGTTGCACAGTATTCACCTCTTCACTCAGCGAGACAAATGCAACAGATTGTAAAAGACATACACAAGAGCTTTACAGAGAATCGTGACAGACTAGGTAAATACATTCCTCAGTAGCTTGATCAACCTCCTTTCCAGGTTTCTCTCCTACTTGTTTCTCTCGTCCTCTCTCTCTTTCCGTAATAGAAGTTCGGGAGAGCCCTGGGAACGAGGTGGTAACTTTCATCTGCCTACTTTATTTATTGAGATAGTTCGACGTCTCCTTGCTTTGCGGAAAGAGGCTACTTTTTCACGATGTATACTGGCCTGCGTAAAGCACATACCGCGAATAAGTAGCCTCTGCTCGCAGGGTACTTCTCCTTAACACCAGCGCATAAAACAAGACGCTTTTAAAGGACATGGTGAAACATAAATCTGTTTCAGTAAAGTCGAAATAATCTCACACTGTGAAAATGAGGCCAAGAGTAAAATGTTTCACTTAAAAATCAGTTTTATTTGCTTGAGAAAAAAAAGCGCCTTTATATTTAGCCTGTTCCAGGCTCTCAGATAGTAATGATGCCGTGTAATTGTGTAAGGCAGGCAAAATATAAGCGCGTGATCTGGGGAAAGGGGGGCGGTGGCAGTCTTCCTCTCCCCAGTTTCCTCCCTTTTTATTTTCGTGTTCGTGCTTTCTCGGTTCCCGGAACAGGCTTCTTCATATTAAAGGCTTCTGATTACCTTCATCCTAGTTGCAAAAGAGAGGATTGAGGTTTTAATTTCGGAAATGGCCTATCGTCATGGTTTCTCGCAATAAAGGCAGCAAAAATAGTTGAGAACTTGTTTCAAATGTAGGTAACCAGCGCTAAGCGTGTGAAAAGTAAAAACACTTGCTCTTCAATTGTCTTGACCCTGCTGATTAAGAGAAGGTGGGTCGGTGAGGTCGCCTTCTCTTCGGATCTTAGCAAAACAAGGAGGCTTTGTGCGGGAAACCGCAGTGTGAAATCAGTGGGAATTCCCCACTTCAGACTTTTTAAGGTGATTCCCGAAAACACTACACCCATAGCTTGTACCCATTGAGTTTCTGAGGGTGGGAATCAGCTTCTCAGAACTCATGTTTAACAGCTTTGTGTTTCTCAAATTAAAACAAAAAGACTGGAGTCAATTAAATCTCACTTTGTCAATACTATATTTTAGGAGGGAAAGGAATGTTTCTGGGTCTCTCTGAGGTGAGTCGTCCATTATACTTTTCTTGATTTAATCAAACGCCATGGTGGATGCCCTATGCTGCCAAGGGGACGTTGAGGATTAAGTCAGGTCAATTAATCGATTTCTAATAGTTAGAGCAAGTCGACAACGACACTTTATTGTGCTCATGCACAAAATAATAACTACAATTGAAAGGATGCAATGAAGCGTTTCTCGAGCTCGTGTTAAAATAGTTTGTTCTGATTTGTTAAGAAAGTTGTAGCAACAGTTGTTTGGCCAATCGCGAAGCGTTGGAATTCAAGTTAAGAAAAAAATTAATTAATGGCTTTCGACATGTTACTTGAAGGTCTTCGCAACCACCGCGAAGACCGGGTATGATCGAGCTTGCTTAACTTCGGATCAGAAAAATTCGTAATTTATCAAAATAAATAAAGGTATAACAAACAATTGTCAATTAGACTTCTGCCTGGGCTGAGCATACAAGAGATGGTAGTTACAGTAGTTTGACTGGCCGGTAGCCAATTGCGTATAGAACCATCGTCAGATATAGCGGCCAACATGTATGCGCTATTTTCCAAGTGAGGTCAAGATGGGTGGATATTGGCCTTGTTGTTGCTGTTTTTTTTTTTTTTCGTTTTTATGGACCGAGACGAAGTCGAGGTCAACAAAAACGCAAAAGAGAGAGAGGAGAATATCCAGCCGTCTTGGCCGAATAAGCTTTGTCAATAAAGGATTTATTAAATGGCCCAAAAGAGAATTTTTTCATGCGGGATCTTCTCGGGAAATCCCGAGCTTACCCTCTCTGGTAGCCAATCAGAACGGAGGATTCGCTTCATCTTGCCCGCTTGAGGATTTTGCGATATAATAAGTGGCATTAAGAAAAGGGTTTCACTGGGCTGAACGTCAGACGATAGCCTTTACGTCCAACTTGAGGATTTATTCATTTAGCCCCAGATCCACGAATTTTATTTTCTACAAACCAATGACAGGAAATGAGACGTGGTTAAGAGCAATTAATCTTATTCGTGAACTACATGCGGCGATGTCGTTGCCCATTCTTTGAAATGCAAGGTCATCGAAGTAATCTATATCGACGGTTTCAACTGACGAAAACTTATTTTAAGCACAGTAGGCAGGAGGTGGATTGTTTTGTTTACCAGGTTCATCTCGTTATTGCTGTGCTACATGAATTTTAAAGCTTTTCTTGTTAACATGGGATAAGTTTTAGTACTATTTCCATAACACAAGAAGCTTTAGTACAAGAAATTTTTGCAACAAGAATTAAACTTTGTGGTGCCAATCAGCCCACGTCTATGAACTCCAATGCCTTTACGTTAGTGGCCGGGGGGAGGGTGTTATTTTTCTCCGTAAGTGGATGTTGATATTTTTATGCTGCTGTTTTATTGTAGCTGATGATTCTCCGGATCGTATCCATACTGTTCTCAGCGTCAGATTTTAAACACGCTGTTTGTACCCCGGCTATGGTCCTGATGTCGCAAGTTTTGGTGCAGGTGAGGTTTGATAGTGCTTTGTATAGTCGTTCTCTGGTCAAATGAGGCGCAATACAGTATCTGCTGCTTCCCCGCCATAACTCAATGTGTGCGCCTTAATTAGCTACTCCGTAAAATTATGAAGGGAGTTCCCCGCCCCGCCCCGTCCCGCCCCGCCCCGCCCTGCCCTGAGGGGATCATCTACTAAGTGAATTAAGTGCTATCGCAGAAGAACAATGAAACCGCCTGCATTCGTCTCATTCAGCCGAATTCCGCTAACAATATCTGATGCACCGCTAGAGCTGCTGTGGAAGAGGCTGTTCACGTTCCACCTGAATTGTAAATAACATCCCTGGGGATTAATTAATGATATTCAAATGAGTATATATAATAGGAAACACTGGCACGTTTTGTCCTCATTCACTTCACTGTGTCCGACAAGAAGGGCATTTGCCGACTCGCCCACCCTCCCGAGCGAGTAAGTCGGGTTCTAGATTACCTACATTCAATTCAGTCTGTCTTGGAACGGCTTGGAAACTAAAATTTCGAGGAAGTTTTTGGACTTTTTACATTCAGGGCATGAATTTTGCGTCATTTCAGGCCATGGAACCTAAAAATGAACCTAGCTAGCTGTAAAAAGGGGCAATACGGAGGAAATGCGTCCTAGCCGGCATGATCACATGCTGTTTACGGAAAATTCTCTCATCCATGTAAGGAAATTCTGTATTTTAAAGCCTCCCCTAGGGCATGACTCAGCAACTGAGGACATTTCTGCTACGTTTTCAATGTTGGTTAGCATGCAAGAATTTTTCCCATGCCTATCGTCAATGATTTGCTCACTGGTAATAGAGGGGGTGGCCCCAGAGTGGTTTTGCATTGAAATTGGCATGCAACAGAATTTCGCATGCCCTGTAAGTACAATTTGAGGTTCCGGGACCTTCTCACCCAGGCCGCGAGAAGCCTAGGTTCTAGTAATAAGTAATTCATACCCAGCAAAATCTCAGGCATGCCGGGCATTCCACATTCTCTGACATGCCCGGCATGACAAATTCTCTAGCATGCCGGGCGTGCCATAATCTGGGTCATGCCGGGCATGCCAAAATCGGTCCCTGGCATGCTCTCAACGCACAGGTTATAATTCCTTGAATCTACAGATATTTTAAGCCTGGCTAAAAAAAAAAAAAACTAAACAGATCACCGTGCTTATCTTTTGATGTACGGTTACACGATGACGTCATTGCTCTTCCATTTGGTTGTCCCAGCGAAGTTTCAATAACAAAAGCTCTAATTTTCACAAGAAAGTAAAACCCTGAGGGATTCTGCCGTAGTAATAAAACAGCGTCATCGTGGAGATGACCTGTTGGGGGATTGTAAAAACTCCTCAGCCCTTTTAATGAGTCTTTAATAGGATTCCCATTTCACATTGCGAATAAAATGGAATTGACTGAAATCAGTAAAAAGAGAGACAGACACTATTTTCATTGTATAATAAAATGCATCTATGTTCCATGAAAGCTTTTAAAAATACAAGGTTATAGAATATCTTTCAAAGTTCATTACAAACTGAGCTAAGCCCCAAAATCATTGTTCATTTTTCAGTAAATTATGATGTTTGACAATGCAATGTGCTTGAATATAACGTTGCAATTACAAATCTCTCTAAAGCAAATTTCCCTACGTTAGAAAAGCTGTTTTTATCTTGTTTCACATTTTGATAAGGAGTCTGAGTTCCTCTTTCTTGTTTTGTAGGCTTGCCAGGGATTATTGTTTATGTGTCATTACCAGTGTCTGTTTTCTCTGTTTTTAACTCAAAGTAAGTCAGTAATAACTGACAGTATCAAAGAATTGCTCTCTAGAAAAGTAATTATCTCCTAGTCATGTCTGGAAGTTACCTGTAACAAAAAAGAAATGGAATGTTAACACATGCAAGGGCAATATGAGAAAAAAGAAAAAGAATATGTAGAGCTCAGCTTCTCTTAACATATTTTCATACTGGCTTGTTGAGTCTGTTAAAGGTCGCAACTGCTAATTGTCTGAGGCTAATTTCACAAGAGTGTGCAATTGAGATAAATGCATGGTAAATAAAGTGAAAGAAACGTGGTTTCACATTAGCCAATTTACATTGCGTTGTTCGATGATGTTTACACGCTCTTCTACTGCGAAATAAACCTTTGCATTTGGATTTGCAAGTCAAGATTATACCGAGTTTGACTGGCTTAATTGAACAACAGTTTCATTTTTAAGCAGGTAAGGTGTAGACCCATATAAAGCCGAAATATGTAAAGGAAACTCAGCGAAAACTTTTTCGCATCTTTTTGTGGCGATATTCTCCCACGGCCCGTCAACTGATTAGGGGATGCGAAGAAAAAATAAATTAGGACTAAAGGTTAAAGCCTGTCCGTTTACACCATTTGGTATGTTACCTAGAGTTCTAATAAATAGGTCATAAAATAGGATTTAACGAGAGCGAATTTGTTTCTCAATCGGTGTATAAAAAAGTGAAGCTATCAAATGAGAAGTTTATAGAGTATCAAAATTATTAAAGTAAAAGCTCATATAATTAGGAAAATTCCTATGCGAAAACAATGCTAGTGACATTAAATTGATCAGATAAAATTCTGAGAAAATATGTCGAATAAAAGCCTCATTGTTTGCTTTTGTTTTTGCGTAAAGGTAAATTTTTCGGTCCACAAAGCAAAGTTGAAAAAGCGACTAAATCTTAGTTTTTTTACATTGAACATGTTTATTAGCTTAGTTTTCGTCCGTTTTAAAAGCTTTATAACCCAGTCATAATTTTCGGGTTAAAATAGTACAAAATCATTTCAAAAACCATGTTCATTTAAAGTAGAGCCAGCAAACGTGAACATTTTGTAATTCAAAAGTCGGACCCAGCCAGGTTGTTTAAGCTTAGAATTATTTGCATTTTAGCGTCCTATAAATTTACCAGAATCGCCTCTCAGAGGCTTACTGTAGCAAAGCATTTTGTAGTACACTCGTAGACAAGCAATGTAAGCCTTAAGTCTTTGCTTGGATGAGATGTCCAAAAGAAAAATTAGTTTTGTGGACCTAAACGCACATTCACAGACTGCTTATACTGAGTTGTTTACAACTTTGCATTGACACCTGCAGCATGTTCATTTTTATAAAGCGAAATCCAAATCTGATTTTGGCATTTGATTTACGGATATTTTATTTTGTCTCCAAAAGTGATTGTAATATCCGTTTGATTGTCTTTCGAACAACAGTCAAACTATGCAGCAAAAATAAGTAACTTTACCAGTACAGTGAAAAAATATGACCGTAGGCGCCAAAAATAATTATACTCGAGCTATAAAATTAGATCTGACTTTTTTTGGCTTTGGTTTCTTTATTTTTGAGGTTTTCTCTAGTCTTCTTAGCAGCAGAAGAAGATTACAAGACATACAATCAGAAACAATCCGAAGTGAACGAGTTGACAACCACTTATGACACTTATGCCGGAGTTCTTAGGCATGCTCAACAGTAAGATAAACTGAATGCCAAAAGACTAATTCACGGGATTTGTTCGATATTCAGGCTTTTTCTTTACCAAATTAATACTAAATTTGTACTTACAGTCTCTCGCAGAATCCATTTCTTGTCCAGCTTTCACCAACATCTCAACCATGCACCGCAGAAAAAAAAGACAAACAAATGCGAAGAGACATGACCACATCGTGACGCCACAACTGCCACGCTACAACAAACTAGATTCATCGTCATCCGAAAACACTTCTGCGGAAATTCGGCCGATTTCGTGCGTGCTCGGGGTATCTTCGGATGACGCAGATGACGTTGCTCAAAGGACTATCGTCAGCAAGGACTAAACAGTTTGCGAGATTCGCATAGCCGACAAGAAGCGCACTGAAAAACTAAGCAAAATCTCTCTGAGAAGGCAGTCCAAATTCACCAGATCAGAACGTCTTTGCAGTATTAACGTCGTACTCTCGTACTGACTTGAACGACCTGGTAAGCTTAATTTTCACCAGTCTTTTATGCTGTTGACCAGGAAACATTCCGACGCGATAAAACTTAAGCATGAATAAGTTTATACTGAGAAGATTTGTTATCTTATTGTTTAAGACGCTTTTCCGGGATCAAATTTAAATATGGACCCAGAAATGTCAGTATCGGTTTGAAATAAAAGGATTAATCTTTGATTGCAAGTTAAGTATTCTATTTTATGCATGAATAATGTTGTTTTGTTGTGCTTTTTATTTATAAATCCAGGCTTCTGTCTTCGATTTTGCCAGTCGATCCCGTGACACACATTGTGACAAACATGACTTTTTGTTATAATCAGCATTTATTGCCAGGCATGAAACCTGTCATTTCAAGCTCCCTAAGATATATTTGGCGATTATATGTGATTCTCAGGATATGATGCTGTAGCGAACATCAAAATCAGTCTCGCTGGGCATGCGAATTTCTTGCCTGGCATGCCGGGCATGCCAAACCAACTGGCTTCACGATCTGCATGCCCGGCATGCCAAACCAGAGGAGCAAAAACTGGGAATGAATTATCAACCCGGCGAGAGATCTGGGAACTAAGTTTAGCTGGGTCAATTTTGGGCTGCGAGGGCATGAACCCATTTTTTCCATGCCTATGAGATGTTGTTTCTAAGTACCAATGTTCCCTTGAATTTTGTCATGCCTAAATATATAAAATTTTCCCTCTCTCATTAATCCTCAGACTGGATGCGATTTTTACGCTCGCTAAGCATGTTCAACTGAAAATCATGCCCATACCCTTATTCAAAACAAAATGCTATCAAATTTTAGTTTCCAAGCCGTTATTGGGCTTGTCCCAGGTCAGATTGACTCTCCATACCTTGTTATAATGTCGTGAATAACAATACCCAGGGATGAATATTATACTATCCACTCCGCATGCAAAATACACCTTGAAATACACAAAAGGATACACAAAGATCCGACACTTCAGAGAAGCCAGTTAGCCGTCCTACCCGTACACACAATAAGGACCTTACGATCCAATAACGACAACGTCCGTGAAAACTTCGCTGAAAAATAGACTCCGCATCCTTTCAAACCATTTCGCGATTATCTCTTGTCGCCCAGCTACTTAAAAGAAGGGAATTTGTGTTGGAGCTGTAGAGAGGGGTCCGCGCCCGAGTTCAGACAGAGATGGTAGAATTTATCGCCTTGCCATGCCCGTCCTCCAAAAATGTAAAATTTGGTCATTTCACTTCGTAGTCGTGCAGGGACGGCAAAGAAATTTACGAAAAGGCGTGGTGCAAGTGCAGAGTTGTTGTTTTGCTGACTAAACCTATTGCTTTTCGACGTTGCCGTCGCCGTCGTAGTTTCGTAAGGTCCCTAACGCAGCATGGTGTGCAAACGCGCGTGTAATGTATGAATCATCACTAGCCAATCAATGAAACTTTAACGCAGAACATCGCAAAACATCGCACGCAGCAAATCTATTGTAAAACCATGCTTCCTTTCTTGTCTTCGGGAGGAGTAAAAGACAGTCAGGCGATGAACAGTCCTAAAGCAATCGCTTTACATAGGCAACGTTGTTTACACGTGAAAGTAAACCTTTGCCGTTTTCTCTTGTTATTAGAGAGATTAAGATTCTCGTTTACGCCAAACGGCAAACGTGAATTTGTACCAAGTTTTTCCCTTAATTGTCGTTAACTGTTTATTAATTCAACTAAAAAATAAGTAGTTTCACGCCCGTTTTATACATAAGAATTGTTCTGGACAGTTTTTATCTGCTTATTTTCTATTCTGAGAAATTCTCAACTTGAATCAGACGTTTGAAATTTGGCGTAAACGTGAATCTTAATCTCTCTATTTTTTGGTATTAAATCGTTGAACCTTGCGTCTTTTTAAACCTTGTTTCTCCCAGAGTCCAGTGCGGTGCATGAGAGACGTATTCAGAGGTCTTTTTATCTGTGATTTGTGTCTTGAGGTTTGTTTCCGTTACTTTAATTTACTTTAATTTGTTTGGGAAACTGCCCACCTACCCCTTCCCTAAGCTAACATCAACACTTACTTCTCACTCTGGGCAAAGTGGTGGCTTAGTGGAGGGGTAGGTGGGCAGTGTCCCAGAGACCTAAATTGATCCATTTGCTTTTTTATTATTGTGAAGCTCTCTTGTTTTACTCATGTCCCCACTAGTAGTCATGAACTAAAAAACTTTTTTCCTTGTTACCTTTATCTCTATGCACATTTGCCGCACCCTAATCATATGATATCTGTTTTGTTTTTATTTATTACAGTGTACTCTTTTTCAGCTAACAGTACAAAACTTACAAAGTTTCTTAACCTTTTCACTCAATGAGGAAGCCAAAGTCAAAATTATAAACAACCATCTAGATTTCATTTTGCAAAATGCTAAAAAAACACATAATACCACGTGAAAGTACTGCCAAAAAGTTTTCATTTAAATGGTAACACCATAGGATTTCGTCCACAGACTCAAAAGTTAGAACTACATACTAAATAAATAGCACCATGTGAAAGTACTGGTGAAGATGTTCCATTTGGATGGTAACATCATAAGATTTCATCCACAGACTCAAGGTTAAATCCACCTGACAAGTGTCCATCGTTAGCTCTGGGAGTGAGAGTATTTGCCCTCGGACTTGGTCCTGCCATTGCGTTGTTTCCTTAGAAAAAACAGACTAGCCACAGTCTCCTACTATTTTTTGTAAGATCGTCGACATCGTGCGCCCACCTTACGAACGGGCATCGTCGTTTCAAATGTACTGATGGGGTGGGTCCTGGGGTTTATAGCGGCGGGGAAAGGGACTATCCCCCGCCCCATGAGTAGATCTGATACTTATTCCCAGGCTACACTCGGTACATTTGAAGCCAAGATGGCCGCCCGTAAGGGAAGGTGCTCGATTCTGACGATATTACGAGAAAAGTCAAAGGGGACTGTGAACAGTCTAGGAGAAAAATTTTACTCCACTTTGTCTCAGTTCACCTTGGTATCATAAATGTGTACCGGGGAAATACACCTCGGATAACCCTACTATGGAGTAACATTTCATCCAGGGACACTAGCAATGTTTCTAGGTGTTGTATTCTACAAAACCTTGGAAAGTCCCGCCTCTGTGAACCATTTTTAGCCCGTCTGTGCCTCATCTTCTTTTGATCGCACAAACCCTATCATCTCTAACGGTGGCGCGATTAAGAGACTTGACTAAATGTGTTTTCGTTTATGTTTTGCAGTATATATCTTTATCAAAGCGACTTGTACCAGAAGCTATTAATTTCTTATGTGGTATTCTCTTTCTGGGATCCAGCAAAGAAGGCCGCACTCGTAAGTGACCAAAAACTTGCGCAGCGGGAATGTAGTTCCTGTAAGCTTTGTTTTTGTTACCGTCTGAAAACGAGGCTAACAATAAGCACCACTCTCCCTTTTTGGTTTATTTAACGTCTTTTTGCTTTGTCCTTCAAGTTGATAAGTCATACTGTCTTTCCGTAGGCAGTCATGTATATAATGTAAAAACAACTGTTCTCGATGAAAGCGCTATCTAGTTAGTCAGACGGTCGGTCACGCACAGGAGGCAGTCAGTTTGTCTATTAGCTACAGTACTCAGCCATGGGGAATGACAGACAGCCAGTTTTGTAAATAAATCAATTAATTTTGTCTTCGTTTCTCTTTGAATAGTAGCTTCAAGCAATTCGCCACTTTAGAAACAAGAGGGGAACTGAAGCCGAAATACGTCCCGCAATTGTGTCTGGGATGGTTACTGGGGAGGCGCCGGTCAGCTATTGGCCAGTTTTTGTTTACCTGTAGCTAGTAACAATGCCAGACGTCTTTGCTAAAGTTAACGCGTCCCAGTTTCCTTTCTCGTTTCTAAAGTGGCGAGTCCATAGCTGTAATGAAAGGTTCCTTTCAAACTCCTTGAAATTATTCGGTTATATATTCAAGAGTAACCAACCATTCTGCTTTTACAGCTCAACTCGTACTACCGTTCAAAGAGAGTACTAAATGGCGTGATCTTCTCAAACTTCAGTCAGATGCCAGGTGAGTAAAACATCTCCCAGGCTTTTTTTCGTCAATTGAAATGATTGCCGGATTTAAAGGGGTTACGTCAAGTTATTTGCGTTTTTTTTGATATGCTAAAAGGTGTCTTCGTGTCAATTGAATTCCAAAAAAAATGCCCCAACTTTGTCATTTAAGACTATATTTAGGCATTGAAACTGTTTCTTGTCGTCCGTTGCTACGGTTGGCAAGGATGGGCCAGTACTGTTGTTAGGTTTAAGATTTATCACAGACTTTTAGATTCTAAGACGAGGACGACTACGAGAACGATCAATACTAAGTATAGGCTCAGTCTCCAACCTTTGGTGTCTCGATGCGCCCGCGGTACTCCCGGGGGGGGGGGGAGTACCGCGGGCGCATCAAGACACCCAACGCTGGAGATTGAGCTTATACTAAGTAGTATGCGCGCACATGAACCAGCGTCATTTTGGCGGGAAATAGTCGTGGTCATTCTACTACAGGTTTAAGCGCAAGTGTCGTAGTGGCGGAAACAAGTTGTCCTTCAGTAAAGATAACTGTGCTAGCTTTTTGGTGAAAAACAAGTAAAGTGGAGCTTTCCGGGGTGTCTCTTTCTTGAGAATACGCGCAAAAACTTGAAGTCAAATCTCTCGGGAAATAGTCGTCGTCATTTTACTACGGGTTGTAGCGAAAATGTCGTCGTGGCGGAAACAAGTTATTGAGTGTTAGAAGTTTTGCCATTTTGCGAATGGGAGAGGGCTTAACCTCCTTCAGTAAATTTAACAGTGCTAGCTTTTTGGTGAAAAGTAAGTAAAGCGAAGCTTTCCGGGGTTTCTCTTTCTTGAGAATACGTGAAAAAACTCGAAGTCAAATCTCGTAGTCGTTCTCGTCCTCGAATCCAAAGGTACGTCTCTGTGACGAAGTTGCACAGCAGAGTGGGTCAACATTCGTCTCACTAAACAGTTCCATAGTACATTTCGATAAAAAACGGCCCCCTCAAAATTGCTAATACTGTCGTGGGGTTCAAGATTTATCACAAAGGTGATATTGCATGGGACGATTCGCAACGACGATATTTAGAGCAACACAGCGTTGCAATATTGTTGCGACATTGTTTCAAATAGTTACAACATTGTTCCAACATTGCAACGCTGTGTTGCGCTAAAAATCGTCGTTGCGAATCGTCCCGTGTAACATCACCTTAAGTAGTGCGCGCACATATAAACCAGCGTTATTCTTGGCGGGAAAGCGTGATAGCCGCTGTCACTCTACATCGGGATTTAACGTAAACAAGTTGTCAAATGTTAAAAATTCTATCATTTTGCGACCGAGAGAGAGCGTAACCTCCTTCAGTAGAAGGGACCTTGAAATCCGAGGACGGCAACGGCAACGGCAATGAAAACGTCACTGAAAAAGTGAATTCGCGTTCTTTCAATCTTCATCACGATTAGTCCAAGTCACTACCTTTGTCAAATGTAGGCGAACCCTCGTAAAGTTGAATTCTTTAGAACCATACCCAAGTTCAGAAAGAGAGGGGAAATTTCGTCGTCGCTTGTGTATTTCCTCTGTGCAACGTGAAATTGGGCATTTTCACGTCGTAGTCGTGCTATGACGGCAAAGAAATGTACAAAAAAGTGTGATGCACGTGTAAAAATTGTTATTTTGCTAATTAATCCTATTGCTTTATAGACGTCTCGTTGACGTCGCCGTCGTCGGATCTTAAAGGGAACCTCCACTCTTACTACAAAATAAGTTTAAATCGAATAAAATTATGTTGATAAACAAATTTGTTCGAAATTTGTCCTTAAAAAAAGTGTTTATATCAGGAAAAGTGAATTTTAAAATCGCTTATTTTCACTTTCAAATTTCGCGGGCGCTGCCATCTTGAATAATTGTGACGTGTTATGGTTGCTCTATTGTTCTGACACAAAGAGCTTTTGTTTAATAACAATAGGGCCACCGTAACACTTCACAATTATTCAAGATGGCGACGCCCGCAAAATTTGAAAACAAGAATAGGCGAATCTAAAAGTTATTTCTTTCGGATATAAACGCTTTCTTTAAAAATATTTTAGATTGACTTGACTGTAACAGTTATTTGCTGTGATTTAAAGTTATCTTTTTGTTGAAGTGGAGGTTCCCTTTAAGGTCCCTAGAAATAACCCTGTTAACTTTTATGATGAAAAAAGTATAATGAAGCTTTCCGAGGTGTCTATTGTTTGAGAATAGAGAGATTAAGATTCACGTTTACGGCACACGGCAAACGGCAAACGTCAGTTGAGAATTTCTCAAAATAGAAAATAAGCAGATAAAAACAGTCCAGAACGATTCCTTTGGATAAAACTGGCATAAAACTACTTATTTTTGTGTAGAAGCAATAAACAGTAAACGAAAAATAAGGGGAAAACTTGGTCACGTGGTACAAATTCACGTTTGCCGTTTGGCGTAAACGTGAATCTTAATCTCTCTAATACGCGAAAAAACCTTGAGATCAAATGTCGTCCTTGTGTCTAAAGATCTCTGTTGTGGCGCCTCCGATCTGTAGACTCTTTGTAATTAGTTAGGATTACTTCTTGTTCTTCGACCGTCTTACCAGACACCGTCATCTTGAAAATGAAAGCATGTATATGCATGTATATCACGTGTCCTTTCTAGGAGGTCTCTTACGTTGAGATGAAACATATTTATTCCAGCTTTTCGTTTTTTGTCTTCCGCAACCGTCCTCTTGGTAGCAAGTGGGAAGTTTTAAGTGGAGTCTGAAAGAATCGCCATTGTGTTGCTCGTTTAATACATAAGCTACAAAACCGTTTTACGGGCCATGAGCTTTGACAAATTCTCCTCCATGCCAGGGATGATTCCTGGGCAGAATGATTGGTGATATGGACAACGTAATGTTCTTATACGTGTTGTAACATCTTTATCAATATAATGTTATTATGCTACTATGTAATGTTATTATAGTTTAGTGAATAAAACGTTTTAACGATTTGATAATGGCTGTCATCAAACAAATTGCAAAGGTTTCTTTATCTTTTAGCTCCTTGGTTGTGAAACCTTTACCAATAACAAAGACCCTTGGAGAAGTCTCAGAAGCGGAACTGACAACAGATGAAGTGAGGTAAAGTAAAGACAAGTCCACAAGATAGCATTTTCATTAAATATTTTAGTTGCCAGAAGCCTTCCATACAATTGTTTCATGGCATTTTATTAAACACGTCTTCTTCGACCGGCTTTAAGTACACACAACTAACGTGCCGAACCGTATTTTTTTAACAATAGGGACCTTAAGATCCGAGGACGGCGACGGAAGAGAAAACGTCGCTGAAAAAGTGAATTCGCGTTCTTTCAATCTTCATCGCGATTACTCCTAAAGTTGAATTCCTAAGAACCATATTCAAGTTCAGAAAGATAGAAAAAATTTCGTCGCCGCTTGTGTACTTCCGCTGTACATCGTGAAATTAGGCATTTTCACGTCGTAGTCGTGCAGTGACGACAAAGAAACTATGTACAAAAAAGCGTGATGCACGTGCAAAATTGTTGTTTTGCTGATTAAACCTATTGCTTTTGTGGCGTTCCCGTTGCCGTCGCCGTTGTGGGATCGTAAGGTCCTTAATGAGGTATGGAAGTATAGTGGCTTTCGAATCTTACGTAGTTTTTGGCTATGTTCCACTTAGCCTCCCACGCAGGCGTTTTTAGGGGAGCTCGCTTTTCATCCCTCCCCACAAACGCCTGCTCAACCGAAGACAACATTCCTTTCCCATGCTTAGCCAATCACATTGTACTTTCCAAATTCTGGAAAGTTGACCTTGACCGTAAGGTAATCTGATAATTACTCGATCTGCATGAAACACTGCAAAAACTTTCTAACCTCCAGTAAATGTTAGATTCAGAGCGGCAAAAATACGATTTAATCAAATTTTAGAATACTCCATGCACAAAACGGTAACTGTAGGGTCACCTTTTAGTCGCGTTTAGCTTGTCAACACTTTATTGCACAACTGTTTATTGGTCACTTACCACGCAAATAAAACAATGGGAAAGGAATGTTGTTTCCGGTTGAGCAGGCGTTTGTGGGGAGGGATGAAAAACGAGCTCCCCTAAAAACGCCTTCGTGGGAGGCTGTGTTCCATTATACTGAATAGCCTTTGCGCCGCCCGCCGGCCCAAAAATCATACCAGTAGGGATTCTGTTCACACATAAGAACGGTGATTTTGGCGCGATTTCTGTGACGGAGCGAGGCTGCGCCGCGCCGATCTAGAAAGTGTCTCGTCTCATATCGGATAGGTATTGTGTCTTCGTAAGCGCAGTACGAACACCTATCGGCCCGTCGCGGAACTAAATAAGTAGGAGCGAGGACCGGAACCCACTTAGACGGATGTATATTCAGGATTGAGGACTGGGATTAAAGTTCACCAAACCCTCTCGCCAACCGCTCCGGCACGATGTTCAATGTGTGTGCACGATTTGTGCCGCCCGGGTCCGTTGGTGTTCAAACTATACCAGATTATTTTTCATGTCAGCACGAAAAGCAATCTCGTATAGTGTGAGCATAGCCTATTTTTCTTCGGCACGTAACTATTATCTCGGGAGGCTGTCGCATTGTCCGACATAGAGCGATAATTTAAACTCTTCCCACAACTCAGAATGGTATCTTTTGACTGGTAAAATTTTTGTTTTATTCTTCTACCCAAGTACGCCGTTTGAATCAGTGGCGTGCTTCCGTAGTTGCGCCAAAATAGCTCTGAAGTCGAACTTTATCAATGTTCGGCGAATGAGCTGTACGGCGATCAAGCCGATGCTTACTCGCTATACTTGTATTAATTTCAGGATTTCCGCGTTAAATCATTGCCTGTCTGCCTTGAACAAATTTGTCGACATGTACGAAGACCTTCCCGCAAGTTTAGAGATATTTGCGCCAGTTAAAGAACACTTGCAAAGGTACGTAACGAAGTGTCAATTCAAATACCAGAAGTTTTTTAATCAGAGATTCACACATGATTTTCTTTTCTCTTTAACATTTAATGAATGATTTTGTAACTGGTTTCGTTTAGAGTCCTGAATTCCTGAAAAAGTCTTGAAATTTGTAAACCAACAAGAGCTACAACAAATGCTTCATAATAAGGGAATTTTTCCCCGTGGTCGAATCTTGCCCGCAGGCAAGACATTCAATCATAGAATGAGAACTTTCAGAACTCTCTTGTGTCCGAATTGCACCGTGGTAACTGTACTTTTGTAGTTTAACCTTTAATGAATGATTTTGTAACTGATTTCGTTTAGAATCTTGAATTCCTGAAAAAGTCTTGAAATTTGTAAACCAACAAGAGCTACAACAAGTGCTTCATAATAAGTGAATTTTTCCCCGTGGTCGAATCTTGCCCGCAGCCAAGACATTCAATCATAGAATGAGAACTTTCAGAACTCTCTTGTGTCCGAATTGCACCGTGGTAACTGTACTTTTGTAGTTTAACCTTTAGTGAATGATTTTGTAACTGATTTCGTTTAGAATCTTGAATTCCTGAAAAAGTCTTGAAATTTGTAAACCAACAAGAGCTACAACAAGTGCTTCATAATAAGTGAATTTTTCCCCGTGGTCGAATCTTGCCCGCAGCCAAGACATTCAATCATAGAATGAGAACTTTCAGAACTCTCTTGTATCCGCATTGCACCGTGGTAACTGTACTTTTGTAGTTCATCATGAAAAATGCTAAGGGTTCCTGCCTTTTTCCAGTTCTCTATTGGTCACCTATTTGATATCCTTGAGTCCGGAAAAAGAAATTGTTGTTTTGGAAATGGAAAAAGTCTTCTATTTTGGATCCAAAAAGCCTATACGAACCCTGTTGTAAAGTGTTCTCTAAAGGTTGTTTTATTTGCTGTTTTATTTTGCAGAATACCCGTGGACCTCTATCCTACCCCATTTAAGGTAACGTTGACTCTCACAGCTTCAATTGAGGACACTGAAACGACCGTGACGATGGAAATGAAAACGTCAGCTTTAAAAGAAAGGGGGGCACGCATACTGTAGCACATTCAATATGGAGCTTAAGCAATCATGACAAACACGGGAACGAGAACGTGAAAAACAATTGGTTTTATAAGCAAAAAACAACTCTGCGCGGGCATCACACTTTTTGATACTATTTGAAAAACGAGTTCGCCTCGAGTTTTTAAACCTGATAATATACTCCCGTGAGTTTTTTGAAAGGCTTCAAAATCTCTGATATAGATCAACTCATTCTTGCACTAATATTTAGTTTTGCGCGGGGCTATTTTGGTCTAAAAAAAAAATAGACGTAAAGTTTAGCGGCGTCTTTATCAGATATAAAGACACTCATTTAACATTCATGTCTTTTGTTTTTCTTTATGAATTATTAATAAGTTTTTGAAGTAAGTTTTTTTAACTTCGGCAGCACAACTACAGGCCCCTGTAGGCCAAAAGCTGGATAACGCTTTCCGCTGGATAAATCTCTATCCATTGGATAACGCAATTGGTTTCTGTAATACTTATCCGCTGGTTAGTGATTTATCCGATGGATAGCGCTATCTAACGTTTGAACAACTGGGGCAGGTGCGAAAAAATGCTAACATGACGTTTTATACAGGACGTGAAAACACGACGACAAATTTTCTTTTCTCTTTTGAATTTGGCTGAGAAAGTGGCATGGGATTTTTTAACCAGTCAGAGACGCAGTGGGGAAAACGCTTTGAGAACGTATCATATCTCCGATTGGCTGAGATATTGACCCGTGATTTGTTGACCAATCAGAGACACAGCAATGCACGCGTTGGGCAAGTCACGTAGCTCTGATTGGCTGAGAAAGTGGCATGAGATTTCTCAACCAATCAACGATGCAGGATTGTAACTAGTTTTGTCACTAATTGAAATTGCTACTGAGGTGTCAGTGTCAACTCTCTAACTCTTTTATTTCTTTAAAACAGGAGCTTCACAGCACCCTTTTGTCAAGACTAAACGATATTTACATCGCGAGCTTGAGCAGAAAGCATTTGACCTTACAAGCGCGTAAGCCAGAAGCTATCAAGACTTTCGAACCGAAGTTCGAGGAACAGTAAGTCGGGATATTCTTTTTGGGGCTTTGACATTCGTTCTTGTTGCTCTAGACTGCACCGCAGACTGACTCTAACCCCGCTAAGTAACGTCTGTGAAGCAGCCCTGATATCCTTGTTATGGGTACCCAAGGGACCCAACTAGTTACCGGAAATGCGCTTTGAATTCCCCTTCAACCTGATAGGCAAATCGACAATGGGTTATTTAACAGACCAATCATGGCGCATACTCAAATCCTGGGACACAGGTGGGGACCCAGAACAAGGATTTCGCCGCCGTTACTCAGACGGACTTAACCAGAGGTTTAGTTCTGTCTGTGGCGCAGGCTATTGTTGCTCTAACTTGGTAAAGGAGATACCAGGCGAAACTTTACCTGCGGAGCGTGTTGGATTATTTTTGTGTCGAGCTAAGCTTTAATTCGTGAGCAAGCGTTTGGCTTGGGACGTTAGAGTGTGGTAGATAGTCCACTCCTCAGTGGACAACTGGGAAAAGCATCGTCTAAATCAACCAGTCAATCGCATTAACGAAAGTCCTACACTTTCGAGATTGCTCAGTATCATTTACGTTTTTTGTTAAATTTAATTGCAGTCGTTTTGATTACTTTATTTTGCTATGGTAACGGACAAAGATGTGATCGTTTTAAAAATCGCGGTTAGCTCTCAGTGAAGGCTGAGGAACGTTTCTATTTTATCACTCAGAGAAAATGTTTGCGATCGTTGCGCCATGGAGGACAGCTGCTTGTCAACTAGCTGTGCAAAGGTTAAATAATTTGCTCTAATAAACCATTTTTTTTTCGTCCGTTTTGAAGTTACGAAGTCCGATCAAGACGCGGAGCAGGGAACAAGGCATCAAACGAAAAACAGAAACTGAGATACAAGTACAAGAAGGAGTTTAAGGTTGGACTATATTTTTCCTCTGGCTATAACCTCCGCCTAAGAAATGGATATTACATGGCCACGCGAAGATACGAAATTTCTTGTAGTATAAAATATTTCTCCACGCGAGAAGAGAAATTTCGTACCTCCAAAGTTGTGAACATTTTAACGTCATTTCTGTGTCTATACTGTAGTGCAGACCTGGGAAATTTTTTTTCTTTTTGTTTTATTTATTTATTTATCTTTCAATAACATTGACAGTTTTTTACTATCCTTGTCCGGTGAACTTTTTTGGAAAATTGCGTTTGAAATTGCGCTATTATGACGTCATTTCCATGGTTTAAACTCTCCTGGACCATAACCTTGGACCAATCAGCGAGCGAGAAATCCCTTAGTTATTGTCAAAATAAAAAAAAAATCAGTAATCGCTGAATTGTTGTTAAGCGAGCGCGCTGACAAATAATTTCCAAATGTGGTGCTTATTTAAAGAGGCTCTCTTTCCAGTAAATATGTCAAGAATTCACTTTGGCCAACCATTTTATCCAACCATTGTTTCTGTAGACGGTGACAAGAAAGCAAATAATACAATGGACTCAAAAACATTGGTCTACATTCATTCAATTTGATTGTCTTTTCCCAAAACTTTCTCAACAAAAATGCACTGTCCACGTACGAGCAAAGCCAGCGCGCCGATCATAAGATTTTACAATTCTCATTCATAACCTTCGCATCCTTCAAAGGTTGTCCCATGCACGATAATCACGTGTTCAGTTTCTGTCTTCTTGTGACTCGCTAGGGTGCTATACGAGAAATAAGAAAAGACAACAAGTTCCTGGCCAAACAAAAACTGCAAGAACAGCTAGAAAAGTAAGTGAAAAGTAGAGAAGTCATGCAAGTATTGAGATAGAAAGGGAGTTTAAGGAATGCTGGTTGATTGTGACTGAAAAATAATGACATAACGTCAATCCTTTTGAAGCAATTGTTCTATTCATTACTACTTTATTATTACATGCAATTAAATACTGTCTTTTTTATATTTTAGGGACGCCGAGCGAATGCGTAAGGTGAAAGAAATAGAGCACATGCTATCTAACCAGCAAGCGGAAACCAACGCAATGAACCGCAAAAAGAGAAAATTGGGCAAATAGTGATTGAAGAAGCAAAACAATGCACGTGACTTGCACGTGGCGTGCACGTGCTTCTACAAGAAAGGTTCAAACGATATCGAGTAGATGTCGATTTTAGTTTGTCAACACATGGACCGTCTGACGTGCACTGTCAGTTATGTCTGCAGAGGTCTTTCATAAAAATACATTTATTTTTTACAGTGCTGCCGTTTAGCGTAGTATTCAGGAAAAGTTTGTAAATTATTTTAATGTCATTCTTCGTTTTTACAGTGAAACCTTAGTTCCGTTGTAAACTACCCCGTGTATACACGAAACTCGGATATAATAAATGAAAATACCCCTCCCCTCCCCTCTCCTCCCCTCTCCTCCCCTCCCTAACTGCAGTAAAGTGAATTGTTTTGGACTCCGATTTAAACTACCTCAGCCGTCCCTTGGAACTTTTTTTATATCATGCTTCCATTGTACTCGCAACATGAGCTGGACATTCAGTGGTGTTTCCTAAAAATACCGTAATTCAAAGAATGACTTTAGCCTCGTATTCAGTTTACTTCCAATCTCCTTTTTTGTAACACCATTCAACGCGAACAGCAAATGCAGTGGCTTTTCCTAAAAATACCGTAATTTCAAAGAATGACTTAAGCCTCAATATTCAGTTTAGTTCTAATATCCTTCGTTCTAGCTCGTTCTAATGCCATTTAACGCCAGTTGCATATGCAGTGGCTTTTCCTAAAAATACCGTAATTCAAAGAATGACTTTAGCCTCGTATTCTGTTTCACAGTAATTTTCAAGGACTTATAATAACTCCTCTAGTGGGGCTAATTTAACTCCTTACAGTGAAGTTATTTTTGGAGGAGCTATTTTAACTCCAAAAGGGAGTCTTATAGAACTCTTTTTCAGTAGTAAAAGTGACCCAGATATTGAGGAGTTAAAATAACCCCAAAAAGAGTAAAAACAACCCACGTAAGGAGTAAAAGTAACCCCATTTCGGAGTTATTTTAACTCCAGACTCGGAGTAAAAAGAACTCTTTTTCAGGAGTAAAAATGACCCCAAATTCGGAGTTAAATTAGGAGTTAAAATAACCCCCAAAAAGGGGTTATCCTGTACCGAAAATTTCTACTCCGTTTTTGGAGTTATAATAACTCCCTAAAAATTACGGTGTAGTTCCAATCTCCTTTGTTCTAACACCATTCAACGCGAACTGCACATGCAGTGGCTTTTCCTAAAAATACCGTAATTCAAAGAATGACTTTAGCTTTAATTTTCAGTTTAGTTCCAGCGTTCTTTGTTCTAATCCCAATCAACGTGTGCGGCATATGCAATGGCTTTTCCTAAAAATACCGTAATTCAAAAAATGACTTTAGCCTCGTATTCAGTTTAGTTCCAATGCCTTTGTTCTAACACCATTCAACGCGAACTTCACGAGCAGTGGCTTTTCTTAAAATTGCCGTAATTTAAAGAATGACTTTAGCTTCAATATTCAGTTCAGTTCCATTGCCTTTGTTCTAATACCATTTAACGCGAACTGCACATGCAGTGGCCTTTCTTAAAAATACCGTAATTGGAAGAGCGACTTTAGCGTCAATATTTAGTTTAATTCCAGTGTTCTTTGTTCTAAACCATTCAACGCGAACTTCACGTGCAGTGGCGTTTCCTAAAAATGCCATAATTAAGAGAATGACATTAGCCTCGCATTCAGTCTAGTTCCAATCTCCCTTGTTCTAATAACACCAAACAACCCGAGCCGCATCTGTGGCTCACGCAGAGCCTCTCTAAAAGTGACACAATATTTAAGGAGCAGGCTTAGCCAGTTTTATAGCGAGAATGGCCACCCAGTTAGAATACGGCTGAAATGATTGTCTGTTAGTGGCCGTTTTAACGTTTGTCTTGTCCTGTTTTTATACGGATTGGCCTTGAATCGTTCTACAATTATCCAAGTCCTTTGAAATCAACGTTTGATCGAAGAACTTGCCTAAAAAAACTTGTTTTGCTTGGGGGTTTTCGTCGATTTTCTAAGACAACTTAGTGATAAAGCATCGTATTCTAAACTACATTTTACCGGAAAGTAAAAAGAAAAAAACTTAAGATTAGTGCCGCAATTCATCAAAAAAGGAAAGATGGCGGTGAAACATTCTTATTCCCGTGGGCATTTTGACTTAAGAGTTTACGGTTACTTTGGCTTTCTGGAGCTAACGGTTAGTTTCTTTCCGTCACGGAGATTATTAGACATCTGAAGAAGAAAGAAGAAAATGAAAGGTTTATATCGGCGTAGACCCTTTTCGGGGATGGAAGAAATAGGGTCCATCAGCCACTAGACAAATTTGGGTAAATCATTTGGGCGATCCCCACCTATTTAAAAGATTGTTTTTGATTAGTTGGGAAAACTCGAGTTCAACTGCGCAGGCATGCCAGCGGTAAAGCTCTGCGATGGCTCTAGTTGCCGGTGGCGCACGTTCTCATTCGTCCGGGAAGTAGCCCAGACGGTACCGGCGGCTACCTTGCAGATACGTCGGCTGCATGTTTGAAACAGGCTTTAGTTCGCGGCCAGAACGATCGAATGATGACGTAGTTAGTTTTGGTGTCTCACGTAATAGGCCATTTGCATTAAGAGGTCATGTGACATCGTTTTTATGAAAGTAAAAGTTATATGACTTTGCCTTCGAAAAACGGTTCGTAGGTCATATCTTAAACAAAATAATAGTCATTTGGTTTTTCCAAACCCGCACTATTTTCTTAAAATTAGTCACGTGACCAAAATGTGATTTTTAAAAATTTTGAATTACCTCCTTCTGGACAGAAATTTTGCACTTACATCTTCAAGGGAAATATTGAAAAGATGATGTGGTAACGTTTACAGCACATCTGAGCGCAACTATCAAACGTTTAACAAGATATAAGCAAAAAGAAGTTTTGGCGGCCATGTTGGAGCGCAAGAGTATGCCCTCCAACATAGCGTCCAATACAAATCATAGTACTTTGTTGAAAAATGAAAGTGCCGTAAAATATCTCCCTTAAATGCTTTTCCTCTCAAATTTCGCGTGTAAGATTATTTTTATGTGCTCTGTCAAATTTTGGCACCAGCAAGATTCCAACTCTTGTTTAAAGGAAGCATTGGTCACGTGACCTCTAAGTGCAAGTGGCCTATTCGCGACAATGACAACAATGGCTCGAGCGAGCAAAAGAGCGAAACGATTGGCTTTGGTCTGGAAAATCGCCATTTTGTACACTGTCTTTTTCGTATCAAATTAACATGTCGGTCAAGATTAGTGTTGGGCTGTTGCGAAACCTTTGCGGAAACTTCCACGAAAAGTTCGTCGGTGATTAATGGCCTGTATTTAGCGCTAAAATTCGGATATATAAACAAAATAAACACACACACATACACAACTTGGAGCTGAAAAATCATTATTTCAGTTTTGACTGACTATTACAAAACCGTTTTCTCTGTTCCATCTTGAGGAAACGACTAACTGTTGAAGTCTCAGCGCTTGGTGAGCTTAATGTCTTGTTTCACGCGCCGTTAGTCAGTTCATTATGCGACTTAACAAGCCCACATTTTCATAGAAATTGGCTCAGCTCTACAGTAAAAACCCCAGGGGAGACCTCTGTCTTATTATTATGAAAACAATAACTTAAGAAGGATTAACTGAAACACGCGACTAATAAATGGTCGCAATAAATCTAGGTACGTTCCTGTCAAAGACACAAGAAATCAACTTTATGACCTATAAATAATTGCAAAAAAAACGAAATACTCAGCGATTTTAAAGCAATCTATTAAGGACCGGTCATTATTTATCGCCTGGGGGATGGCGGAGGATTTGGGGCTACGGGGTGAAATTTATCAGTAGCACCCAGCGTCAATTTTCGGAAAATATCTGTTCGGAAAACGATCTGAGATCTATTTGGGTGAAAATTTATCCGATCCCATATAAAAAATGGTATAATTGCCCATTTTTAACGGACTTTTACCTAAAAAGGTCTTTAACATTTGTTGTAAAAATTTCTTACTTGCCTGCCTCTCCTAGGATTTTCGAACATATAAAAATGGTAATGTTATTTCACGGAAGTGATCCCCTAAAATAACATTTTTCAGGATGACTTTCTAAAATACGTCCATCGCCGCCATGTTTTGAACTTTCCGATCCCCTTTTGTTACTTCACGGAAGCAAATTTTTACGACTTTCGGTCCCCCATGTCTTTATTTTTCTTTGTCAACAATGTGCGATCCTATTGCAAAAGATACACCATGCTTGGCGTTGATTGGCCTTTTGCCTCTCTCTTCCGCAGAGGCCTCTTGTGGCATAGGGAGGCTGGGGAGAAGAAAAGAGAAGCGCGCAAGGCACGATGGGAAAGGGAAAGAAAGAAGAAAGGCGTCTTCTCCTTCTCCTCATCGTCCCCCGCGCGCTTGGTATATTTCGATTATTGCTATTTTTATTGGGATACCCAGCGGGAGCCTCTGCAGAGGAGAGCGACCTTTTGCTTCCTTTTAACCCGAGAAGAGGTAGAAACACCATCGCCGTCCTCATTTTCTTGATTAATACCGTAGGTTTATCCAAACTGTAATTATTGGTCAACAGGGCGATCAGTTGCCATTCCGTTTTTTATCGTTTAAGCCTAATATATAGATTCAGCTAGAGCTAAAAGCGAAGTTCCCGTTTATGCATTCTACATTTACTTCAGACAATGAACTTAAAACCGTTGCAAAGAAATCCTAAAATCTATACTTAACTTTAGGAGAGAATCATATGACTGAAAAACATAAAATTGAGCGTTCGATAAATTTAAACCTAACAATTGGTCAGGGGAAAACCTCAAAAACAACACGTGACCTCCATGAGTTGGCACCAGAGCCCGCGATACCGTCATGTGACTTTGTTCAGCGGCTATCCCATTTTAACAGCTGTCAATTAACCATAATATGGATGTCTATTATCAAGTTAAACACAGGTTTCATGCTCCCGCAATAGCTAGAAAGTTTGACATTTCACATTGGTTTCCCTGTAGTGCAGACAGACGGGCGTACGGTCACGTGATTACCAAAATTTCACGGATGGATAGATTACTGAAATTTTCATTGGCATGGGGCTACGCCTGCGCGCACTTCGCGCGCGCTTGAAGCCCCACTATTAGGCCATTTCAGTCATGGCCGAGGATCCTACCCCAGCTGAATCTATATATTAGGCTTAAACGATAAAAAAGGGAATGGCAACTTTTCGCTCCTGGCCATTTCCGAGTTCCAAAAACTCTCACTTTCAATACGAGACAAAACGTTTCTTGTAAAAATCAATTTTATTTGCATACGAATAACAAGTTATTTTTATATCAATGGCTTCGCACCGTAGCCTTCGTTTAAAGTAAAGGCTTGGGGCAATTCCGAAATAGCCTATTGTGTGCAAGCATACAACCTCGTCCCCAGGGCGCTTTTCCCTGGCTTTGGAGGTGGAGCACAAAGCCAGGGAAAAGCGCCCTGGGGACGAGGTTGGCAAGCATTGTCTGGTGCAAGTCGGACGCCAAGAAGCCAAACTTTGGTTCAAAGAATTAATTTTTGTGCGAAAAGTTCCGCTGTAGTAATATGCAAACATACGTGACGGTCCGAAAAATAAGGATACTTATTACTCGAGCTTGCTTTAGCAGAGCTAGACTCTAAAAATGCGGGCCGGTTTTTTTTTCCGTGGGTCCATTCCCAAATGGTCGGCCCAACGTCGTTCCCAGGGTCTCTCATCTTCCCGCCCAAGCGAGGAAGATGAGAGACCCTGGGAACGAGGTTGTGGTCGGCCATGGTCCTAGGCGTTCCTAGCGGAGATCGTGGAACTGGGGATATAGACTGCTTGCAGTCCACCTTTTCTCTTAAAATCCATCTAGTTCTTATCTCATCCAGCGCGATTGCAAACCACGACGTTGTTTCGCGGCTTAATTTGCCACTCACGTGCTTAGGATTCGCGTGCAGTAACCTCGCAACGAAAAATAAGAGACTGCTCGCAGTCTACTGGGGATAAGACAGGGCACCCAACGACAATTTTCGGAAAATATCTGTTCGGAAGACGATTTGAGATCTAAAATTTCTTGCTTGTCTGCCTCTCCTAGGATTTTCGAACATCTAAAAAATGGTATAATTGCCCATTTTTAACGGATTTTTGCCCTAAAAAGGTCACCTACAATTTTCGGGATCCTTTTTTTTCTGGCCGAAATTTTCGAAGAGGTAAGTTTTGATCCCTGTAATTTTCGGATCACTAGACTTTCAGCTAGGAAATCCGAACAGATAAAAAGTTTTTAGGGGATCAAAATATGCCTATATCTACCGTTTTAATACTGAAATACCTTTAACAATGCTATGTTTAAGTGGTTTTGAACTATATTCTCGTTGGGTGCCCCTGATAAGAATCGTGAAGACTTCCGTTGTATGCAAGTGAGTCTTGTGACGAGCATGCGGTTTATATTCGGCAGTGACTGAAATGACGCATGTAACTAGATCACGTTTTTAGCTGTCTGGCAATGATGTAATTTTCCCCGATTCGGGGCCCCTGCTTTTCGTGTAATTATGCACGCGTATTGAAAAGTAAATACCTCGATGAGGAAATATCATAGGGGAAAATCCTGTTTTGTGGTGAGTTGAAGCGTTGCGTTTCTCAGAATATTGTCGCAATTACTGCAACTCTACGGTTAAATAGATTCACTTTATTGATAGATTTTCGCAGTTTTTAAGATGTGACGTGGCGTTGCACTTTATAAATACTTGAGATATCATTGATTTAACGACTTCTAGTCGAAATAACTTCAGCTATCCGTCTGACGTTACGTATGTGTCAAGGATGTGTTTATACTGGTTTGTACTTGACTATCACACACTCTACTTTACATGCATTTACATATATCATCTTGCACATTCGCCAGCTCCTAACTAAAGTGCTACTACTAGGAACTATAAAAATAAAAATACAGTAAATCGAAAGGGGTAAACATCATACTGAAAAAATGTAGTCAAAGATGGTGAAATGAAAGGATTTCAATAAAAAATAGCTTACCTTACATAAAATGTGTGTTACGTCTCTCCTGTGTGGCCTACTTATATATAGAGACAGAGTCTGAAATAGAGAGAAAACCGTTTACGGTACAACCACAGGTAGCCCAAGCTCGGAATATGAGCATCCGTGAGCATCGGCATTGTTGCGTAACATTCAAAATACAGTGAAACCTGTATTAAGCTGACACCGTATTAACCGGACACCCTCTATTAAGCGGACAGTAGCCGAAGTCCCCAAATTTATTTCCCTCATTTTCTGTAAATGAAACCTTTATTAAGCGGACACCTGTATTAAGCGGACGCCGACACCTAAAAAGTATATGTCTGAAATGGTCATTTCTATTGTTGCCAACCGGTATTAAACGGACACTTGAAACTGAATTCCACCACCCAACATGCCAGACACCGGAAATGTGAAAGATTGCCTCGAATTGCCACCCATAAATTTTTCGATTTTTACATTTAAAAAAACGTGCCTTGACGAACTTATTTGATCATTTTCTCAGTACAGTACCGTTTTCTATTTCGTTTTGTTTGTACAGAGCTTGTTTCACTCATCTGATTTCTTCAATTTTGAGTTGCAATCTATGTTTATGGTACTATGATCAAAGTGTGGTCCACTTTGATGAAGAAATTAGTGCAAACGGATATCATCATAGTCTCTGGGACTATTCTAAACGTTTCCACTGTTCAATTCAATGACATTTGACACCTCGTATGACTTTATCTATCGAAACCTGTATTAGGCGGACACCCTGTATTAAGCGGACACTACAGCATTCCCCAAGGGTGTCCGCTTAATACAGGTTTCACTGTATTAGGATTTGTATGGGAAAACAGGGCACCCAACGACAATTTTCGGAAAAATATCTGTTCGGAAGACGATCTGAGATCTAGAATTTTCGGAACATTTGTTGTAAAATTTATTGCTTGCCTGCCTCTCCTAGGATTTTCGAACATCTAAAAGGTATAATTGCCTATAATTGCCTATTTTTGACGGATTTTTACCCTAAAAAGGTCACCTAGAATTTTCGGGAGCCTTTTTTCTGGCTGAAATTTTCGAAAAGTTAAGTTTTGATCCCTATAATTTTCGGATCACTAGACTTTCAGCTAAGAAATCCGAACAGATGAAAAATTTTTTAGGGGATAAAAATATGCCTATATCTACCGTTTAAATACTAAAATACGTTTAACAATTCTATGTTTAAGTGGTTTTGAACTACATTCTCGTTGGGTGCCCCTGGGGAAAAAACCTATCGTTTCTGTAACCTACGAAAATGAAAGGATTTCAATAAAAAACAGCTTACCTTACTTAAAATGTGTGTTACGTCTTTCCTGTGTGGTCCACGGGCCGATTTATGGCCGTTTTATGGGTTTTTATGTAAACGGTTTTCTCTTTATATAAAGGTTTAGAGAAAACCGTTTACATACTACTAAACCCCTTAAAACGGCCATAAATCGGCCCGTGGACCACAAAGGAGAGACGTAAACACACATTTTAAGTAAGGTAAGCTGTTTTTTTTTTATTGAAATCCTTTCATTTTCGTAGGTTACAAAAACGATAGGTTTTTTCCCATACAAATCCTAATATTTTGAATGTTACGCAACAATGCTGATGCTCGCCGATGCTCACATTTCGAGCTTGGGCTACCTGTGGTATAACCCATAAAACGGCAGGTCGCCTTTTAAGACTTAACCGAAACCGGAAACTGTGCATGAAAAGCCTCTGACACCCAGAGTACACTGGAGCAATATCAATACTAGTATGTAAAAGCTCAAAAGTCTCACATCTGCTTGAAGCTAAGATGTGCGGCCTGTCTCTCCTTGCACTTTGCACGTTTTGAGTATTTACATTGTGACATATAACACTCGTTTCTTGTTGAAAACGAAAAAAGCGTAACAGCACCAGGGCCTTTGACAACAAAACTTATCTTCAAGCAAGCTAGACTCAAACGCTACTAAGAGCGTTCTTATTTATATTTTGGCACTAACTGAGAGCTAATGAGAGGGCGGCTTAAAACTAAGGTATAATAATCGTCCTCGGTTCCCGCGTGGAAGCCGATTGCGTTTACGGGGTAGGCTGGTAGAGTACATTCACATCTACATGCAATAAGATGGAAACAAGCATTACAAGAGAGTAGCTATAGGAAGAGGGATAAAAGACCCCCCTCTCTCTTTTACTTCCCATCTTCCACAAGTAGAAGGCAAACCTCACTGGGGAGCCTGTGCAGTGGCCAAGAAAGCGTACCGGAAGTGGAGAAAGTGATAGCGCGAGCAATCTATTACAATCGTGACGGATGCCAATTTCCGCACATGAAAAAGTGAAAATTACGGGGTTCAAATCATTAACAATACCACCAAAGGGATTGAACGCTGGCTGATTCGCTCCTTTCAGTTTTCACTGAAATGACAACACTGTTATGCAAAGAGACCACAAAAAACTGCGTCTACAAGAGTCCACCCGAGAAATGAAATCTTGTGATGCAAGCGAGACCAAGCGAGAAGCACAAGCAAAGGCCGAGGAGCCGCTAAGAGATCGTAGGGATGATAAAACTCGATCAAAACCGGGATCCTCAAAGGTTTGTTTCATTACTGAGAGATTCCATCCTTTCAGTCCATCTTTATTTTTACTGAGTTATTTTTCAGTATACAGTATTTCGTGGTCACTGGTCACTTCCTTTTAGTCAGTTTTATTACACAGCCAGTCAATAAGAATTTTAATACTTCGTAAAGCGGATCAGGATAAGATTCTGCTATTCTCGATCAGAATTACAGCAAACGTTTTTTTGGAAATAACAGATTTTAGTATTATTTTGTCCAAAAATAACTATTGTTGTAACATTTATTTTTTGAAAGTGACTGACATTTTGTCACAAAATCCTTTATTCGCTAAGTGTATTTTGACACTTGAGTTAAAAGTCAACGGTTTCCTCATATTAGGATTTCCCATGTTTCTTTTTTAATAGGGAATTTTGAAAATTTGCCTGGTAATTTTTTCACTGTGGGATACGTAAATTTATGAGAAATCTTTTGAAAGGGACTTTAGCACCTGTTACTGTCACGCTCTATGTAACGCAAGGTTGGACATTGGCCAAAAGTCATGTGCCGTCATCACGTGCCTTTCTTGTGCCGATTGCGTCAGGCCAAACAATTATAAAATACACCGGCGCAATGTACTAGTGTCGTTTTCATGTGAAAGTTCCTTGTTGAAGAGTTGTGATTACAAGTCTGTCCTTTTTCTTCGTAAAAATCATCATATGACCTCGTACCGGAGACAAAAATTGTAACACGATGACTATAACGCCGGTGGAGGATACGGAGGTATGTAAAATTTCGTTTTCGATTGAAAACAAAGTGTAAACATGTCGTTGTATTTCATCAGCTTGGCGCGCGCTCTCATCAAATTTAGCTTTCAAGAAACTGATTTTGATCAAGCCTTCATTGCAAAGTACAAGTCATTTAATTTTTTTCTAGGGCGACATATGGATCGATAGATAGATTGAAATTGTAATTTGTAGCAAATTTTGTAAATGAACTTACTTCGTGTTTTTTGTGTATGTGTAAGGTTGGCGTTTACGTAACGTCCAGTATTATTGAATTTTTACCCTCAGATTGTGAAAGTTAAGGTCACTCAACCTAAACTTCATGGTTGCAATACTAAAAAGTTTGTCGACTACGAGATAACTATCGAGGTAAGTTTCTCTGTTTCTCTGCATTTCTGCTACGAACCCTCGCTAAAGGATATACGAGGCCTTCTTTGCTATGAAGATAATTCACTAACATGAGGCGCTAATTTTGTTTTCACTCATGTATAAATGAGCCAAGGCTTATAGAGGACAAGTTCTATCATGCTGCTGCTCATCTGCTGTGTAACTTCATTGCTAACTTAACCATTTGTAAGGGCAAATTCACGTCTTACGTTATTCATCCCAGCTAACATCAGCTTATGTAAAAATAATCCAACGCATTCTTGAAGATGGCTTAAATACTTGTCATTTTTGCGGTCAATTAAACATGGCTTTCTTTCTTTCAGACCAGCAATAAAGCTTTCTTCAGAAAATTTTCTAGCGTGAGACGGAGATATTCCGATTTCTGCTGGCTCAGAGCAAAATTGTGCAGTACTGAGATAAACGGATTTGGAACGTAAGTAATGGTGGAGAGATGGAAATATCTGATTTCCATAAAAAGAGCTAAAGGGATGAATGGTTTAAACATTCACCTCTGGGTGCAGTGAGTATATATATGGCCACAATAGGAGGATCCTTATGGCACAAGTATAAGATGTATGCTTTTTTACTAATTAGGGCAGCCACAACAAGCTTACAATTTGTATTATAAAAAAGGAGAATTTCAAAACCTTCTGTTCTTCTTGAAAAGTGGAACCTCGATATAACGAAAGGCTGAGGGACTGAGAAAATCTCTTCCATACATTGAGGTTTCATTATATCAAGGTTCTTTTCCATATATTTTACTATTACTGGGGCAAAAAGCACTGTTATACAGAGGACTTTGTTCTATAGAGGTTCCACTGTATGTATGCTCGCATACATACAAATTAATACTCTTGGTGTGAATTTTGTCCTCAGTGTAAGCTCAAGCCTCCTAAGTAAGGTAACAAAAATGGCTCTTCCCATAAAACTTCTCTTTTTCCAACAATCTGGGATTATACTTTGATGCCAGCATTCACAGTGTCAAAATTTTTAGACTGATAGTAGTCCCCCAGGATTGCTGTGCTGCAAGCATGTTACATGCGAGCCAGGCAAACTTTCGAGGAAGGCGTTGAAAAGGCAAGGAGAGAACCGCAATTTTTTGTAACTAACACATTCAAATTCTTTGTCCTCCAAATGTGTGAAATTAACTGATTATCAGTTAATTAAACACTAATCTTGTCAGCATAATAGGAAAGTCACACAATACCAGAGACAGACAAAACCAAATTGTGCCACCATCACATTGTTTCCATGCTCTAAATAACAGATAGATTCATTGTTGATGCGTATCTGTTGGGAAATAGATTGCAGATGACGTCAAAATGTGCGAAGAAAAATAATGGTTCTTAGCACATTTTGATTTTTTCGCACCTTTTTTATTTCCTCTGTGATCCATAATAATATTTTAAATGCTACTGTCATGCCCGTTAAATTTTAATTTCCTCAGTTCTATTTCCTGCAATCTGGGACAAATGATAAAATTTACAGAAAAGCTGATTAAAAAATATGTATACCAAAGAAAAATTTCAATTACAAGGTGCATCCTAATAAGACACAAACTGTCCATTTAAATGACACATCTAAATGATTTAGGTCTTAAATAACTAAGATGCAATTTAGTTGAGAAATATCTTGTTTTACTCATAAATATGGTATGTACAGTTTGCGTTTAATTATAAGGCAAGTCCTTTTTTTTTTCCTTTTCAATGGCGATATTGTTTGTGTCACGGGGGTCTTCCTTGAAAATGTCCTGACATTTTTTCATGGAAAGTATTTATGATGATACTGATCAATCTAATATGTTTGTTTTGTCTTCTCAGGAACAGAACCGTGCCAGATCTTCCCCCCAAGAATTATTTTGGAAGATTTAGTAAAGAAGTGGTTGACGCAAGACAACAAGGATTACAAGATTTTTTAATAGAGTGAGTCATAAAAGAGATAAAAATTCATTTTACAGAGAGCATTTTGTGTGAACCAAAGGCTACTGTTCATTCTCAGGAAACAGTGTTTGCGCTATAGTAGTGTGGTATGTATTCATAAGCTTGACTTGCTAAATCGTACAACATCCTTTTTCCAGTGTCCAGTCCTCGTTCATCTTGCCCCAATTCTTCGAAGGAGCGCCTTTCACCCGATAAATTGTTCCCCAATGGATAAGTATTCCCTTCTGAAAACTAATTTTACGTTATCCAGTGGATTAAACCCATTTTATATGGGAACTCAGAACAGCTAAAGAAATCATTGCACCCACTCTGTCTAATAATCTGTCCATGTAGAATAATGTACTAAAGTATTTTTGAACTTCTGCTGGTACACTTGATGGCCAGTTGTCAAATCTTTGCCGTCGCTTGCTCTCTTCTTTTGTTTAGTGAACTAAACGTTCTAGATATTCAAAGTATAGGTTGTTGTGGATAAAGCCAGCAGAGCTTTTTACAATGTGTATGACACAATTCAAACACTATTGAATAGAAAATCCTTTTTTCTGAGAGTTAAATAATGTCATGTTGTTGATATTTTTTGCTAGGATTGTGAAAGTTGATGACTTCCTTTCATTTGCTGGACTTCACTTGTTCTTACAAACTCAGCTTCCAGTCCAGGAAATAGATGGATTTCTTGACGGAAAATACGGGGAGCATGCTTCAGTTGAGGAGCTTATAGACACTCACGAACTTACAAATGCAAGTGAAGACAATGTGGAATATGTATGTTCAAGTGAAAAATGTGCCTTGATGTCAGCTAACTGGGACATACCCTCACCTGCTATAAGTATTACAACTTGTGAATCTGATGATGTAAGTTCTGCAAAATCCCTGTCTGGCAGCTACAATAGTTCAGACAGTTTACTCGGACCAATGTCAAGTTCAGTGGAAAGCAGCTCTTTCATGTATACTGTGTACAGGTAGCTTAAGATGTCAATCATGAACACTCCCTGTGGTGCTGTACAATGCACCAATCAACTCAGAGGGTAAAGCCCTAGTCTGCATCTTGCAGTAATCTCTTTGGTGATGAGCAAGTTGTTATTCTGCATTACATCCCAGAAGCTGAAAGGTTGACTATGGATTGTACTATCCAAGTCACTCAAGAGGTTCAATATTGTTTCTCCTTCTTCCCCTCCTCCACCTCCCCACTAGAAGTTTCTGAACTCTTAAAGACCCAAGAGTGTCCAACATTAATTTTCTGCTAATGTTATCAATACATAAGTTATGAGAGTTAATAATGGTTATGCTTTTATCTGTAAACAAATTCTCCCAACTGATTCTCTAAGGGAATGTATAGAGGATCAGTCTGCAGAGTTTGTTTGTGGATACTGGGGCCTAAAAGGGTTCAGAAGGCAGCTCCCAGAAATTTCAAGATAGTTAATAAATTAATTGTAGCCCAGCCCTCTTTTTTTGTTCTTTTTTGCATTGTATTACATGTAGGAATACTTGCTATGCAGGGTAATGTATTTTTGAACTCCAGGCACTAGTTATTAGCAGGTCAATTTAATTGAATTTTACAAGTATAATTTATGAGTGTAAAGTCCTATTGTTTTGAGACTGTAAAACAATAGCTGCATTTGTAATTATTATACCTGTAAAAGTTTTATGAAATTGACCCTTGTTTTAGAGCCGATTGTTGTAAACAACACATAAGCATGGGAATGCATAAGGGCAAGCATGTGTACACATGTGATAAGCGACCAAGGTTGGTAAGGACCAACATTGCAAGTTCAGGTCAAGCATAAAATCTTGGCACTCACTGACATTGGGGCCAAAGATAACAAAACGTGAAATCCATCCAGTGCTTTCCTTATCTTGGTATTAATTGATACATGCAGTGGAATAATTTGTTGGCAAGCTTAATTGCAAACCATGTAGCATTGTGCTGGTTTGCTAAGATCATAATGCAAGCATTAATCCAAGGGATGTATGCTTCTGCCAATCTATCTAATTACACATAAGGTTTCTCAGACATGCTGTCACTTGATGTGCTTGCAATAATTAGTCACATGTTAAAAAATGACCTTAACTTATTATCAGTGTAGTTACTAAGACCCTCCCACACAATTGCATAGATTTATGCAAAAATGCTAGGGACAGCGATAAGAGAGAAAAAAACAGCGGATAGGGAGAAGCTACAAATTTTCTGTGCCCCATTAGCCTTGACTGCAAAATTATGTGCATTAAAGGAAGGATATTAAAATATTGTTGGAAATCTCCTTACATGTATGTAGATCTTCAACTGAGTATTATTTTGTATGTCCGATCAGTGGCATCAATTTTGTTATTTATGGATTGGATTTTTTATCCAAGTTTGTGTGCCTCATGTAATCCTCACACCAGTGTTATTTTTTCTTAGGGTGGATTTTCACTGTCTCAAAATTTTTGTACGTTCTTTGAGCGAGGTTCAACTTTTACATTTACACATGACTTTCCATACACTGCCTCTGTTTACGCACCTTAAAGTTACGCGACAGTGGAAATCCACATTAAGTCTCTTTGTATGCTAGAGGGCAACTTGATCAGCAAGAAAGAGTTGGAGTTCTAGGAGAATAATGTTTGGAAAAATTTCTTAACTCTGTCTCATTCTTGTTAGTCAAATCTATAGGGGCTGATTTTGATATTTAGCCTCTTGGGTACAATAATAGTTCAAAAGAAAAATATTGGAGGATTCACCATTTTTCACTTTGACTTTTTGATCTGACAGATTTCTGGGAAAAAGCTGCAGAGCTGCTAAAAATTTTTGTGTCCATGTTGACTGTATAAACAAAGGATTTAAAGCTCTTTATCCACATTTACATGTACATACTGGAGTTGTAATAGCCAAAATTTTATTTACTTCAAAAGTCTCATGTTTTTTTCATTTTTCATTGGGATATTAATTTTGGAGACATGTTTGTCACTGTAAATTAGACAAAAATATTAATATATTTTTAACAATAATTGTGTATGAAAGCCATACATGTATATGTCATATTGTTGATGTATTTTACCAAGCTTGTACAAGGAGTTAATTTAAAAGATTATTTATTGTTGGAAGTTTGCTAAAGATGAGAAAAAGACTTGTCAAACTTACAAAAATAAATGCTGGGATTAGTGTCTGTATAATTGCAGTTCATCTGTGCTTCAGTTATTCCAGGGAGGTCTATCAAAAGTCATGTATTGTGGCAAAGCGAGAAAAAAAAGTGCAATAGGTTAGTGCCCTGTGACAAGGAAATAAAGGTTTTTGTACATTTATGTCTGTTGCCCCAATTATTATCAATGGAAAATTACTTTTTAGCAACTGGTCAGTGTAAAACGCAGACTGTGGACTATTGTCTTCCCCATGCAAATGAGAACGTGACAACAATAGTCCCATTGTTTTACCCTAAAAACAATGGTCCACAGTCAGTCTGCATTTTACACTGCCTCTTTGAGCAACTGTTGTTTTCAGCTTGGAATGTATTGCTTGTTCCCTAATCCACCCAAAAGCTGAATGGTTATAATGTTGTTTGTTTGTTGTTCTGGTGTAGTTGGTGTATCATGATTTCTAGGTTAAACTTAAGCTGCCACATTTCTTAAACTAAAAAATATTGTAACCCTTAAGAAGTTAACCCATCACAAGGCAATTTGGCTCTGCTGAGGGAGTTCTATTACCAGTATCCTTAGTATCCTTATTTGGACACACGTATTTTTGCTCAACATGGATCCATCTAATAAAACTTTACAAAGTGCAATTTCCAGCATAGCCGTAGCAATATTGGTTTTGGCCTCATAAGAGACAACAACAGCTTTACTGGCAAATTAAATTACCTAATTAAAGGTTGTTTTTGCTAATACAATGTAGGTGGTTGAAAACACAAGGACTACAAAAAGTCCCACTCCAGAAATACCAGATGATGTTTATCTTCAGTACAATTGGAAGATTCACCTTAGATTTGTCCCAAGAACATTGTGTTTGTTACAGGTCAAAATGAAATAATTTTTCAGGTTAAAATTTTTTAATCTAGGTTGATCCTCTATTTCTTTTGTCTCCCTGCCCTAATTATTCATTTTAAAGGAAAAAAAAAAACAGCTAGGACACAAAGGAAATTGACAATCAACCTAGGTTAAAAAATTTTAACCTGTAATTTTGATCTGTAAAATATACATTCATGTCATAATAATTGATGGATTAGAATGAGACCCTGGTAAACTGCCTACAGAAAAACGTTGGGTTCGGGAGGGAATGTTGTACTGATCCTGATTAACTATTAAGAAATAAACATACTTAAGTGTCTCTCGTAAGCAGACTGTTTCACGCATTCAGATAGCAGGGTTGATAGCAGAAATTCACAATTAACGACAAAAGTAACAAAAACAAGATTTTTATTGTTTTTTCCTCTGCATAAATAAACCCACATCTGTTCAGCAGATAACAACCACTGTATTATTAAGAAGGTATGAAAGGTTAAAACTTCAAAAAGTACCTTTACTCTTTTTTTTTTTTTTCGATATTTGAAAGTTTGGACAAATGTCCGAAGGATGGGGATCTGTAATGCATTAGTTTCTTCGAAATGGAACTTCAAATCTTCTAAATGACAAAAGGATTTCACTTCTATTTAGTATTACTACGAAGGGTAATAGGCATTGCCCTTTTTGTGGATGCAATGTAATGGAAGACATCAATGTCCTACATACTCTATGATCATCATAAGAAATGAATTTTACTATAAATTCAAGACTCTGATTCCAAATATTACACAGTTACCAAAAACGGTTTGATCAATGAACTGATGACTTTACCAACTGACTTTATCAATATTCAATTCATAAAATACATTTCAGCTTGTTTTGATGTTCGTGACAAATTATTATCAAAGTAATGTAATTGCTCTGTGTTGTAATTTTGATTCCTAAAAATAGCTTTTGCAATACGGTATGTGCTTGTATGGTCATGCAAATAAGATCGTTGTTGATCGGTAGTGAAGTACTATCCAGTCTAAGGATGATATCCTGTGGTGTTACGTAAATAAAATAAACAATCATCATTTGGGATCATAACTTTCTTTAGCACCTAACTACTAAATAAATATTTCATTGTGACAATTTGGAACATTTAAACTACTTTACTGGAAAGTCATTTTTGCAATGCAAATGGTTTACTTTGTAGAAGGGTACAGGTTATTTGCTTTAATGTAGTTAATCACTTCATCTGGGATCAGATATTTCACACTTTCACCTCTTCTTAAAGACCTCCTGACAAAAAGGAAATGAAGACAATATTACATTGAGATCAAGTAGAATATCAAGCCATAAGCAAATCAGGCAACAATGATCTCCAGGAAAGATCCCTTTGTCTTACTGAATTAGACTTAGAAGAAGCTTATTGATGAAAGTGACCGTTGACTGAAGCTATCGATGTTGAATAGACTAGTGAGTTTCAAAAATTCTCTACCATTATTAAGTGAATAATTTATTCACAGTAATTTGTCACCATAAATCTTCTATTAAGCCCCCCTCTCAAATAAGCCCCCTCACTCTCTAAAAAGCCCCCCCTTTCAGAGGAAGAAAGTTAATACGCCCCCCTCTCTATTAAGCCCCACTTCCCCACCCCTAATTATTTTTCAGTAATAAATTAATGATAGACTGTATTAATCAATCAGGACAGTGAAACATCGTGTGGACTGATCCGGGATGGTTTATTTACCTACTGGAAGTTTGGATTTGATTCTGATCCTCAGCTGCATGACCTAAAACTTCTTGTACTTGAGCTTTTCCACTTTGTATTCTAGTTCTTTATGGAAAACTGATACCATCTTCATGTCTAAATTAAATAAGCCCACCGTCTCTATTAAGCCTCCCCCCCCCCCTCAAATGGGCTTGAAACAAAAATAATAATAATAATAATAATAATATTTATAGAGGGAGCCCAACTCGCCAAGGCGGTTTTCAGTGGGGCCCTCATGCATTAATCTAACTAATTAATTAATAATTACGAAAAAAGTAAAATATGTTTACAAGTAAAACAAATTTAAAAATTAAAAATCTTAAAATCGATTATACAAAAAAACATCAAGGTTTAAAATTAGCTGAGATCTTTTAAAAAAGTTTTTAACTTGGATTTAAAAATAGATAAAATATTACACTCTTTTAAATCATTTGGAAGGCTGTTCCAGTCTTTCGCGGCGTGAAAAATAAAAGTTTGTTTACCCCAGTTTGTTCTGGGTAGGGGTAAGCGAATATCATTAGAGCGTCTTGTATTATATGAATGAACAGCTTGACTTTTAGTAAAATTAAAGTTGAAATCGGTTTCTCCAATAAGACACTTGTGGATTGCAATGCAGCGATGAAAAAAAACCTTCTTGTGGACAGTGTCTTCAAATCTTGACTTTTCAGTGCTTCAGTTGACGAGCTTGGGGTGGTTGCCCCAGCATAACTTTAGCAGCTTTATTCTGTAGAATCTGTAATTCTGACATGATGGTGTCATTGTTCTTGTCCCCCCATATAACGTCTCCGTAATCAAAAAGAGGGAGGATTAGGGCATTGTACAAGGCAACTCTAGCTTGTAGCGGCAATAGATTCCTGATTCTCCTAATTAGGCCTATTCTCTGATTAATCTTCATGCTGATAGCATCGACGTGATCTGCCCAGGACATAGACTGTTGAAGCGTTACGCCTAGGTATTTGAATGATTGTGTTCTTTCAATGCTAGTGCCCTCTACTTTAACCGAAATGCCTTGAATACGATTCAGTTTCTGAGGACTTCCAAAGATAACAAAAATACATTTGGATATATTTAGTGTCAGGAGATTTCTAGAGAACCACTCAGACACTGTCCCCAAGTCAGCATTGATGTGATGTTCAAGATCGCTGACGCTTTTGGATGAGTAATAGAGTACAGTATCGTCTGCATAAAGAATAATATCGCTTGCCAGGTGACAGTCCGGAAGATCATTCACGTAAACTAAAAATAATAAAGGTCCCAATATACTGCCTTGGGGTACTCCAATAGGCATTTCGGTAGATGCAGAGTGAAAGAAGCCCCTAGGGGCCTTATTAGAGGATTTATGGTAGTTTAACTTTTAAAATAAATGTCAGTGTTGTAATGCACATTTGGTTGTTTCTCAAACAAGACATGAACCCCTGGTTTTCGAGTTAACATGCCTTCTAATCCCTTGCCGCAACAAAGTAAAAACATCCCAGGATGCAGCTAATATAGATGGAATCATTACGATATGTATTTTTTTGACAACAACACACCATTAACTTTCTACCTTATTTTTGTAGCACTAACATCATTTGCTATCCACTCTGTGACAATATGAATGTTATTCTGTGGATCAGTAAAATAGTAAAAACAGATTCTTGTTAAAATGATCATATAATCATACTCCCATGTAAAAGAATGTGCCTCTTGTCAAGTATGCTTTGTTCCTCCATGACTCTGAAGCAAGTGCATAAAGTCATCTACATACCTCTAATGCATGTGAAAAAACTGTTAAAACTGTCCTTAGTACAACTTAATTAAGTTGCTTACTTTGAACTTTGTAAGAACATCTGACTCATAGATGAAAGACTCTGGATTTGATCCTGCCCGTGATATCACAACAAGACCATGTTTTCCCACAATTTTTTCAATCTGTTGGCAGGAAGGTTATAGTAAAAGACTTCATCAACAAACATTAGGTAAAATCAAAAAAAGTTAGAACTTATGGCAGCCCCTTCAAATTAGCTCACCCTTCTCGAGTCAGGAAATCGAATAGTTAAACAACCTGTGTGCTATTTCAAGCACTTACAGTACAGGGTTGTCATTAAGAGCCGGGGACCGGGGATTTTCCCCGGCTACTAAGAGAGTGGCCCCCAGCTACTTTTATTGGAAAATAGAAGAAAAATAGAACCAAAAGAAATCCCTAGCCATTTGATTCCCCGCCTACTTGTTGTATTTACCCGGCAACTTGAAATCTTAGTGACAACCCTGCAGTACATCCTATTTTATTGATACTGAGGGCTTCTGTTATGCATTTAATGGTTTTATCATTCACAGCATTATTTTCATTTAGAAAACAAGGTTACTTTTTAGGACCTGACTGCACTGTTGCTTGATGTTTCATGTATTCAATGTGATGCTAATGTATTTTTAGGCTGGCAATCCAGTCTCCTCATTGCCAAACCCCACCCCCCTCATATATCCCTTATACATCCCCATTTATAATTGCACACAGCTTCATGTATGAAAATTACAAAGTCTTTCATATAATGCCCTGACTATTTTCAATAAGCATAACGGAGGTAAGCAACAAAATAAGGAAAAAACTGGATATTAATATTAAATAATGTTATTAAATCCTTTTATAGACTGGGTTAAACAATTCAACTTAGTAATGCTAGGACTTACATCTTCATCTTTCCACAAATTTGGAACGGCAAATGATTCTAAAAGATCAGCTCCACAAAGCAACTTCACAACAACAGGACTTGGGCCTGTGAAATGATGTTTGGTATGACTGTCAAGGGCCCACTAAAGGGCTGTTGAAATGAGCCCAATAACTGGGTTAGTAAGAAGATTAAGGTTAACCTAAGTTTCGTATATAATAACCTAGCTTTTACATCCTTGCCCACCAAGGACATATATTAATTTTATACAAATGAAATTACCAACATCTCGGTCGTTCTTGTTGTCTTGAATAAAAAAACTCAGGTTGTTGAGAAATGGCTGCCGGTTGCTGGGTGTATTTGGCTCTCGTAGGCAAGGGGTTATAAAACTTGTGCCTTACTTAGGGCTCAAAATAACGGCCGGTCAATGGACAATGGGCGGCCAAAATGGCATCTTGATCATGATAGGCCAAAAACTTCACTAATCGGTCATGTCAACATCAATTTTCTCCTCACAAATATATCAATACATAATTAAAAGAAAAGTTTATGAGAAATATAAATAAAATGCTTCAAATGATCTTTGAAAAAATTCTCTCAACTAATTATTCTGTAAGGAAATATAAGGAGATCAGATTGGAGAATTTGTGGGTGGATATTGAGGCCTATAGGGTTAACTGGTGACACACTCTCTTATTCTAACCCAGTAAACTTTAGATTTTGTCTTTTAAATTGTAAAACTGCAACTGATAGAAAATTACACAACATTTTTTTGGCCCAATATTTTGACCGGTCAAAAATGAGGCTTGACTAAGCTAAAATTCCTTTGGCCAGTCATCATGTTCGGCCACCGTTTGAAAATAAATTATTTTGATCGTTCCATTAATGATGCTTTAACGTTCATTCCAATGTACAAATGAATTTACATGCCAGCCCATCAATTTAAAGTGTTCAAATAAAACTGGGAAAACTTGTCTACAGGTACTGCTAAAATCCTCTATGTGAAAAATGAACTATTAACAGCCAATTCAAAGCAAATTCATAAACATCAACAGTTTCAATTGCAAGGAAAACATAACACAACTTTAATTGAGATACCTCTTAACCAAGCCAGCTGGTCCTTATGCAGGGCTGACACTAAGATTTCAAGTTGCCTGGGACATGCATCATACATGAGACGGAACGGAATATCAAACTGCTATGAATTTCATTTTAGTTCTATTCTTCCTCTACTTTAATTTCCCTATTAGGTGGGTGTCTGTAGAGCACGTTTCCACTGTACAGTGGAACCCCACCTAACGCCCACCCCGTTTATAAGACCACCTCGTTATTACGGCTATATTCTTTCAAACCAAACGGAAAAAAACATTGACTCATTTTATTATTTTGAAGACCCCGTTAATGCGACCACCTCGTTATTGCAGGGCTTCTGATATTCTGCGCTGTTGCGATTTCGCATAATTGACCTCAAATCGCAACTTTTCGAATAATTCGTCAAAAATCGCATTATTCAGGCAAAATTGCAAAATTTGAGGAAAGAGCAAGGAAATATTCGCTTCTTACTTAAGTTCTACGACAATTTAAGTGTTGTTTTAAGGTGATTTACCTCTCAAAAGACGTTAGAAATCACCAAAATAGTTTGTGAGCGGTCGATCGATCAAACAGGCATTCTATGCGTAGTTTTGCACGTTGGGGACCTGGTACTAGTTCTCAATAGAAGCGATTGTCATTGACCGATTTTAATCAAATAAATTATGATGTCAATTCTGTGTAGCCCACTGAGGCTAAATCTTTTTAAGTTATTTCGAAATTGGTTTATCGTTAACCAGCCATTGATCATTTGCCCAAGAATAGCATTAGATACACAAAAGGCATCCACTGTTCGGTTTCACTTTTTTGTTATAGTTATGGTAACGTGTATTGTGGGGATGTCATTGAGTGATCTATAGCTTCTCATTTGAATCAAGTGTATCAAGTTTGTATAACCAACAGAAATGTTTCTACTTTGTTCAAGTTCCAAAAGGTCTAGATAGCAGCAACAAATTAATATTGATAGTCATATAAACAGAGCAAGTTATTTTTGTTCTGATAGGTTGTATGGTCTGTCGAGGCCTGACATCTGAAATAGCATATGGACATACCTTAATTAGCAGCCTATCTAGTATGTAAAACTGAAATTTGTAACATTATTTAATTAAGGAGGAATCAAGTGACACTTAATTGACTAAATGAGCCATTTCAGATTAAAATGATTAAAATGAGGCAACAATTGATTTAATTTGGATGAGCTTGTTTTTTTATACCTAATTGCCCGTTGGACAGCAAAAATATGGTTTTCCTCCTCTGAGACCTAAAAAAACAATGTTAAATCAGCTTTAAAAAAATCGCATAATTTGCCGCATAATAGACCTTTCTTGCCGCATAATTTCCCTTGAAAATGCCGCAGAATTTTCCATTTTTTGCCGCACCCTATCAGAAGCCCTGTTATTGCGACCAGGATTTTATGACCCAACAGTGGTCGTATTAACGGGGTTCCACTGTACTAAAAATTTTCTGAAGAAGCCTGCATGAGATGGACACCTCTTTACTGGACCTTGTGCCAAATGGATCGATCATTCTAAGTGACAGTACCAAAAACAACAATGACAGCTAGCTCTAACCTGGAAAATCTTTCTGTACTTCATCTGTTATGTGAGTAAGAACTTTCATTGTCTCTAGCCAGCCTGGCTGTTTGCTTTCCCAGTCATGAACACTGTCACAAAAGGAACAGAAAAACTCAACTTTGATGTGCCTTTTACATAGCCAAGGCAGGGAATGAATCATCCAGATGAAATTATGTAACTAATTTTCACCAGTAAAGCCTGGTTTTCATATGATCGCTATGACTGCTGCAATTGCTGTGATTGCTTTAAAAAAAAGTTCAGTGACAGATTAAGCAATCATATGGAAACCACTCCCCAGTGATCATAGCGATCACAGCAACAATGATCACTGAGATATAACTTTTTTCTATCTCAGGGATTGTTATCACTGTGATCGCTGCAATCACTGGAGAGTGTGGTTTCCATATGATCGCTTCTATCACTGAATGTTTTCTACAGTGATCACAGCCATTGTAGCAAACATATGGAAACCAGGCTTAAAATGTGTACACCTAGGATAAAAATAGAATGTACACTCTGGATCCATTAATAGTTTGCCTTGTATCCTCTCTGTTTGGCCTGAGGGGCAAGTACTGCCAGAAGGGGAAGCAGAAATTCAGACACCCAAGCACCTGAAGCTGCCCTCATTTCTCCCTTTCCCCTTTGAATTCCTGTCACACAGGATGCTTTGCAACAGTTTTTAAATTATTCTCTTTCAATAACAAATTATTTGTTTTTTGCTGATTCTTCATTGGAAATATTTTGATAAATATGTTGTTTAAGCAGGGGCCAATTTCTCAAACTCCCGCTAACTTTATGGGGCCGGAAAGCTGTTTTATGTTAAGTTGCTGTGTTTGCATTCAATATCAAAGGCCCAGTGTTCGCACTAAGCAAAATTTTGTTTGTATTGCAAAAAACTCTGTCAACTCAACTCTCACCAAAATTCAAAGATTCTGTTGAGAAGATTTGGAGCCCTACTATTTTTTGTTGACAGCTATCCCTCATTGGCAACCTTATTTCTCGAACATGACCAGTTAAAGTTCTTTTAATAAATGTTTTTGGGTAGACAAATGAGGTTATCATTATTGACGAAGCAAAATTGACTCGGGTTTGTGAGCTTAGGAACTGTGCTGCTATTCAACAGTTCTTGATTTCAAAATTTGCCTTTGGGCCAAAAAAGTTACCGGACCTTTTTGAGAAATGACAGCCCCTGGAGTCAAATATGTGCACATTATTAATTTGTTGCTATCCCCGATAACTACAATTCCTAATAACTCAAACCCCTGTCTTATTTCCCTTAAAGGTTTGAATCATAAGTACATTTACAACAGTGTCGTTTTTACCTGATCCAGTCAGATGTTCCAACTCCCAGCTCGCACATTTGTACTCTATGCTCCGATTTGATAAGGTCCTACATACATGTAACAAGCATGCATTAATTCATATTACTTTATCTCCCCTGTAATTCCAGTACATAAAACGTAGCCTCTGTATACATGTGGGTATTTCCGATGAAACTGAAGTTGTGACAATTGTCATTGATGAAGCGATGATCTTAAAGATTGAAGCATCACCATTAATTTTCTGCTTTCAATCACCTTTGAAAGTAATAGTCTTACAATAACAGCAAAGAAAACTGCCAAAAAAATAATTAATGTGCTGCATGTTCAGAATGTTTGCTTTGCTTATTTATTTTCTAGTTTCTGTTATTGTTGTGATTGCACAGAGCTTGCTAGTAGTGTTACTACACAAAAAATTGTTCATATTCAACAATTTTGCCAGAGAAAACCAACAATTTGATGGAAAATGCGCAACAAAATAGATCAGTTCTGTAGGTTAATACCCATATGGAGACCCTAAAATTTATCATTGGAAATTACACCTCTAGACTGGATAATCGTAACAGGACTGTGATTTCTTCTCCATAAAAGCACAGATGGGTGATTTTTTTTTCTATTTGCAAGAAAAAGAAATTGTATATGGTAAAGGTTGTTTGTGTTGTTTTTTTAACTGTAAAGGAAAATGAAACCTTGTTTTTCTTTGATTACATACATATCTCCAAATATGAGTTAAACCAGCAGTCACTTGGCACTGTTTTGTATTTGGAAACTGCTCTTTACATACGGTTGCCATCATTAATTTCTTTAGGGTGGGGAGAGTGGGGAAACCCTACTACGTATTACATAGTGAGGTGAAAGAAATTTATAACACCAGTTACACTGTAACTATACTGTATGGGATGTTTGTTCTTAGAAAACACAAGTTTTGGTTCTCATTTAATATAAAAATTTGCGGTAAGGAGAAGGGCCAGATGTGAAAAATTTCGAAGAGTTTGTAACCTCGGCCTCACCTCCACCACTCCACCCCCATCGACACACACGTTCTCGTAAGAACACTAAAGCCGGGTTTATTTTTTTTACCTCGATTTTTTTCTCCAAACAAGAGCAAGAAGTAGACGTCGAAACAAACACTTTGAGTTATGCATGAAAGTTAAATGGTGGCGGAAACAGGCTGTAATCAAAGGCATTTCGAGCAAATATTTACAAATAGAACGGAAGCAATTGAAAATCAAATTTTTATCGGCTTACATGCAAATAATGGGTGGGTAGGTTAAGTTCAGGTAAACCTAGCCTGACTGAAATTGTAAAAGATCTAAAATTCACCAACCTTCTTTTTGTATCCATCATTTACTGGAGATATAAATCCCCTGATAACTGAGTAAATCCCTGTTGTGTGAAGTGCATCTCTCGCTAATTCTGTCAGATCAACAAACAATTGTGAAAGCAAAATATTGACATCGGAAACAGACCAAAATGGCGAAGACACATACAAAGAATATTGATTCTTCACTATATCATTACCAAACATTCTGAGGTGAAGAAAAGTGATGGGATTGAAAGATCCGCAACTTAGCAATACGACTCTCGTCTTCGAAGAAGCGGCCGCCATCTTGCCTGGAGTTCCCGCGCGGTAATCGATAACTTGAATATTGATTACTTTGCGTTGCTACTGGATACTGCTCATCCCATAATAGTTATGTTGGACAGGAAAAGAAAACATGGAGGACATTCGATGAAATATGGAGATTAGGCTGTAATCTCAGAATTTTGTAGTTTGTGAGCGAAAAACAGATTTCGCTCGCCTTTTGCCGGCGAGAGCCCATGACAAAGATCATAAACAAATTGGTGTTCACTTCTGAAGGTAGGAAATACTTATTGTAGATAGAGAAACAGTTGTCTTGAACCGACAAATAAATCTTCCTAAAAAATGATTAACACTAAAGAGTTCGTTCGGATCAGGCACTGTGACGTTCCTTTCTCCCTTGTTCTGGGTCAATTTCATCTGTTTTTTATAAAGAGTTGTGAAAGCCAAAGGCGGTCTTCAATTGTTCGTGGAAGAATTAACCCTAGACAAAAATCTATGAGGGTATGAACGTGAACTTTTTTGTATGTTTTCTGGGTTCTGACCATCAAAGATGAATTGAATAATTTATGAAAATATAAGCCACAACAAGACATGGCAAAACAAGTGGGTCGAAGGACGCAAATGTAACCGTAGTGGCTGTTTCTCTTTTCTTTTGAGCTCGCAAAATAATAATTGACAAATTGACAGGAGCGATCCTTTGTTCGAAGTTAATAGTAATTTTAAACCTCTTGATCGAATAATCAGTCGCAGCCCGCTCTTGCCGTAAAACCCAGCGGTGGAATAATTACCTAATAAAACTGTACCCTTTGCAAGGTAAACAGAAGTTATTGCTCTTAATTTTTCAGGGAAACCAAATGGAAAAGGGAAAACCTACTGCATATTGCTAAGCCGTGATATTATTTCTGTATGATACGGACATTCTTGTTAATTTCATATGAAGCTTATGGTATTTATATTCTCGCGTTTATTAGAGGCTCATGTTTGTTTCTTGTTTATAGGTTTCTAAAAATGCAGAAACCCAGCAGCGCAGCGCGCTCCGAGTTTATCGTAGGAGGGAAATACAAATTGTTACGGAAGATTGGCAGTGGCTCATTTGGTGATATCTACCAAGGAATTAACATTACAAATTGCGAGGTTCGTATGTGTAATATACCGGGTCGTATATCAATATTGAAACTTCTGTTCAAGTGTACCCTCCTGCCATAACTTTTATACACCTTACGTTTATTGGCTTTTTGAAAAATTCTCGTGTGTTAATTAAATTCTTAGAAAAACATCTCACAGCAAGAGATCAAGAACCCTTGATATTGGGCAAGAGGGCTATCTTTGTAAGGGAGCCTTATGTATCCTTCCTCCAGGAAATAATATTCTACAAATTTCAGCCATCTTCTATGCCATGAGAAAGTTGTAAGCTTAATTTTGGACCCCACATCTTTAAAAGGAAACCTCCACTGTCACAAAAGTTTATGACTTAACTTTTTATTCCCTTCCCTATAAATCAATTGAAGAGTTCTAAACTGCAAACTTTTTTCTGCTCAAGGCGGGAATAAAACATTTTGAATCCCCCAGATTATTGAAATGAATGTCCACCACTTTCACTTTTAAAATCTCACTTGCTGCCATTTTATACCTACTAACTTATTCTGAGTCAACTGCTTGAAATTTTCATCTTATCATGACTGGGATTTCTGTAAATGTCCCAGTGACTTCAGAAGCACTTTTAAATGTTGCTGAAATTATACAGCTATTTCGAGAAAGGTTGTCGTAAAAAATGTGCTCGCGACAACCCGAAAGGTAAATAGAGAATACTTCATGGAAAGTGCTGGTATACGGTATTTACGCACAAGTTGTGACGTATGAGAAAATATCGATAGAGTGAGCGCAGCGAACGAGTAAGATTTCTGATACAAAAACAACGAGTGCGTAAATATCGTATAACGCACTTTCCATGTGGTATTGTGTTTATTATGTACATACTGAGACATTCATCATTTTGGCAGCCTTTTTATTTTAAATCTTTCAAAAATGCTAAAATTTGCCGCTGCACACTTACCGCAAAATGACAACGAAAACGAAGTATCAGCTTTTTAGTAAAAAGCGTTTGTTAAAAACATAAATGACGGTAAGGATATGAGGTAATCCAAGAACTATAAGTAATCTTAACTGTTTGTTCTCAATGCACAGTTGAAAATGAGTGAATTTAAGTAAAATGGCCGGTTTCAATATAGGCTTAAGCTTAAATGAAAGGCAAAGTAGCTCCGACAAAAAGCACAACAAAAGCTTACGTCTCGTTCTGTTTATCCCTTTCCGCTGTTGTTTCACCGGCTCTCTACTGTTTTCTTTATTGACAGTGAAACAAACGAAACTATTTCACTCCATTTTCAAAATGTTTTTCACTCTTTTAGCGAGAAAAACTCTTTGAGTAAAACTTTTCTCGTTGAATGTGTGCGAAGCAGCGCTGCAAGCTGCAATAAAAGGCAGGAATTTTGGCGCGAAACTCACACAGTTCTGTGGCTTCTGATTGGACGTATCATTTTTCTCACATGTGAAAAAACATCGTTCGCGATTCTGATTGGGCGTATCATTTTTTTCACGTGTGAAAACCATCGTTCGCTCCTGTGATTGGCTAGAACTAATTTGTGTACGAAAATTTACGACATAGCTTTTTGGTGAGTATTTCTCAGTATGTATATAATAATATGGGATATGATCTATACACTGTTTTGAACGACTGTAGCTGTCGAACCTTCTTTTGTTGCTTTCCATTAGCACTCGCGAACATACGTCCATGGCCTCTCATGCTGTTCTTTCAAATTTCTTTGGAGAACAGTATTCAAAACCATCCACAATCCTATCGGGATTGTCGCTTGCACTTTTTCCTACAACCTTTCTCGCAACAACTGTATGTCTGAGATGTTCTGACGACCTTTTAGCACCTACGAAGCTATTAAAAAGGTAACAATTTTGGTGTGTTGTGATTCGCAGTTAAGGGACAAAGTTATCATTAAGCTCCTTTTTGCAAAATTTTGGAGAAACTGAATTGAATTTCCATTATTAATCATTTGTTAAAGAACTATTCGTCCAGATTTTGTGAGTAGGCATGAGAAGTTGTCCTTGATGCATGAGTTTGTTGTCTTTAGGCTGCAGGTGTTAGACTCAACACATCAACCAAATGATATGACAGTCACAAATCTGAAAATGCAAACACAACAATGAAAATAGGCCATTTCTTATCATTTTGTTAATTTCTTTTTCATAAAGCCTTCTTTTCATGTGTTCACTATCAAGATAAAAACAAGTACTTAAACCTGCCAACTCACGTGCATTAGTTATGCATGTCTCAGATGCCCGCAGATTGAGGACGTCAATCACATGCATGCAGGACTACTTCACATGCATAACCCATAATTCCAGACTACTTGTTCAGTGACTATTAACATGAGGAACTGAATTCAGTTTCCAAGCAAAAAAGTCCAGTGAACTGTACAAAATGTCTCGTTTAATCCTAAATCATTAGTTAAGGTCTCACGATACCTCATCTTGGTAATTTTGGCAAGATATGCGTGATCTTGGCAAGATGGCGCCAAAATTTGGTGCTTTGCACTGCTACATTTGGCAACCTTTGGAAATCCTTGGAACCTTTGGGAATCTTTGGTAATATTCAGAAGGTGTCAGAATGTCTGCAGAACAGCTGTTCAGAAGTTTTTGGATTTTGTCAGAAGTTTGGGTAAATATGAATAGAAAAGTGACACACATTTGACTTAGGAAAAGTACACATGACTGACTGTATCCTTCACTTACAGGAAGTGGCTGTGAAACTTGAGCATCACAAAGCAAGGCATCCTCAGTTGCTTTATGAATCTAAACTGTATAAAATAGTGCAAGGAGGAATTGGTATTCCCAAAATCAGGTATGATACGTACATGTACTAGACTTGCCATTGAGTAAACACCATGCATCAAAAGCAAAGAATGACACCATATCCCAGGGATAAAATACCACACCTTGATTAGTCTTTACAACTGGCTTATAACTTCTTGCACTGCAAATTATCATCATCATCATCATCATCATCCTATTTATTTATTTTTACTTATTTTGCCACCTTATTATGAGATAGTAATAAATTACAGGAATCCATTAGAAATATGGCAAGAAAGACCAAAGAAACCATGAGGCTTATACAACTAGGCTTTCCCTGTAAAATTACAAACGATAAACATGATATTAATTTAACTGATTGGCAAAGACAGAGTGACAATGAAACGAAGGAATAAGGGATCAAAAAAAGAGAGAGAAAGAAAAAGTAAATTTATAAATAAAGACAAAACACAAAGCTGACAAAGGGGGATGGAGGGAAATGAAGAAGTTAAGTAACCAGGTGTTCTTCAGTTTTTTCTTAATGGTTGATAACTAACTGAGCTTAGAATGTCTGGACTAAGTGAATTACAAAGCAATGAACCTGATTCCTTCATATAAAAGTTATTAAATACGTATATCTGGTAACAACCCAGTTTTATATTGAAACATTGTTTTACCTATCTCTGTTTGATACATATCATTTAGCAGTAAGATACAAAGATTCTTAAATATTGGGTCAGTATCTCATCTGTATTGTGTGAGCATCATAACAAGATTTGCTGATGATTCTCATAGCTCGTTTTTGCAGCAGTACAAGGAATTTCATCATCATGATTGTATTCATGTCTCACACTTCTAGTTTGTATTAAGGTGGCCTTGTCTAGTGTTATTATTATTATTATTATTATTATTATCATAATTTTTTTATTATTGATATCGGATGCTCCGCTTTTAGGCTTGGTTAAATGTTTAATATAATTATATTGATTTAGTTTATTCAAGGCTGGTGTTTATTTCAAAATCATATTTCTTCAGAAAGCCATTAGCATTCAGTAGGCATATAATTTGTCCAAATATTATTGACTTCACAAATTTAGTCTTCTAAGTGCCAAGAGTGATGAACACTAATTTTGTCTCAACAATATCAATATATCATCAAGAGAAAATGGTATGAGAATTGTAAAATGATCACCAAAGGAAAATGCTTTAATCTTTTATCAAATTCTATCTCATTAAATTTGGTAAGGAAATATATGTGGATATTTGTGCTTAAAGGGTTAATCACTTGTAACAGGGTGCAAAGAAAATCATTTTTACAGCTTGCCATTTGGTCCAGCTGAAGCTAGCATTTACTAGACCAGACGTCATTTCAACTAGCCCCAAATGCTTTTTGACAAGCAGAATTGATTTCACAGTTCTTCTGTCATTCGAGTTCCTCAAAAAACATCAGTTGCCCGTTGGGCAAGTTAAAAACAGAATTCACTAGCCCGATAGCAAAATCCACTAGCCCCGGGCTATCAGCCACTACTTTCTTTGCTCGCTGTGTAAGGTCCTTTATTAAATTATACCTGGTAAAACTCGGCATTCAACCGTTTATCTTTCAGCTATTGCAGTGTTATTGGCTGCAAAAACTGGAGTGTTAGATGCATAGTAATTACCAAAATAAATGATAAATTGTGTGCCACTCATGACTTAACAGTCCTTTTAAAATAATTTGCTTTTGTGCTTTGTTTCCTCAACAGATGGTTTGGCCAGGAAAAGGAATACAATGTGTTAGTGATGGACTTGCTGGGTCCCAGTTTAGAGGACCTTTTCAATTTCTGCCAAAGAAGTTTCACAATGAAAACTGTGCTGATGTTGGCTGATCAGGTGAGAATGGTAGATAAATATAATTGCTGATTATAGCAAGGGGCTATACATGTATGTCATGAAGATGATCAATATTGTTTTTAGTCATTTCTGTGGTAAATTTATTACCTATCTAGAAACAAAATTATCCTGTGGGGGGTGGTGGGGGGTGGTATGAAGAAGGTATCAAACATATTTCATCAGTGAGCACAAACTGTGTTTTTTTTGTGATTTTTAGAGGCACTGCAAGGCTGTGTTCTAAGAAAATTTGAAGTTGAAGGGAGCTTACTGGTAGTCCCCTAACCTGTGAAATCCAGGGTGCCCAGCATAAATATGATTTCTGAGTAAGAGTTTTCTTCGCCTTGGCGACTGGGTGCTAAGCCTTGCGTAGCATTAAAACTGCCAATTTTCTCAAGTTTTAGTCCATTTGCATCCTCACCATCCATAGCAACAGATGAAAACATTATAGCCAAAACTGTATTATTATTACTATTATTTTATAATTCTTTCAAAATATTTCCAACCTCAAAGCATGCTTACCTTAGTGCCAGGAAGTTCTTGTTTTCAAGTCATCTTTGGCAGTTTCAGGATATGATGGAATGTTTATTCTAGCAGGTTAAATAATAATCTTCAAATGACAGTAACTATTGTCATCCATCAAATGTTTTTGAGAGGCATGAGTTTGTTATTTTCTCTTTGCTTATTGGTAAATATCTTGCGCCATTTGTCTTTTATCTTTTTGTAGCCACCCCACAAAACATTGTAGTCATGGTATATCTTAATATGTTAACACTATTAGAGTCTATTAGTCTTCTTGTTATAACAAATGGCTTTAATGTCAGTGGCATATGTTTTCTTCAAATGCATGTAAGCTGATTGACACTGAATTTTTGTGATTTAGGGTACTTGTAGGAAAATGAGTGAATCAGGTTTCTTTAGGCCAGACAAAATAAGACAAACTGGAACTCAATTACGATGAGGTCTTTCAAGTACTAAGACCAGAATTCATTTCGTTTTTCTTTCATGTTCAAATTTGGTAATTCCAGTGAGGATTAAATAACAAAAGCCTCAAATTGCTCAAGAAAGCAAAAACCGGAAGAATTCTGGTAGTATAGTAGTAGTGGTAAGATGACGCCATTGTCCAAATGGCCTCTTTAATGTGATTTTGTCTGGTGGTTCACAGTATTTATGGATACCTCATGGTGTTTCTTGCTCATGAGGGTAGGGCAGGCTGCACCCAACATTTCTCCAGCTGGTCTTCAAGTTTCTTCTAACCAAAAAATGTTTTCTTTTTCCAGATGATTGGTCGCATTGAATATTTCCACAACAAAAATTTCATTCATCGAGACATAAAACCGGACAACTTTCTCATGGGCACTGGTAAAAATTGTAACAAGGTATGCCCTGTTAAAATAAAATAATGTTGATATACATCTGGGGCCAAGTTAAAAGCACTTTCACAAGTGCGCCCATTGTTTTTGTGTCTGAGAACAATAGTTGCATTTGTAAATTACACTTGTAATAGTCTTATTAAATTGACTCCTTTTTGTTTACAGATGTCACTGTTTTCAGACTGACCTTAGCTTACTTTTTACAAATGGATATCATGTGTGAAGTCAATGTCTACTCCCTATTATTACACAGTTACCAGAATTTCTATTCTCTCGATGCAAAAAATTAATTGGGATGAACACAAACAATAATTATGAGAGTGGAAAGAGTACAAATTTTGTACTCTTTCCACTCTCATAATTATTGTTTGTGTTCATCCCAATTAATTTTTTGCATCGAGAGAATAGAAATTCTGGTAACTGTGTAATAATGATGATCAGTTGAAGATGATGACAACGTTTTTAACTGAGACAAAAAATGGGCAAGCATAAGCAATGGTTTTTTTGTACGAGTGCAGTAGAAAGTAATTTAAAAGCCAACATTGATTTGTACTTGTTTATTTAAAACATCGGTTGAAAGTGTTGATTGAATATGAAACTCACCAAATTTTCATTGGTTAATTCTTAAAAATTTATCAGGTGTAAAGCTAGTCAAGCCATATTTTGGTTAAAACCAGCCAAGAAGAGGAAAACTGGCCAAGTGAATGGGTTTAAGTGAAGTGTTGTCAAAAAAGCAACTTTCTTAGTTCAGCCATCTGATGAAGGCATAGTAATCATTGTATAAAATCCCTTTACTGATTCTTTGGAGGAATCCACTCACTTTTTGTTGACCTTTGCTAGATTTTATTTTTTTCATTGTTTCTTTTCTTTGCTGTGTTTAGGTTTACATCATCGACTTTGGTCTAGCAAAGAAGTACCGTGACAGTAGAACAAAAGCACATATATCATACAGAGAAGATAAAAATCTCACAGGCACTGCAAGATATGCTAGCATAAATGCCCACCTTGGAATTGAGCAATCGTAAGTTTAAAATTTTAAAATAGAGAGGAGAAGTATGACATCACATTACCATAGTTACAAAATTTCTGGATCACAAGAACAGGGAGCTAAAGCAAGGACGATGGAGATGGCAACGAGAACGGCAAAAAAGCAGGAAGAAAAACAACAACTTTGCACGTGCATCACGCTTTTTTGTTCATTTCTGAGGCATCCTTGCGTGACTGTGACATGATGACACTTGCCTGATTTATGAAGTAGGCGAACACATGACAAAAATTTTCCTTTTCCAAACTTAGATATGGTTGTTTTGGATTCAACCCCAGAAAATTTCACCAATTTTTGACAAGAAATTGAATGAGATCAATGAAGTTTGAAACAGCTCAAATTCACTTTTTAATAGAAGTTTCAGTTTGCTGTCATCCAGGAATTTTGTTTCCATGGCAATGTGATGAAACTACTTCTCCACTCTATACAGTCGTATAGTAATATCATTGTTCAGTACTGTCACTAAAATTCAAGTTGTCTGACTTAAGCAATAAACTAGGATGCTCTTTGTGTTCTTTTCTCGTTTTGTTTTCTTTGAAAGTAGCTGAAGGTTGTGCTCATTGTACAGGTAGCCAAGGGAAACCACCGGTTCCTGGTCCCCAGCCCCCGCCCCCCTGCTCTGGCCCCCGGCCCCCGGCCTCCGACTCTCGACCCTGCCCCGCCCCTTTATTAGTGACAGCCATGTTTGTGTCAGGATAAGGAGAATAAAGCAGACTGAGGTTATGTTCACACCATGCTGGATAGCTTTTACACCGGCACGAAAACAATACCGGATATATAAGGCTTCCCTATCACACATAACAATGGTAATTTCGATGCTGCTCCTATCTCTAAAGTGGAGAGTCACATATTGGATAGGTGTTCATACTGTACTGAATAGCTTTTCATGTCGGCATGAAAAGATGTCCGGTATACTATAAGGAACATAGCCTGGGATGAAGACTAGCGCTGTTTTTTGTGGTCCTATCTGAGTTGTCCCTGCAATTTTGTGTGAAATGTTAATTCTTTTTACCAGGCGGCGAGATGATATGGAGTCACTAGGATATGTATTGATGTACTTTACAAATGGGCAACTTCCATGGCAGGGACTCAAGGTAAAAAGGGTATTTGTCAAGTGCATTTTATTGAAAAGTGTTACACTTAAAGAAAGTGTCTGTTACTGACAAACTAACAAAACCATAAACAAGTGAATTTTTTCCAAATAGTTATTGCCTCAGGCCTCTTGCAATATTTGGTCACGTGATCAACTTTTGTAAACATGGAAACAGTTCGCTTTGGAAAAATGATGCTAGCAGCAAACTGAAAGAGCACATTAAAATTAGGTGACCTGTAAATTTGCAGCTGTGTAATAATTACACAGCTGCAAATTTGCGTTTACAACGTCTGCCGAAAATTAGAAGGATTTCTATGGGAAAAACTGCTCTTGTCACCCAGTCAGGGTTGTGTGGATGCAGCTAGTATTGGTTATGGGATTTGTAATGCTAACCAAGCGGTGACGCAGCGTTGTCACTAAGATTTCAAGTTGCCAGGTAAATACAACAAGTAGGCGGGGAATCAAACGGCTAGGGATTTCTTTTGGTTCTATTTTTCTTCTATTTTCCAATAAAAGTAGCCTGTGGCCACTCTCTTAGTAGCCGGGGAAAATCCCCGGTCTCCGGCTCTTAATGACAACCCTGGGTGACGGCAACGAAAACAGCAAAAACAACAACAACAATAGGTCTAATTAGCAAAAAACAAAACAAAACAAAACAAAACAACTTTGCACCTGCAGCACACTTTGTTTGTACATTTCTTTGCCATTATTTTGCAAGACCACAACGTGAAACTTCCTAGTTACACATTTTATGGAGGAAATTTTGTGTGTGGTCCTGTTCACATTTTTTCGCCGCCGCTCTTTCTTACCTTAGTGGACGCTAGCATTTCTCATTTTCTCACAGCCGCTGTAAAGATTTCATCTTGCTCTTCAAACGAAATTGGTCTCCTTTGTTTTTTTTATCCCTGGCTCTAGCTTTTTCTCTGTTATCCACGCCAATGTAGACTTTAAAATTAAGTCAAAAGAAAGAATCGGCTTCGTTGTTGTTGTCTTTTATCTCTAAAAGTCCGGGTGGCTATGCGATTTTCTGCCGAAACGCGCGTGTACTTGAAGTGCAAACTTTCACCCCGGCTTACATGAAGAGGTGGACGTACGTACGGACGATTTTGTCAGAACCAAAATTTCTTGCATGCAAATTTTCTTAGCCATGGTGCTCCGCTGCGCGCGCTTCGCGCGCGAGAGCTTTGTTAATACGCATGAAAACAGACGCCCAATACAAAGTCGTCCAAATAAACGCTAACACAGCGTCTTGTCCTTCTTAAAATGGGTCATTTTGAAGTGTTTGTTTTTATCGTATTGGTGTTACTTTGTTAATGTGTCTACATTCTTTGCATGACAGAAAAGTTTGAGTAATAGTTTATGTATTTTAGGCTGCCACAAAGAAACAGAAGTATGAGAAAATAAGCGAGAAAAAGATGTCTACTCCAGTTGACGTTCTTTGTAAAGTAAGTAAAATTCTACATCTTTATATACTGCGCACAACCTCCCTCCGAACAACTCGCAAGTGCAGAGAGTAGTGGTAATAGGACTGTGGAAGTCCAATTCGGTCTTTAATCACACGAGTTTCGGATCGAACTGAACGATATGAAGGTAGATTAGCAACTACAGAATACAGGGCCATATTTGAAGGTCTTAAACAGAAGTGGCTCTGTGGCTCGCTAATCATGACAAGTGTTTATAGAACGAGAAAGATATAAGACATATAAGCATAAGACAGAGATAAAAAAGACATACAATAATAAAATTTAAAGAGCAAGTAATATTTTCGTCGCTTTTTGGCTCGATGGCTCGTCGATCAGTCGAGGTTGGCGTCTTAAACAACGAGAAAGGTATATAGTTTAATGGCTTGACGGTTTGGTGGCTCGTCAGTCGAGACTACCGAGCCGCCGAGCCGCCCCAACAAATATACCTGTAGAAAATTTGCCCTGTATTGTGTAGTTAAGCCGCAAAATTCCTTTTCTGATAGTTCGCAAGTTCAGAAAGTAGTGGTAACAGGACTGTGGGAGTTCCACGTTGTGTGACGCTGTCTAGGAACTACCCCAAAGGGAGGTTGGCAGGAAGCCCAAGTGGCCGGAAGCGGAAAAGCTGCCATTTTTTGCCATTCATATTTTTCATCCTTTTGTTGTTGAAAAAAAAATTGAAACGGCAACAAACTTCTGAAATGGCCGCTTAGTTGGATAGTTTGATGTTGCTTAGTAGACTTTTAGGTCGGCGTTGTATTGACCTCTGTCGCTCGTTTTGAGTCGGTTTCGAGTTTGGAAAACGAACTTGAAATTCGCCCCCCAAAACAGTCCCTTCGTACAATTCAACGCTGCATTAATTGAATGTCCCGCTAGTCTCCTTAGCAGCCGTTTTTCATGCTCCTCCCCAAGTTTCTTGGGGAGGAGTGTTGCGTGACAACACGAGATGAATGTCACGCGAGACCTCCAAATGGCTTATGGTTAAACTGTTTCCTTAGGGATGTCACGCGGAGTTTGCCATGTACTTAAACTACTGCAGAGGGCTGCGGTTCGAAGAAGCACCCGACTACATGTATCTCCGACAGCTGTACAGAATTCTCTTTAGAACGCTAAACCACCAATATGATTACACATTTGACTGGACGCCTCTGAAGCAGGCTGCCGCAGCTAGCAAGGCCCCTGTTCTGTCAATGAGTGCAGCGGCAACAAGAAATCCTGGAACAGCGCCACCGCAGACCAGCAGTCCTGCAAGACATAAACAAAGGACAGGCCGTTAGTATCTTGTTTATTTATTTATTTACAAACTTTGCCAAGAGGCCTAGATAACTCATAGAGCAAGCTCCACCACGATTTGCAGCAAGAGGGTACAGTAAGCAGTCGCTTATAAGGCCTGGGCTTATACGTGCTCTTAAGGGGTTTTAGGAGGGGTTATAAAGGGGGAGTGGGTGGGCTTATCCGAGGGGACTTACACCCGGAATAGAAAAGGCGCTACGAGACAACCAATAGCAGCACTGCTCAAAATACGTGGTGTTACCATTCAAATGAAACCTTTTCAGCAGTTCTTTCACATGATACTGTTTATTTAGTATGTATCTCTAACTTTTGAATCTGTGGATGAAATCCTATGGTGTGACCATTCAAATAGCTGTCTTCTCACATGGTAGTATTAGTTGAATATGTATTTCTAGCTTTTGAGTCCGTGAACGAAATCGTATGGTGTACCATTCAAATGAAACCTCTTCAGCATTACATTTTCACGTGATACTATTTTTGTTTATTAGTATTTTACAAAATGAAATTTCGAATTTTTGTCTATTTTTTACTTTGGCCAATGCGGCGAGTAGAAGGGTTAAAGAGACTGTTTGTTGCAGTTTAGTTCATTTTGTGTGGTTTTTCCCGTTATCCATCAACGATGTTTAACGTCAGCGAAGATTACTTCTTAATGACAAAGTCACAGCTTTATGACAGGCAAATATGTCTTTCAAGACGTCTTGATGATTTAAAGTTACAAATAATAGACATAAACTTTGAAATAATGAATTGTGAATAACATTTTTTGGATTTGCAGTTCTGTTTATCGATAATTTTCCATACCTAGATCAATTTATAAATCCAGTTCAGTGGTAGAATTTATGACAGTATCTTGGAAGGTCTTAAAAGCACGACGGGGTTACGTATCCTGAGGAAACAGCCGACAATTGGCGACGCTAACGCTGGTTCCCCCGCGAAAGGATGTGTGAGGAACGAGCGTAGAATTTCCATACTGATGACATGTCACTGCCCAGATCTGGATAATGCTGCTAATTGGTTGAAGCAAATCTACCTAGCCGGACGACCAATCAGAAGTCCCACTCAGATCTGGATAAAATTTTTTCGTCAGACGTCAGTTCGCGGGGAATCCAGTCGCGGCGTCGAGAAGTGTCGATTGTTTTCTCAGGCTAGCCGGGATACACTATTACGGGTGATTTTGTAGTGATTTGTAGTGATTTGTCTGAATTTGAAGACTAACAATTTTCTTCTTGTTTTTAGATCGGCGGTAGAAACGCAGTTGCGGGGTTAAACATCTCGGTTGAATTTCGCCGAAACTATAACACAAGGCAGGAGGACTGTAACTCCAGTAAACAAGTCAGAGCTGAGTAACGAGTGAATTATGTACAATTTGTGGTTGAGACAACAAAACCTTTCCGTTGTTGTACCAAGAGAGAATAATCAAGAGACGGAAATGCCCAGTCCAGTTCTTGGGATATGTGAATTTCACCAAAGTTATTTTTAGACCAATTAAACACTTGAAATTAAACGAAAAGTGGTTTCCGAAGAGGTCCGCAGACGTTTATTCAGTGTTGTAAAGAGAGAATGACGTTTCTTCTGTCTTGGTGTTGAAATCGCAATAAAAACAATAGCGTCGCGCGTGGAGGTGGGCTTGATGACGTTTCGAATAAGCGATTGAAATGTGCCAACGCCCCAGGAATTAGACTTCCCTTTAATTGCAATCTCTAAAAATAACTGTAGTGAAATTTACATATCCCGGTCAACGTCCTAAGATTCCATCTCTGTTCCATTATTTTCTTTTGGTTGTACACATTCTTCTTATAGCCTTCGCTATGTAACTCAAGTGTTTCTAAAAACGCACCGCATCCATTTTCGATGGGATGGGGGGTAATTTTTTTTGTAGATTTTGTGCAAGACCAGAAAGCTGGGGTGATCGAGTTCTGGTTTTGGTTATCGGAGACTTATGACTAGCAACAAATTAGTATGCGAAACTCTTTGTCTTTTTTGTAGAGGTCTGTGAAATAACGTATATTTAGAGTATTATAAGACATTTTGTTTTGTGCATTTTCGTTTGTTTTAGAAGAGATTAGTTAAAAAATTTGACATTGATTCGTACTTTAATACCTGCTTTCGTATCACGCCGATTTCGTGAGTGTTCCAATAAAATGGATTTTTCACGAAAGCTTCGCTTATATAACTATTGAACTAGCGCAATGGTGGACAAAGAAGGCAGAAATAGAGCCGCCAGCTAATTCAAAGCATCTTAAGTATAAAAAACCTGAGAAAACAGCCGATATTTCGCGATTGGTTTCCCCGCGAAATGACGTCTGGGAAACGATATCAAAACTTCTATGCTGATGACGTGTCGCTAGCCAGATCAGGGTAGTGCTTCTGATTGGTTGAAGCAAATTTTCCTCGCGGAATGAACAATCAGAAGCACTAAGTGACACGTCATCAGTATAGAATTTCTTCGCCCGTTTCTCAGACGTCATTTCGCGGGGGAGCCAGTGGTGACGTCGCAAAATGTCGGCTGTTTTTTCAGGCAAACGTATAAGAGAGTATGTGTATCACTAGATGTGTCATTTCACGATTTTCACTTCGATTAATGCACCCAAACTCAGGTGTCTCCAGGTGTCTCAAACTGTCTCTTCCCCAGGCCCTTTCAGGAAGTTAACCCTTTAAAAGCCCCGGGCGAACGGACGCAACGTTGTTGGCCAACAGCTCCCAACATTGTTGGATGTTAGAAAATTGATGTTGGTCACTCTTGGGAATTAAGCTACGCGCAAACGGACGCAACAGCTCCCAACTTTGTTAGCCCGATAATGTTCGGACTTGTTGCGTCCGTTTGCAAGTAGTTGAAAGCTTGACCGGTTTCAAACTTTGCGTGACAACTCCCAACAACATGCAACAGGGTGGGCAAACGGACGCAACATGTACTAACAACATCAACATATAATGAAGAGAAAAGGTGATGAGAATCATAAACAATGATCACCTAAGGGAAAATGCTTTGATCTTTTTTTCAAATTCTCTCAACAAATTCTTTAAGGAAGTGTATGTAGATCTCCTTGGAGAATTTGTACCTGGATAATGGGTCCTTAAGGGTTAACCGATGAGGTGCTTATGAACTCAAGGTCCTAGTAATTAATAATAGGGAGCTTAAGCAGCGACGTTTTTGAGCGACGCACGTCAACCGGAAGTGAGGTATTTTCCCTCTTAACATGCCTTGATGATATAAAATTTGTATTCCTTAGCTTCTTTACTTTTATAGAGGCGATTTGACTGAAAATTTGCGCGAAACCACCGTCAAAAAATGAAAAAAGGCCACTTCCGGTTGACGTGCGTCGCTCAAAAACGTTGTTGCTTAAGCTCCCTAATTATTGAATTAGGCTGAGTATGATGTGAAGAATTATACAGATCTAGGAGTGGATGACAGCCTCCGGGATCAGCATTCATTCTTCACATCAAACGAAAGCTGAATTCAATAATTATTTTATTATTCATTCAAAATATTTTAACAACTTTTTAACAAGCTTACCTCCTTGTAAACATTTGGCTATTTCCCGGCACGGTTTCAGGATATAAACAGTTGTTTTTTCTTGCAGACACTGCTCAAAATAGCTAACATCCGTCGAGCAATATGTTTCGCGTGTTCTTTCATTTCTTCCCCATTTTAGTCAGAAATTCACTATTGCCCAAGCAGCCTCGTTTTCAGGTAAATATACCATCGATCAACCTCGTTTCCAAACAAATATACCATCGAATCGATGCTATATTGCTCGCATCTTCAAAATATGGTAAGCGCCAGTCGGTAACGAAGAATTAGCTGGGGGATTGGAACCAATCAGAAACGGCGAAATATTTTGAATGAATAATAATCTGGGCTATTGGCTCGAGGGCTTCTTTTGACTGCATAAAGCATATCATATTTTCTTGTTGTATTTATTGTAAAGTTAGTACAGACCGTGGTAAAGCTGTTAAGTATCGTGTACGGTTATTCGTCACTTTATCGTTATGAAGAGTTTGTAAAACCTAAGTTCAAAATTTGCCTTAAAAAAGACTCCGAGATGAAACTACTTTGCAAAGGGTGTCTTAAAATAAATTCCAGTCTTATTTTTTTGATCCAAGATACAAATTCAATAGTTTTGTACTTCTAACATAATTTCGACCTGTTGACTTGTTCTGTTATAATCGCAAGCCCCTATTTATTTTTTTGTTACTGAACTGAATCGATTATTTGGCCAGAAATTTCAGTCTTGTGCACAGTGGCTCCTTGTACTAATGTGTTGTAAACGCACAGGCCATTTCCGTGTGGTTATCATTAGATCCCATCGACCGTAGCCCCTTTGGACACCTCATGAAATTTACACAACGTAGTTTCCCTCCTCACTAATTAGGGTTAAGCACTGCCTTTACTATCTTTCGTGTCAACCTTTTTTTTCTTTCAAATTGAAGAGACTTACACTTTCGTGAACATTTCCAGCTTGAAATATCATCTGAGTGTGATATAAAAGCAGAAAACAGTTCTACCTTGTGTATATTTCATGAGGGGAGAAAGGGGCTACGGTCGATGGGATCTAATGCTGACCTTTCCGTGTCGCCCCAAGCCTCTGTTTCAAAGCGAGGCTAAGTGCGAAGTCTCTTGCAAATAAAACTCATTTTCACAAGAAAGGTTTTGAACTTAGCCTCCTTTTGAAGGTGAGAAATTTGGATTTCGGGAAAGGCCTATTGGATCGTTTCCTTGCCAGCATCCACCGCGAACCATATGACTTTCACCAACCCGTTTTCTAAATTAAAACAACAAGAAAGTGGGGACTGGTAACGAATCTGTGGGCATTCCAGGAGCCGGTCCAACAGCGTTTCCTTACTTTTCAACGAAAAACATTCTAGTTATTAAAAAAAAACCGCCATAATAGACTGCAAGAAGCTTCGAGTGAGCTTTCTTCGGTAATAGACTCGTTCACGGTGTTTTTTTTTTTTTGTTAAGTTTGGTAAAGTCAAATTGCCGAAAATCCGTCGAAGCAACTGGAAATAACGTCTTAAAATCAGTAAGGTTGCCAAGTTTGAGAGTAATTTGGTAAAAACTAGCGAAGATGAAAGCTCGCAAAGGCGCACATTTTCACAGACGGTCTGGTGAAGAAGTACCGGAATTATCTCACCAGTTCGCCTGGAATGGAAAACGAGGATTTTCCCGATTTCCAGTTTTTTTTTTTCGAAACTTTTCACCGGAATGAGCTTTACCAGTTGAATTTTCAATTAGCTGATCCCAGTTTTCAGGACAAATTGTAAACCTTGTGTCTTTTTTCCCCGAACATACTGTAACAGTTTTACGTAGTCTTTCTAGTTTCGGACGGTTATGGCACTGTTATTGTGGCATCTGTCCGAATTCTACAGCCGATATACCATGGATCACGCCATTGTAGTGAGTTATAGAAAGATAGCCATGATTTCACCGCCATTATTGCTTATATTTTGCAACTTGTTAGGGAAAATGTTAACGTTATTTTATAATATATTCTGACTGAAGTAAACAGACATTGTAAATATGACATGTCATACAAAATTAAACTAAACTTAAAAGTAAATAAATGTTACCAGTTCGGTTTTTAACGAGTTGTGTTTATTGTCGGGCGAGAAGCGCAATCTCGTTCCCACAGTCCTTTCTCCTCCTCTCTCATTCTCGTCCCCAGGATCCGACGGCTTTATTTGCAAGTGACTCAAAAAACGACGAGGTCCGGGGACGAGCCACGTTCCTTCGAACGAACCCGACCCCAACCTTTCTAGTGTATGCAATGCAAACCATTGGACAGTGAAATACTGACATGATACTGAAATCACTTTTCTCGCCTAACAGCCGTCAAAGTTCAAAATTTACACTAAATTTTAAAAATGGTCCCATGCATGTGAAAGTTTGAATGTTTCTTGGCGTTGCGCGAACCATGGTTGGTCCACTTTTGTGTTGTGGTATGTGAATTGTTCAGAGTCTTTTTAATCTCTTGTATGACAGCACCTGGCCACCACATCAAGAAACACCCAAACTTGGTACGAAAATTTGTACTGGCCCTGAGTTGACTCGAAATACCCATTGTATGTGTGTGACAAAGTTTCACGCAGCAAATACAAAAGTTTCGAAAGACAGACAACCCTCTCACTTTTTTACTGAACAACCGGGGTTTAGTGTTTAGTGGTATTTACCCATAATTTTTAGTGGTTGCTGTTCAATTGGCCATTCTGTTAAAGACTGCTGTTTCCGCGGAAAATCCTGTTTGTGTTTGGAGGGCTTTTAGTCGGAAAAAAATCGTATCTGTTCACTGTAAAAAATCTATCTTTCACATGTAGATACTCCAAAATTTTCGGATTTCTCATCAGAAATCTTCGGTAGTCCGGAAATTTTCGGAAATTTTCCATAGTCTTCGGAAATCTCTTGAAATACTCGGAGATTGTCGGAAATGGCCGAAAACGCCTAGATATACTAAACAAAATAATATTGACGTTTTTGTTTCTTTCTGGTACTGTTACGGTGAGTTTTTTTTACTGTTAATGTTAAAAGCCCCCCAACATTAAGTGTTTAGCGTTATCGCGGGAAAGGGAGAGCAATAGATTTTTTAACAAGAAACGTTTGCTGAAAAGTTGAACAAGATTGGCTTACGGGTAAAGTTAGCGGTTCCCCTGAAACTTTGGTCCGAGGGAGGTTACTCGACCAATATTTGGGTATAGGTGAGCAATCCGGACCCTGTTTAGGACAAAACAATTCCTAAAATACATACCCTGTTTAGGACAAATGCACGCCATCTTGCTTTCAAGAACCATACCCTGTTCAGTGGCACATCCCCGCATAGGCCATATAGGGGAGTCCCCCCCCCGTGGGGGGCTTTGGTCGTACACGAACTGCAGAGCGATCGAGGCATCCAGAGATGAAAGTTTTTTTTAATAAATCTGTCTACAAACAAAAAAGCGCCACACCAAAAAGGGCTGCATCAAGTCTTTCTTAGAGTGTAAACATGGGCTTTTCGAAAATGCTTTGGAACCATAACTACAAATGGATTTCTTGTTAACAGGGTGCTAAAAATGTAATGTAATTTTGCTATTGTTATCACCCTAAAGCGAAAACAATTTTGCTAAATAACTTCAATCTGCTGTTTTATTACCGAGGCAATTAACTTGAAGTTTACTTTTGTTATTTGCAAATCCTTTTTGTGGTCTGACAGAGATTAACACACAACCTTTCTCGTAACTCATTTCACTAATAGACTGGGAGAAATTAACCAAGTTTCATGTGACTCCCAACTCAGTTAACAGATAATTAACTCCCAGAAATCAGTCGACGCAAAATATATTTCATTCCATGAGATGAAAATGCGACTCGAAAGTCGTACATATGTATAGCTAATTGTATCTGCATTGCTGTCATTGTTTCACCTTAGTCAATTTACACTGAAATGTTAGTTTCTTTCGTGACTTCCTTGAAGCAAACTTCTACAGCATAATGCGCTATCTTGCTCTCTAAATTTTATCACAGCAATAACAGGCTGTATCTCTTTTTACAACCGAGTCACAACTTTACTTGTCTACTAACCATTTACTCCATTAAAAAAAATTGCTTTATGTTCCAAATGGAGCAATATTTTCATCGGTTTTTCACTATTCTTCTTAAGTTTGAAGTTAGAAAATAATTTCGAATGAAAGGATTAACAGCTGTTCGGGAGATTTCACATTTCTTTACAGGCATAGCGATTTTATTTCATTGCGAAAACAAGCTATATCTTTAGACAACGAAATGCAGGAACATATTTCCGCGACTGCTGGAGTTACACAAATGCGCGGCGATATAAGTCATTGCAACTTGATCAAACTCCCGTGTTCACACCTGTAGTTTTGCTGACTTCGAAGTTTTTGGTGAAGTTTTCTTCACTGAATGCACAGTTTTGGGTCGCTGGGCTTCACGTTCAGCCGAGGCAGGGCTTGTAGGCCTTGTCCTCAATGGCATACTTTCCATTGATTTTGTTTTTCGCATAGGATATACATTCGGTACATCTAATCTGGAGCTTCTCAGTGGTGTTTGGCTTTGATGTCTTAAAGCACTTTGAATGTTTTCTATCGGCGATTTAGTCTCGTCATAATGCCCTGTATAGCCTCGTCGAACCTTTTTCAACTCATCTAAAATCTCGTTTCTTTGTTGTGTTATCTCAAATCTTTCCCTTTTCTCTTTTTTTGTCAGTCCCGTGAATTCTTTGTAATGTCTCCAGTCTTCTACCTTCGCATTCCCTTTCAATGCTCTCTTATCGAGCTCTGCAGCGAGTAGAGTATGTTGACGGTCTATTTCTTTTCTCGTTTTCTTGTCAATAGATGGGATGTTCTGCCGTGTTAGATCACGCGACATGTCTCCAAACCGTGGTAGCGATGAACGTCTCCAAAACCTCGCTCTTTTCTGATAGCCTAGATGAAATCGAATGAGGACTACAAGACTGCCTTCGTAGGAATAATCTTCTTCCCTAGTCTGTTCTAATTTGATTTGCAATCCCTTTCGTGCAAAAGCATTTGTCAGTTTTACGGCAATTATGCTGCGAGTTAGTTGTCAAAGAACTGAATAATTACATTTAATACGTAAGCACTTTGTTTGAGGAAGTATTTGACGCGTCAGCTTTGTACAGTACCTTTGTTAGAATTTCAATGGCTTCTATGGAAACGGCAATTCGAGTTACAAAATAGCGCAATCTGTTTTCGCATTGTGACGTTTTCTTCGATTAACTAAACGTTTGATCATTTCTTGCGATTCATGACATTTTAATGCTACACATTTCGGTATAAAAATGTTAGTTTGGCTTTATAGTTCTTCCACGTATATATGTATGGCAAGTTTATTGACCAAATACAGTCATCGACTAGATTTTCTTAGGCGTTGATAAGAAACTTACAAAAAATACCCACATTCATTGATACACGCCGCCCTCACGTTAGGATGCAAAGAGAGTCGTGCCGGATATCCCGGGACCAGTGGATTTCGCGATCGGGCTAGGGAGCCTAGTTCTTTTCTTAACAAGAGAAGATTTTTTGGGGAAGTACCGTAAGACAAATTGTTTAAATTCTTACATAAATGTAATATATTCATAAAGGAAATCAATTAGTAAATAATAATTATAATTATTTAGTTCGTAATTCCGCTTGTTAAATTTTTTTCTCAGGCTAGTAAAAATGATTTTCGGGCTAGTACTTATTAGCAACAAGCTTCGGTTAAAACCGACTTTCTTCTCTTTCTTTGCAAACTGCCTCACGAACTCTTACTAACTATGGTCGCACGCATACAAAGGTTGTTCCAGGACCAGTCAAGTCTTAGTTTGGAAATCGCACTCCTCAGTTCATTTGTCAAAAAACTAAAAATTGGGCACCTAACTTAAACACTTCAAAACCTAACTCGCACACACATTTCATCAACTCTTAACCAACAGAAATATTCTTGGAGAAAAGTCTCCATCCTTCGGCGCGCTGCTTCATCGAAAAGTTCTGTATGGCATTTCAACTATCGAATGTTTACTACCCTGTGCTATAGAAAATTTCATCTCAAGCCCTGTTCCTCTTTATCTTTCAACGTTTTCACTTTCATAAAAAAAATAAGTCGAAAGCAGATATTTCGAGTACAAACACTCTTCGCGCGAGTGTAATACACAATACTTTACGATAGAATTTTTTTGGATGTCATGGATACCGTGAGCTGTTTAACCTTGAAAACCTTCAAACAGTTTGAAAATCTCTCTAAGCTGAGCTATTTGAGCGTCCTTGAGTGGCAGAAGTGGAGATCTAGTCGGTCCACCATAATAACCAAAAAATTCCATAGATTTCTTCAATCCAGGAACGCCAAATGTTTTGGTCACCTAGAACGAAAAAAACAAAACAGGAGAACTGTAACAGAAACAATCTCCACAAACACCGGCTACCGAAGAGAGTCTTACAGCTCCTTACAGGCTAACGAATCGAGGGCTAACCCTTCGTAATAATACGGTGATGCAAGCCACTAATCTATTGGACATCGATAGCTTTATTATGACTAAAAAAGGAAGGTTTAAGGTTCGCACTTTCTCAATCCCCGCGGACCCGATTATCTCGAAGCCTGGAACTGGATATATTATGTCGTGACCACCAGTCAAGCCACTATCAAGGGTGATTGGTACTCTCGCATGAAAAGATCGGTTGAGAAACTTAGAAGAAGGCCACTTTTAGGCTCCATACACACTATCCGGATATTTTTAAAAAAGGATATTTTTTTTTTCGCCGTTTTAGCCTTCCGTCTAGTCTGCTACACAGCCGTTTTTAGAGTCGTCACGCAAGCAGTTGTTATGTTATCATTTTTTGCTTGTTTTACAGCCTTGTTACAATTATCATTGAATTTGTGCCAGTTCATTGCGTGACGACACTAAAAACGGCCGTGTAGCAGACTACCTTCCGTCCACATGTAACCGGCGTTTTCGGGCACCAAAAACGCAGGTTCTCGAGAATGGTCCCGGGAGTGGAGTTTTTTGAAAACGCCGGCCTATAAACGAAGGTGTCATACATCATACGGCGCATGCCCTGCAAGGGGTGCTATTTTAAATCATATTTCCATCGTTAAAGCATTTTTGCAGCGGACGGGCGAAAACGAGTCGAATACCCTACGTGTAGACACGTATTTTTTGGAAAACGGATAAAATGAATCTCTGTTATCCGTTTTCAAAAGTATCCGGATACGTGTGGACGAGGCCTTAATAACTCGACATTGTTCGAGCGATTAGATAAAACGTCTTCATGTAATCTGACGGGAGGCGCTATTAGGGTTCTCAGCAACGTTAACACACTCGAAAGGATCTAAAGGAGACGTTTACAAAGGAGGCGGTAGGTATTGCATGAAGGACGCTTATTCGAACCATTGCGGTACCCAACGTGATTAGGTAAAGCAACGGCGCTCTAGAGTCCGGCGTAGGGTCAGTGACAAAGCCGATGCAGGTTAAACTAGCGGTTTATGTAACCTGAACTGCCTCGCCTAAGAGTGTCGCTGGATAGAATACAGGTCTGCTTATGGAGAGGGCTTATCATTGGAAGGATGTCTCACAGACCAACGTATGACTCCACAACGTGTCCTCTCTTTAAAGGCGCTTTCCAAAAATTAGCCCGCGTAGCAAGCGTTTCCGCGCGGTTTCGGGGCAAAGAACGAGGAACGAGAGTCGAAGACCGCGCGAAAAATGGCGAAAATGGCTCTCGTTTCATTTCTCGCCCGGCCAAAACCGAAATTCCAGTTTCTTGGCCTTTCTTTGCTCCGAAACCAAACGAAAACGCTTGCTACGCAGGCTGTCCAAAAGTCAGAAGTGGCTGACCGGATTATGGCCAGACCATTCAGTTTGACAATGAAATAGGCTTTTTCCAACAGTTTTTGGTTAAAAAAACCCATCTCCTCCTTGCACACTATTTAGGATTTGACTGATCTGGCTGGGAATGGAAAAATGGAAAGTGACCTAAGGATGGTATTCAAGCGCTTACCGCTGTGTTTGGCTGGATTAACTTGTGCTGCAGAAGCTTAGCGTCTTCCATTTTGCCCTGTTTGTACAATTCATGAAGTTGGCAAACTTGTCTTCCCAAAACATTTGCCAAGGCGCATACTCCACCGACAGCACCTAAACACAGTTAAAGCAGTTACAAAAAAAATGCAATGCCTCTCGTAAACAACATATACATACCCCTGCCCAAAGACTTAGTCCTCATGTCATGTAAGAACACTAGAAATTTCCATCCAAAGAAGCATCAACCCGAGGCCTGCGATACTAACTACCCTATGGGAACATTTTCCATCTCCACTGTCAATCTATGGAATACTCTCCCTCCCACCACATTGGGCCAGCAAAACATTGCTAAATTCAAAGATGAGCTTGACCGTTTTTATTTTTTTTAATCGCTTTAGCTTAACTTCTCTTTTGAATAATCAATTTTTATGTATGTAAAGTAATTTTTATTTTTTATTTTATTATTATTTTTTGTACGTAATTACTATTTTATATCCGCGTGATGGTTACCACCTTTGCGAATTAATAAAGTAAAAGTAAGTGAAAGTAAAAAGTATATCTATATTTATTATATAGACACGAGTGTTTTACTGGAAAATATACCACTCGTAAAATTCATAAAAACTACATCCGGGACCCGAGTGGTTTATTTTTCATAATCTCACACGTGAGTTTATCGATGACGTAATTTCGGTCATTTCCCTCTATCATTTTATCGATGTCTTTTTATTTTCCGTTATTCGATAATAAAAAGAACATTGAATGAGAGCATGTCGGCGACTTGTTTCCTACCTTGTATATTATTATTGATATAGAGTGAATTTGAACAAATTACTGCAAATTTCATTTCCTTCGTTGGCAAAAACAATAACAATTTTACTTCATTGTTTTTTTTAGTTCGTAAAATATTGGATAGCCACTCGAACACTGTAATTTTAAAACCGTTCATATACTTCGCGCCTGGTTTACCTGTGGTATATCTATATATAATTGGCCTAAAAGCCCACGTTCGATATGTTAAAATTCTAACACGACTCCGAGGCTTTAGGGTAAAAATTGCAAATTTTTCAAGACTTCCTTGTCTCGCAATTCCCAAAAGAGACTTGAGCAGAAGAAAACCAAACCAAATAATTATAGAAAAATGACCAGAAAGTCTCGGAGTCATGTTAGAATTTTAATATATCGAACGCTGGCAATTGAGAAGCGGTGAGAATAGGGCGCCTTATAGCTCTGCACGTGCATCACACTTTATGGTGCTTTTTTTCGTTCGCCGCACACATGACGAGGCAAAATTTCAAAACGAAACGAGTTATGTAGAGCGGAAGCACACGACGTCAACATTTTCTCTCCTATCCTGACTTTAGTCATCGTCTCTGAGAATTCAATTCCAGGAAATTATTACGGCAAATATTTTAGAAATTAAACCAGTTGGAATAACAGCGATGAAGTTAAAAGAGGGCGAATTTAGCGACCATTTCACAGCCGTCGGTGTTGTCGTTGCTTAAGCTCCACTGTCAAGCTTATTAGTACAAAGAAGAATGTACCGCATTCAAAAGTCACATCTGTGTCCTGACGCAGTTTAGGTAAGTCCCGGGTTTTATTTATTGTGAATGTGTTGTTGAAACTTACCTAAACAATAAGAGGGGAAAAGAAAGCTAGCGGAGCCAGCTAGAACTTGAAAATTCCTTGATGCAGTCTTGTGTATTATATAACCTATCTTGGTGATCTGAAAAGACAAAAATGAATTAAAAAAACATTTTTTTCCCAGAGAAATTGCTTCGAGGGAAGTTACCAAAGCCTTAGGTTCAGCGTGCGGTGTAATCTTTCGTTTAATTTATCGTCGCACACACTTTACTAAGCTGCCCGTGAGCCATCAAAGCAAGTGACTTTGGTCAGTCATTCCTCTTGAAAATTTGTTACTTGATTTTCAGACGCAATTTTGTGATAACTTTGGTTTTTCATTGCCATACTTAACTTTGTGACTGATTGAAAATTTTGCGTCCTGTTCTTAACAAACGAAAAGTCGAGCTATCAGTTCAAGTCACAGCGCTCGCATTTTTATAACACGAATTGAAAGGAATAGGTCAATCAGTAAAGGAGAAGGGGGGGTGGGTAGGCTTTGGTAGATTGTGCTCGAAAAAAAAGCATATTATGCTTTTAGCAGTGCTCATATTTTTTAGAAATTAAGCCAAAATTATGCTACTTTCTGAAAATTATGCTCTCTGTCACCGAAATTATGCTACTTAGATTTTACACTGATTTTAAGGAAAATAAAGATCATCAGTAGCTTAACTCTATCAATTTTGACTTTAATGAACATTCATATAGTCCACCTTCCAGTATTGCAGCCTTTAGCGTGGCAAATACGCATGTGCGCACATGATCTCGCTTTTTTGTCACTTTTAACTTCTCTTTGCCTGCGGCTTGTTTTTTGGAAGCCAAGTGTTTTTTTTAAAATGCTCTTTTAAGAGCTCAATATCTCCTTACACCCATTGCAAAACAGTTTTCCACCTCAAAGACACAAATTTTCCCCTGGGAGTTCTTCCATTCGATCACGAGGACTCATGTTCTTTGGATCTGAGTTACCTCTTTCCTTGTACTTTCCGGTATTACTTTTAGGAACACGTTCTCTAGGGATTAAAGCTCTCGGTACGGCACTGGAAGTGGTGGAAGTGGATGTACTCGAGGACGACGCCATCTGAGGGGCCGAGCCGCCGAGCCATAAGCAGCTATAAGCGTGCTGGCCTGAGTCTCAGTCTTATGCACAGGGTGACCTCTACCGCCTGCCGGACCATATTTGACCATGGGCCTTCGCTTAGCACAGACCTCAATATTTTCCAAAAACAATACAGAAATAAAATACAAACTGAATTATTCTAGAGCTATGATGGGTTTTTTTGTTTTCAACGCATAAAAGCTCGGATTATGCCAGCAGTGCTAAACTGAAATAAAAGCTTAAAATAATGCTCGTTTTGCTGCATTATGCTTAAAATTATGCTAGCACAATCTACCAAAGCCTGGGGGGGGGCAAGGGTATCTGACTGAATTATGCTTAAAATTATGTTAACACAATCTACCAAAGCCGAGGGGGGCGGCAAGGGTATCTGAGTGAGACTCCAAAACATTTTCCTTTTGGCATATCATAGCTTGGGGAAGGTGAATAGCCTGTTCCAGGCTCTCAGACAGTAGGGATGACGCGTAAGTGAAAAGCACGCGAAAACATAAGCACGTGATCTGGGAAAAGGGGGCCAGTGGCGAGAAAAAGGAAGAAAACGAAGGGCCGTTCCTCTCCCCAGTTTCCTCCCGTTAAAATTTTTGTGTCCGCATTTTCTCAATTTGGCGGACCCGACTATCTATGGCGGGCCCGAGCCACCCGACCATCTCGGAACTTGGAACAGGCTAGAAGTTGAGGGGAATAAGGGATGAACCACACAGTAAGGTAATGATTCCTTAGGAGGGTTTCCCCAACTGTCCCAAGTTCTTTCGTGCCTTCATCACTTTGCACACCTTACACCCTCAGCCCAGCTATAACACTCAAATCAGTTCATACATTTAAAGGGGCCGATCGACCGTAACTGGTGTTCTCAAAAATAATAGAAAAATAATAAAGTAAATTATATATAAATGAGCAAAGAAATAGGAAAAACATAACTGTTCCACAGAGCAAATTTTATATCCAATTTTAGAAAAAAAGGCAAGAAATCTAGAGTTTCTGGGCTTGCATATACCTAATACACCTTCACATTTCAAAATAGGATGGGTTTGATTTTCAGAGCAGATAAAACAAAATGCAACAACAGTTAAATGTAATTTATGATTTGCATACATCACCACCACTATCTTTGAGTCCAATAATATTAGGATGTGCAGACAGTTTAATTATGCATTCTGCAGGCAAATCAATTCCAGTATTTGCTGGAACACTGTACAAGATTACAGGAATTGGAGAATTATCAGCAACCTGTCAAACAGTATGAAATAAAAAACCATTTATTTATGCAACTGCAGCATCAGACAAAGTTTATTATACAATATACTAAAGGTGAATAAGAAACAATTTACTTCAGCTAGTTTGAATGACAGATTCACAGGTTGGATGTAGATAATTCTGCTACACAAGTAACAAACTAAAGGAACAAAAAATCCTCTGAAAAACATAAAACAACCACACGATACAACCAATGAAAATCTCTCTTTCCCAAGTACCTAGCCTGCATAGCGGGCAGAATTCTTTGTCGGCATATGTCACAAAGTGTCTCTTCCCAACTTTTGCAACTCTCCTCCCACCAGCTATGCAGGCTACTCAGTACCGGCACCCATCCTTAGTCTGCATTCATTTTTCCTTTTGGCCATTCTTATTGAGAACATTGAATAGGCCACAAAAACTCATGATTTATAGGCAACATTCAAGAACCCTGAAGAGTCATTGATTGACTCACTTAAAACAGAGTATCATTCTGTAATTTTCATTTGCATATGCATGTAAATTTTACTGGCATTAATAAAATTGGGACAATGTGTCACATGTAAATTACGTAAAAGTTGAACCTCGCCCAAATTATACATTTACATGCTTTATTTTTTTAAACTTTGTGTGCATATGCACATAAAATCAATACAACAGTGGGAATCCACCTTTAGTGGTGAGGGGCAGGTAGATTAAGACCAAGCTCTCTTCCCCAAGTCACCCTTTTTTCTCCCTTTGCCCCCCCTCTCCCCCAATATCTGATGCTCAGACTAAACTCACTTTTGTGAAGTGTTTCTCAAGAGCATCTGATGTCATGCCATTCTTGTAGAAACAGGGTGTCACCACAAGTGCTGCATCGGCACCAGCTTCTGCCATTTTAGTGGTCATTTCTATGGTGTCTCTTGTGGCTAAAGAATATTTACACATGTAAAACAGAGTGTTTAGTAGAAGATGGTATATTATCACACCATCTGTAAAGTCCATTCATGCTCTCATAGCAACAGAGATGATCAACGCTGTTACTAGGATTTCAACTCTCTCGGTTACAAATGCAATAATTAGTAGTGGGGGAATTCTTGGTTCTATTTTCCTATTGGTTCTTATTAGTAGCCAGGGGGTCATGCCCTTAATAACCGGGGAAAATTCCAGGCCCCTTCCCCTTGGCAGTGGTGGATAAGTCATTCAAACCCTGTGATCAGGTGGTAAGGGGAGGCCTGGTCTCCAAAAAAATTTTTTGTTCATCCCTTTGGGCTTCCGTTTGGTCTAAAAAATAAGGGAGGGGGGCTCGGCCCCTCCCATGGATCCGCCACTGCTTAGTGACAGACCTGATAATGTTAACTGGCAATAATATCAATGCTGTATAACCATCCCTCTCTAAGTGGATAGAGGTATAATGGCCACAGGCCATAATAGTCTTGGTTATAGAAGCTAACTAGTTTTAAGCTTCAGTGCAGCTACTAAACGTAGAAAATGCATCTGCAAGCTACCAGAAATCTCCACAGGTAGATGGGCCTATTATTGGGGGGGGGGGGAAACTTGTAAGCGACAGATTACGGGAAACTGATTGGAATTAATTCCAGTGTTAAACTCATACCCAGTTACCTACCAAAAGTCAAATCTAAAGATCACTACAGCACTCACCCTCACAACCTGATCCTGCTAGAATAAGTTTGTCTTTTGGAGCAAGCTCTCTCACCTTCTGCACCAAGGCAATCTTCTCTTCAGCTTTCATATATGCATATTCACCATTGGAGCCTTGAACAACATAGCCTAAACAAAAATATAACAAAAATGCAAAATTCTGTGTCAGTGAACTGGCCACCGAAGAAAAACTCTTTATATTAGACAGCTTGTTTGTGAAAGGTAGGGATCTTTAGGAGGTTAGAAGTCTTGGAAGGTCTGTGGGGAAGGGACAGCTTATGAGAGGTGTTTAGTCCACGATAGTGAGCAGTCTTTTGTGAGGTGGAGGGGGTCAGTAGGGGGTGTGTGGGTGGTTTAAGTGAGTGCTAAGGGTAATCTGGGAGGTGAGACATTTATTTGCAAAATGAGACATCTTATATGGAGCAGGAAGTTGGTGGGGTGTAGGAGGTCTGTCAAGAAAGGAAGGCTTTTGGGAGTATTCCATGAAAGGTAAGCAGTCCTATGGAAGGTGGGAAGTTGTTGGGTAGTGGCAGGACACCTGTGGGGGTGGGAAGGAGGTGGATGAATAGGGGTATGCAAATCCGCCGATCCATTATGATTTATTAACCAAATCCGCCCCTCCATTTTTGCCCTAAGTCAGAAATCTTGGCGAAAATATTTTAATAATATTACACGCAAAGTGTAAAGTCCGGGCCCAAGAAATAGATGAATCCGCAATCCACAGCAATTACAGGATCTGGAAATCGTTAAAATCTCTCTTTGAATCTGAAATCCGCGCAAAAATACTTTCAGAATCAACCAATCCGTTCACCTATTCACCCCTCTTGGGAAGGCTTGTTGGGGCTGAGAAGTTGTTTTGCAAAATGAGATACCTTATAGGGGAGCGGAAGTTAATGAGGTATAGGAGGTATGTGAAAAAGGAAGGCTTATGGGAGTATTCCATCAAAGGTAAGCAGTTCTATGGGTTGTGGTAGGTTGGTGGGTAGTGAGAGGACTGTGGGAGTGGGAGGCTTTTGGAAGGTGAGAAGTTTATATGTAAAATTTATGGGAGGAAGTACATCTGTAGGTGGACAGTACAAGCATTACATCTGCAGGGCAGCTAGTCTACAGATTGTTTTGAAAACCCCAAAAATCCTTTCTTAAATCAAGCCACCCAATACCTGCCAAATTTTCCTACCCCTTAAACTCATCGCAAATAGATGAGCTTGGGAACTTGTGCCTTAAAGGTTAGCGGGGTGCCAGACGCCATAGCCGCAGGGAAGCATCCATGGCAACCTGGAATATGGGAGCCACCCAAATGAATGCCTGCTAACCGTCACCGTCACACGGAAAATCAGTAGAAATAACTTACCTGAAAAGATACTTACCCTGGTAACGAAATGCAAAAGAGGGAGGGAGGAGAGGGAGCAAGAATCCGCAATGATTCGCAAAAGGGAGGCTTTTGATCCACAAAGATCAGCTGATAACACTGCGCATGTAAAGCAATGAACCTTGAAACCCTGCAAAACCCCTGAAGGCCACCCTAAAGGTCACATGCTGCAGATGAGGAGGACCGCTGGCTGCATTTGCTCAAATTTAACTTTGCCTAAATGATATTTAGCCACATAAAAAACCCGGGATCGAAAATTTCATACCCAAAAAAATCCTTCGATCATCCCCGTCACTTGAAATTCGGAGTATTCCCCCTCCCCATCCCCCCGGGGCACTGACCCTAGCTGTCTATCGCTGTCTAAATAATTATACAAAGTTTTATCATTATCACCAATTTATAATATTAAAAGCACTGTCTCTTCTACTCTCCAATCCAGCTATTAATCATTAATCAGTCATAAATACGATTTAACGTAGCAAATGGCAAATTAAAAACAAACAGTCTGATTGAAAATTTCAGGGGTATAACTGGCAACATATATATTTTATAACGACAATACGACGCCGATCATGGAAATTGCATATTTATCATCTCACCTCTAAATGGAACATCTTTCCATTTGTTGAAATTCTCTGTGAGTTTGTCGTAGCTGATATCTTCGTTCTCCTGAAATGGCGTTACTATCGGGGGAAAAATTCCACTCAAATCGAGAGACGAACTTTTCTCAGATGAAGTGGAAAAGGCGGACATTTTGTGAGATTTCCTGTACGAGATAGCGTTCAAAGAGAAGGTATTGTTCTCGACGATTTCTTTGTAGCTGCAGTGCAGGTTTCTCGAGATCAAAGTGGGGAAACGTAAAAACAATTTGTTATACGATCGCGGGATTAGAACTGCCGCCATTATGTAAATAAGGTAATACGCTGACCAAGATAAACAGGTAGAGCAGGCGCTTTGACAGGGAAAACCGGTTCAAGCGAAGTGGACTATTCGTGATTTTGAAGAGACAGCCTGATCGTAGGTGTGGTTGACAGAGTTTCAGGCCGATGGCAACCAACACCCAGGACTGGTTTAGTCTCCCCATACTATTAAAGGTATGTGCCATCTGGATTCCAGATTCCAATTGCTAGCAGGATATCTGGATTGCTTGAGCTGGATTACGGATTCCAAACTCGAGGATTCAAAGCAAACAAAAAAAAACACACAAAAATGCCTGATCGCAGGTTATCCGTACAGGGATGTATACAAAACCTGCCAGCCAGCCTGCCAGCCTTGCGAGATCCAGCAAGAGGAACCAGTCAGTTATATTTACGTGTTGCGTGGACCTCTGCATTCAAACAGTTTTCCCTACAAAACCTGGGCTATCCCAAGGGCTGGCTCATGGACAGGTCCATGGGCCACCTCGTGGACCACCATTTTTGGATTTTTTTTAGTTTAAATAAAATGCATTAAAACAGGAGTCGATTACTAGTAATTATTATTAGTAATCGCCTCCTGATTAAAAATAAAATAACATTCAAAAAATAATAAATAACAAAGTTAAATTCATCTCAAATTCGGAAATTTGTTTGAGGGAAAGAGTTGTTTCTGTTAAAAAATAAAAACAAAACAAAACAAAAAAAAACACTTACCATTCAGACTGAGTTCTATGTCTGCCAATTTTGCCGAGCAAAGTGTTTGGAACCCTGGTAACACGAACGAAATGCTTCGTTCCCAGTCATAAGAAGTCATAACGCAAATGCCTATAGAATGCTTTCAAGTTCAAAAAGAGAAGTCCGGGAAATTCGTGGTCACGTGTTCACGTCCTCCATAAACTGTCACATTAGGAATTTTCACGTTGTGCAGTTATCATCGTCATGATCACTTAAGCCTTCGCTTAAGCTCCTTAACGGGTGAAGAACTCGAAGACATTAACCCACATATTGAAGCTTTCTTTTGATCTGATGGGTGGATCTGACGTTTTTTTCTTTTACCGAGATCTTTTGTTGAAGATAAACATTGTTTCGCATATAAGGCATACGTATGAGGGCATCGATGGATATCTTCAGCTACAATTCCACATGAAGATAAAACAAGATACACGCATGTGGAAATTTTTTTATGTTGAATAAATACTCAGGCGATGCTTGGTTTTATAGCTCTGGAGAACTTGGAGGGTAGTTTGTGACTAAAACAGAACAATATAAGTACCGGAGTTTACAATGTCTTTAGGTGAGTGTAAACTCAGCTCTTTCAAGGGGAAGCGAGCAAGAGATCGAGTGTTTGGTGCGGGTTGTACACTGATGTAGGTAGTACGATAGTAGAAGACTTGCAAAGTTGTCCTTCGTTAATTGATTTCTTGCGGTCGCGTATCGATTCAGTGTCTGGTTAGTCGTAGCTGTAACGCAGGCCACAAAGCTACCACATAATCTTTGCACAGAGTTCCGATGTGATCCGGGAGCGTCGGTGAAATGGACTAGACTTGTCAGTGCAAGGGAGCCGGTTCGTAGAAAGAGGCGGGTGCATTTGAGTAATAGCTAAGCCGCACTGATTTAGTGGATTAAAACCCAGCTACGAGAGGATTTAAAATGGCCTTTTGGCCCACCCCATCCCCACCCACATCTCAACATCCACCAACTCTTTATTTCACTGAAAATAAATCACAAAAAAAATTATGTCTAGCTGTCTCTGACTAGCAGGAATGATCATTGGTCTATGCATATGGACACTTCTGTTTTTTAGACTGAAGTTAACTGTGGTCTGTTTTTATTCTCGCCCGTTGTCACGTTTATATTGGTTTTTTAAAATCCTCTTGTCGATCATTTTACTACTCATCCTCATCCAAAAATAGATATGGACCACCCTAGATTCCACTGTGCCAAGTTAGCCACGTGCGACGCAAATATTAACAAATCTACGCGAAGAACAAATTTGTTTTAAGGAGGACAATAAAACACTCGGATTTTTTTCTAACCGGCTTCGTTGGATGAAAACAACAATTTGATATAAAATGAAGCAAAAATAGGTAAATAAAGGTTGACACAGGCTATAGCTAGCTCTTTCCAGGGCATCCAGAATCCACACATGTCCAATACTCACCAGACCGCTCCAATGAAAGAGGACAATTTCCCGTTCAAGCTAAAATCATCAGCGGTCATCTTTCGATCTATTAATCTATTGCCGCTAACTAAAAATTGTTAACCTTTTTCTTTAAATTCTGCGGAGATCTAGTTCTTAGCCGGAAATATGAAATGACTTAGTTTGCCTAATAATGATCTGTTAAGCACATATTCAGCAAAACTCAATAGGAGGAAATTAAAGTTTATATGATCGCTTTGAAGGCACTGCACCCATTAATTATTTAAGCGACTTAAACCAACTGGGCGAAGGATTCATGCAATAATGATCGCATGCCGGAACTATAGACTTTCCACAAGTCTAACTCCCGAGTCTCGCAGCAGAAAGGTTGTAAAGCTATCCGAGCTAGCTCAGTTTTTAAGTCTGGAAGTGGCCGAGAGACGAACTCACGGACCAGATGATGAGAAGCGTCTTTTCGAAAGTCTATGCCAGGATCTGTCCTAAAACGTTTTGTTCTTTTAGCTTGTGTGGGAAAGAAATAACGAGGGAGCTTGTCGGAATTATTTGCTCCTAAGAGGTACTGTTTTGATTAAATCTAAAACTAGCACTTATAAAGTAACTTTATGTAATAAAGCCAATCAAGAAATAAATCCTTCGGACATCTTTCCAACTGTCAGTTAATTGCGTAAGAAACTTTGCCGTCACTTTTTGTCTCCACAGCCAAACCACGGCAGTAATTTTAGATTTAAAGTGAAAACAATCCACACATTTTATCCGCTAATAAATTAATAGTAGTATTAGCGGACGATAAGCTCGCCACCCACCCCCCTCTAGTTGTTTCTATGGAGGGGTACTACCGTGTATTCATACAGTCGAGAAGCTCTCGTAAGCGACGACCTCGGAAATTCGAAAAAGTGGTCGTAACTAGAGCGGGACGCTCACGAGAATGAGCTCTCGTAAGCGACCGCACGGTAAAACAATAGAGGGTGGTCGCTTGCTAGAGCTTCAGAAACTCATTATTTAATAATTCGTAAAGAAAAAAAACAAGAGAAACTAATGTTCAATGAGCAACTTTTATATATCTGAACTTATTGAACTTTGACAAAAACAATGCTGCAACGTACAAGATCTTTATCAACGAACCATTAGCACAGTGTACAGTTTCATTACAGGGTTGATTTAACTGAAATACTCTGAGTAGTTGCTTACGAGAGCTTAAAAACAAAGGAAAAGTCTAGTTGGGTAAACCCAAAATTGGCTGCGGTCGTTTACGGGAGCGGTCGATTCCCGGGGGTCGATTACGAGTGCTTTTCGTTACAAAGTTTAGGCCACAATTCAAACGGGATTTCACAAAGGTGGTCGTAACTAGAGCTGGTCGCTTACGAGAGTGGTCGCAAGGACAGCTTCAACTGTTTTTAAGTTGACTTGAAAGAGAAGTCTTCGCTCTTTACTCATGTATGTACATATGTCAGTAAAAACAACTACTAAAATAATTTTGTCTCTTTTATAAGACACCATAAATAGTAAACGAGGGCGTTTATGTTGACCCTCCTATTTAACGTATAATTTCCGCTCATAATGGAAGCTTCTATTCAAGCATGGTACCCGTTATTGATCTTTCGATCAATTCGCCGGAAAGTTTCTTTGTCGCATTACCGTTATTTTGACGGCATCTCTAATTACAGCTGCTGGAGAAACAATGTTTTGTGAAGGAGCTGCCTTTCTCAGCGGTTCATTATTAAATTGCACGCGGTCCGCTTGAAGCCGGAAAGCCTAGTATTTAGACAAAACAGTAATTTTTGGAAGACTCTCTGATTAAAGTCAAATGTGTTTGTCTTTGACCTTAATTATCTTTGTTTACTTTGGTTACGTTGAAAAGTAACCGCAAAACATAATTAACCTAGCTTTAAAAATTAAATGGTTATCTGCATGATCTAGGCTAACATTTTTTACTTTTTTGTTTCTCTGTCTTTCCTTCTTTTAACTGCAAAAAGTTTTTCTTACTTTTCACACAATTGAATAAAGAAGCCCTGAACTTTTTGCCGACGACACTGAGACTTAGTGGCACGCGGAGTAGTTGGATTCTTAGAAGCCTCTCAGCGATATCTTAACAAGTCTTACACTAAAAGTAAACAAACAAAGCTTCTTTTAGGTTTTGATTCATGGAAAGTCCTTTTAGCAAAAGAGGTCTTGGCACAAAAGAGAACTTAAGACGACTTCCTGAAGCCGAAGATATATCGTGACTCCCAATAAAAATACTTTACCTTTCACATACACTAAAAAAAAAGGTCAGAAAATAATACAAGAAGAAAGATGCTGACTTTCCACTTTCAGATCTTTGTAAAACAAACATTTACCATCAGCATTCTTGGAATAGTCACCCCCAAGTTAGGCTAGCCGTGACTGTGAATAAAAGAGCCAAAAGATCTGCATCAGGGAATCGCCGGCAAGTGGTATCAGCGTCGCACTTATTTGATTTTTCTCAGTGGTTATTATTTACTAAATCCGACGCAAATTCGCTTAATTTAAGGAATTATACGTTAAGTGGCTGTTTCCTGTAGTAAACTCGGTGCAAGTTAATTTATCAGGATCGATCAACTTGTTAAAAGCCCGAAGGGCGTATGGAAAGAGCTTTTGAAAACTGAATCCTTTTAAATGCCTGACACACTCAAAAAAAAATTAAATAGAATAAGCTACACTTCAATGAGAGCTTAGTTTTCTCATTAACAGAACATTTTATGAACTTAGCCATCTTAAGGTTCTTACTAAAAGTCAGAACTGGCCGGTTTTGAAAACGAATTAGGCTTTTTTTCAACAGTTTTCGCTAAAACCCACCCCATAGCAGT